GGTGACGGGTGATAGGCATTCAGCAATGAGCGGCGTGCAGCGTCGAGATTGAGATTATGACGGCGCATGACCTTGAGGCAACAGAGCGTACCAGAGGTGTGCGGGTCAAGACTCGACCCCTTGACCCTCTCGGCTTGACCCCGGGGTCTGACTCGGGGTCTGACCCGGGTCTGACCTTTTCGAGGGGTTAACACGTGATGCACGGTCGGCCCTCGCGTAGAATAGTCGACCGCGTACTACCGGGAGCGCCGGAAGGGTGAAAGTGCCCAGCTGGCAGCTTGAGCGCAAGGCGGACTCATATGCCACATTGACGACGGGATATGCTAACTATAGATGTCGTTTGTATATATTCGCTCGTCCTGACTGCTCCTACAGACGTAGAGGTCGGATAATGCATCTATGCTAAACCTTACACCTCTCCGAGTCCTCGCTGGTTTCCCGGACAGTACTCCTCTGGGTCGGCATCCATCTCCACCATGGCAAGTCCCTCGCAGCGTTCCTGATGAAGGCCATTGGTTTCACCCTCTCGCTTATGGATGGCCGAGACGTTGCCAGTGGGCAGTTGGAAAGAACAGTTCGTGGCCGCTACAGGCGAGCTCGCTCGAGCAGTGAGTGGCGAACGGCCGGCCGACCCGGCGGTTCACGTGCCCGGAAGCTCCGACGTTGATGTTGCCTTGGCTTGACCCAGGGTCTGACCCCAAGGGGTCTGACCTGGGTCAAGGAGGGGTCTGACCCGAGTCTGACCCAGCCGAGCACATGTCTGGAGCGTACTGAAGCAGAGGTAGGTATAGTAGAACTGATAGAGTGGGAACGGAACGAGTGCAGGGCCGCGAGCACAAGCACGAGATCAAGGAAGGGAACTGATGGGAGGTCGGTGCGGGAGAGCGCCGAGTGGGAGCCATGGCGGTTGTGAGCCCATAGCCAGTCTCACGCCAACCCCTCTCCTCTGCTTCTTCTGGGTCTCTTCGTCTCCCCCTATACTTCTTCATGCCTCTCAGCTCTTAGTCCTCCTTGCCATGATCCTGCTTGATGGACTCGACAAGCAAGACGGCCAGCCCTCGTCCAAGCTCGTGGCTGAGGCTTCTCCCTCGGTCATCCCTGTAGCGCGCGTCCACACCCCCACCCCCTCCCTCCCCGACTATGAAGCATCTCAGGCGCAGCTCAGGCCAACAACGGAATCTTACTCGGAGATCAAGAAGAAGCGTACCCGCAGGCGGAAATGCAAGAGAATAACAATCATCGTACTCGCCGCTTACTTTGTCCTCACCACGGTGATTGGCATCCCTATCATTGTCGTCGTACGTCCTCCCTTAGCCTTCTGCTTGCATACATCTGAGCCGTTACTATTGTGTGCACTTTGTAGAAGGCAAAGCAGAAGCTAAAGGTCAAGTCAAATCCGTACACTTCATGGGGAGCAGACACCACGCCAGTACCACCCAAGTCCGTCCAATTAGGTCACACACCTTTGCGGATATCGGCAGCCAAGTCATGCAACACCTGGAATGTAAAGGATAGGCCAGACGGTCCGCTTTTCATGTCGCAGTGAGTTGGGTTGATTCTTATTTCCTTGCTTCTATTGATCGCCTCGTCCAGGTTGGAGTATCACATTCCAGTCAATGCATCCGTATTCCTCAGCACCAACATCACATACGCCAATAACGCGACGTATCTTGACCACTTCACGGGCTCATTGCTCGTGGCAGTCAATGACGACGTCTCTGTATCTGACGGGGTGGTGTATGTGACGATGCATCATACAAACAAGGGCGTGGGGAATGCGACCAACGTCTGCCTCATGGAGACAAATAGTGGTAACGGGGTCTACATTTTTGTATGTTCCTTTTTTCAGGGTTGTAGCATACAAACGGTGCTCATTACTTGACGACAGGCTCCCACTAACCTCGACACATCCGACGCGTTAAATCTCAATGTCACCCTCCTCCTTCCTCAGAACGGCACATCTCCCCGCAACATCGAATCCCTCATGTGCCATCTACCACACTTCCAACATACGTACCAGCAGCTCGATCCCAAGATCACATTCAACAATGTAGTTTTGGGTGGAGCCTTGTCCGGCGTCTATGTCGAGGTAAGCCTTCTCGTCATTGTTTCTTCTTGTTCCCACCTTACTCTCCATGCAGTCGCTACAGGCGAATTCAGCAACAGTGAAGGCGTCTGCGGCGGAAGTGCGAGGCTGGTTCAAAGTCTCCTCCCAGCTATCGCTGGAGACAGTCTCTGCGTACGTACTATCGTATCTTGTGATCCATAATCATGGTCCTGATGAGGTTTGCTGTCTAGCCCAATCAATGCTGAAGTTGACCTGTTTAACGATGGAGGAGCGCCTACATTCATGACTGTCACCACTGGTAACAGGTGCGCGGGCCTTCCAGCTTGGGCGTATTGTTGCATGGCTCTCATCACCGTCATAATGCAGCCCTCTCAACGTGAATGTCACTTTACATGCTCCTCCGCCTGCAAATTATTCGTCTGCCGATGCCGATGACGATGACGATGACGATGACGACGACGATGATCCACCACCACCTCCTCCTGGTCCCCAATTCGTGACCTATGCGGAGACGTTCAACGCACCTCTAAATGTTGCTGTCGTGCATGCCTCTGACTCTCCTGTAGCGAACATGAGGTTGCGAGCGGTGAACAACATCGGGACCGCTAGCGTTTCGCTCGACTCGAGATACGAGGGCACATTCGACGTGAATACGATGTTTGCGCAAGCAAATGTTCTTACATGGGACGGCACCGAGTTCGACAACAACTACGACTCCGACAGCGACGATGATGATGACGGCGATCCTGACGCGGACATCTCTAGTGGGGACTCCGCATCCGCGACTGCCACGTCAACATCAGCTTCTGCAGCATCGAGCAGCGCCAGCGCCGTCACCCAGGATCTGGCTGCAGAAGGGAAGGTTCGAATATACCTTCCACCATCATCGACGTCGTCCGGGACGGCCCAGTCATCCGGAAGGTGTCTCGAGTACGACCTCATCTCGCCGTCGGAGATCAGTGGATGGGTCGGCATCCCGCCACGGCCTTTGCTGATGCGCATCCCGGGAAGACCTATCGGCAACCAGAGTCATGTGGACGTCATCTCCTCCCTGACCGGGGCACAGCTCATCTTGCAGCCATAGAATGTATTCTGTCCGGGTTATGCTTGCCGTCCTGGAGAGGGTGTGTTACGAGAGCGGACTGTATCATCGCTCATGGACATCTCGCTGATGCACAGCGCAGGTACCATTATTACACGGTGCTCCATCGACGGAATACAGCTTTGTATCAGGTTTTCAGCATTCGGCATCGTGTACTGTAGTTTAGGTTAGGTAGGGCCTGACACTTTCTGTGCTCTTGCATTCTTCCCTGCACTCGTCATCGTATCTAGCCATTATAGCATTCACAGTATCTTATTGCCACAGGGGCATCTCTACTAGCATCTTCGTACGACTGTCGTTTACATAGCATACATACCTCGACGCTCGCTTGCAATATAACACCTGTATATGCATCTCTATCAATAGGCACAACCGCACACGCGTCGGCCAAGTGATTCCACACCCGGGATGATGCAAAGGTGAAGGCTGCAGAAACCAAGCCTATGTATTGTTTTTGAAAACATGGGCTTACTATAACAGTTGAGGATGAGATGAACGGCGTTGGGTAGCTCAGCACATGTCCTGTACTCTTACCGTCCTCCCTACCTTCCCCTCCTTTAGATTACGCGCCCGTATACTGTGACGTTGCCGGACATTGTCGTGGCAACGCGCTGTTCGTTCGCTATCTGGAACCTCGGTAAAACTCGGGTTTACCTCGTCAGACTAACTGGAGGCAGTACAGAGCGGTGCGCTGGTCAAACGGCATGCTAGGCCCTTGACGGTGGACTATATGCGCCTCGACGGTAGGAGAACGTATCCAGGATGCATATGTGTAGAACCAGATAGGGCGAGAGAAGCCGAGGGTGGTGTCTGGAACCGACTGGAGCGTGAGCCTGAAAGGAGCGAGATGGACGCGGAGACAAGATTGGGGCGCTGTGTTCTCGCGCCGACGTGGCTCAACGTACGGATTGCATACCTCGGCGTTCCACATCTCCACCGGGTCCGATCACTCACCCACTCTTTTTCCTCATTCCTCGACGTCTTGCTTTAAAAGTCCTGCTGGCTCCTCGACGCTAACTTATTTCATCTCTAACAAGCACGTCTACACTCCTGGCGTTCTGCTTCTGAGTTGCGCAGACGCCTTCAGCCACCTACGCCATACGGAACCTCAGAGGATACCTGCTTCTGATGTTCCCTCGTCATCTATACGCACTTACCCTTGCGATTTTCTTTCAGTCTTCAGTTTCCTATGCTTCCGTCTCGCAGCAGTCATTCCTTGGCAGCACCCCTGTCAAAAGTGGGCAGGTGAAGTCGGTGCTCGAGAGGGAGCCTGTGAAGGAGCCGGCATGCAAGCAATTCGTACGTCCGTCGTCTTTTCTTGTGCCGAGCCGTTCTGACTCGGTTAATGCTCTACTAGCCCACGGGCCCCATAGAGACGACAGCATGCGACTACGAAACCGTAGAGAGTGTAACAGAGACCCTCTACAACGAGTTGCACTCGTTAGTCGAGACGCCCTTCTTCAAGTTTTTTAGAGTATGTGCCCCCACCTATTGGCATTCCATGGCTCCCTCATTCACACCATCACTCACAGGCCGACCTATACCGCGAGTGTCCGTTCTGGCAAGAGAACGGCTTCTGCATGAATCGGGAGTGTGGCATTACCACAGTAGATGAGGTGCGCGTCTCTCACTGATATGTATGCGCGTATGTTGATCTTTAGTCTGATAGAGCGAGATACCTGAAAGGTGGCGGGCAGCGGAGCTTAGTAAGATAGAGGTACCAGAAGGAGACCAGGTGCGTCCCGCGAGTGCATGCTTGCTGCCCAACCAATCTCACTGTAGAACAGAGGACGGTTCTCCCTGGATGTTACTACCGCGATTCGGATTATTGCTTCCTGGATGATCTAACCGAAGGAGACTACATCGACCTCTCACTCAACCCCGAGCGCTTTACCGGGTACGCGGGACCGTCCGCGAATCGCGTATGGAAGGCTATCTACGAAGAGAACTGTTTTGGCCTGTCGGAGCTTGGCCTTCTGTCCTCAACAAACTCGCCAAGCCCTGGGCTGGCGAGCTTGCCAGACAGTATGTCGGGCGCTCTCGTCGCGGACGGGACGGAGAACTCGAAAGAGTGTCTAGAGCAGAGGGTGTACTACAAGATCGTCTCTGGCCTTCATGCTAGCATTTCGACCCACATATGCCACGATGAGATGAATCAGACTACTGGTGAATGGGTAAGCTGTCAAAGTTTTGACATTTTTTCACGCGTCGTTACTGACTCCCTTTCTGTGCGCAAGGGTCCAAATTTGCAATGCTTTATCTCGCGCGTCGCTGCCTACCCTGAGCGTCTTCAATACATCTACTTCGACACGGTGCTCCTCCTCCGTGCTGTCGCGCGTCTCGGCCCCTACCTTTCAGCCTACGATTACTGTGCAACAGGCACCCATGATGACGATGCGGAGACGTACGAACGCCTCTCGAAGGTCATTGACATCGCGCGCACTGTCGGGCGCTTCGACGAGACGGTGCTTTTCCGTGGCGAGAATGCTAATGTCCTCAAGAACGAGTTCAAGGAACACTTCCGGAACGTCACGCGCATCATGGATTGCGTAGGGTGTGATAGGTGTAGGTTGTGGGGTAAGGTGCAGACGACCGGTATCGCCACTGCGCTTAAAGTGCTGTTTGAGCTCGATGCTCTGGCTCTTGAGTACGTACCGTCTTGCGCTCATCGTCAACGCCGCTCATTCATTCTTCGTTTCTCAGCCCGAGGTCGAATGCGAATCTCCTCCAGCGCTCTGAAGTCGTTGCACTCATCAATACCCTTCATCGTCTGGTCGAGTCCCTCCACATGGTCCAGGACTTCCGTCGTATGTGGGCAGAGACCGGCGTAGAAGAAGAGGCTCGCCTCATCCAGGCCGTAGAATCCCAAGCGGCCAGCGCACCAAAGGCTCATCGTTCTCCTGTTGCCAACGGTCCTTTCTCTCCGCGAAACTTCCTCATCGATTTACTCGACAGGATAGGATGCTGGGTGCGCGCTTGCCGCGACGGCACCGTGGGATGCTTGCGTGGTCTAATTGACGGGGTTACGGAGATTCTGAACGTGGCGACGAGCGTGTTCAGGATCTCTGGGAAGGACCAGGGACCTGGTCGTAGTGATCTATAGCTGGGAGGGACACGCTACAGCGGTCGTGGCAGGCACGGTATTTATGGACACTACACAATTGTACAGTTATAATGCATCACTGGATATACTTGCACGCTGCAACGAGGCCGTGAGGTGCCACCGGGGTGCCACAACGCATTTCATGATCTACGCGTTGTGGGCGCATACAGTTGGCTGGAAGAGGCAGGTGTGTCGCACGATTGGAGAGGCGCCAATGGGGAAGACGGCGGGCTGCCCACGTATGAATATCCCTCACACATTTCTGACCCGGACCCCCATCTCCTTCTAATATTGCGACATTCGCCCTCGAATTGTCGCTTGGACTTCCTCCCCCCGTCAGGCCTCGCGCTCTTCGGACACCCGTAATCCATCCCACCATGGCTCTCTCCGCTGCTGACCTCCAGGTAACGCATTTGCCTAATCCCATCGTCGCCACACCATATTCATCCCACGCGTGTTGTATAACAGAGGAGGCACCAACTTGAAGGTGCTCCGGATCCCTTCCCCAGCTTGGTCGACGACACCTCCGTGAAACCTCGCGCTTCCCCGTCCAACGGTACCATCGACACTGAGTCCCCTGAGGCGTTCCCGTCTCTCGCACCTGCTCCTCCGGCTAGCAACAAGCCCGCTGCGTCCGCTTGGAGCGCGGCTGCTGGTCCGCGCATCAAGCCCACGGCCTCGAAGCAGCCGGTCGTGTCGGACACCTTTGTGCTCTCGTCTATTGACTTGTCCGCCGCTGGCAAGGATGGCAAGCCCACGTCTCTCGGCGAGGTCATCAAACAGGTCCAGACGCAGCACAAGGTCAAGCTTGACGTGTCGACGAACCAGAAGTCTCGCCAGACGACGTTCTATCTCAGGGCGGAGTCTAAGAAGGAGCTGGACAAAGCGAAGCGGAGCTTGCTCGCGCTCCTGAGCCCCGTCGTACGTCCAGTTTTGTTCCCAATCACGCTATCTCTCCCTATATTGTCATCTCTTTGGTCTGGACTCTCTGCACGTTGTCCTGCGCGCTGTGGGCAAGGGGCGCAGATGCGTCGCGATAGCGTAACGCCCTATGGCATACATCAACACGCGTTGTGACGAAGCGACCGCTTGTATTCGACGCCGATGCCATTTGAACTGCACATGATCACACAGAAGGTCTCTGCGTGTGCTAGCGGGCGCTCAGTATCTTGCCGTTATAGAACAGGTTCCGCATGCAGTTCCGATGGCAATTCGGAGGGCATTGCAGCGGCTCCACGCGGCAAAGCTAACCTTCCATCCCCAGGTTTCCTTGGTACTGAACGCCCCGGCGTCGACGATCCCGACCATCATTGGTGCCAAAGGTACCACCTTGAAGCAGGTTCGCGACCAGACTGGCGTGAGGATCGACATTCCCCGCCGCGATACTCTCGCTCCTGCCAACGGTAACGGTACTCCGGTCGACCCCTCTCGCACAGCTACTCCTCTTCCCGGCACCCCAGTCGATGGGGATGAAGAGGAGGAGCCTACGATCCCCATCACGATCACTGGCCCTCAGCCTCTCGTGTACGAGGCTCAGGCTTTACTCAACGACATCATCGCAAGCAAGCGTTCTCGCACCACCCAACGTGTCCGCGACATTCCTGAGCATGTCTTGCCGTTCATTCTGCCGCGCCGCAAGGCATTTGAGGAGGCTGCCAACGGGGGTGACATCACCTTGTCACTGAACGCTCCTGCCCGTGAGATCACGGTGTCTGGTGACCGGGAGGCCGTCACTCGTGTCATCGAGTCCATCAAGTCTGCGGTTGACTACTTCACGACTGAGACGATCTCGCTCAAGCTCTCGTTGCCCAAGCGCCAGCACCGTTTACTTACCGGCAAGAATGCGGAAGAGATTATGACACAGGCTCGCTGTTCGGTCATCCTGCCCAAGCCCGAGGAGGCCAGCGAGGAGATCGTTCTCTGGGGCAAGGCTAACGACGTTGGACTTGGTGTCCAGGCAGTCATGGAGAAGGCGAACTCGGCTTACATCCACGAGTTCCCCCTCCCTGGTCCACTCAACGTCTCTCGGCAATTCCTGACATACATGGTCCGCGTCGATTACGCGAAGACGCTCTCGGCTGCGAACCCTGGCGTTCAGGTCTTCACCCCTCCGCTTTCGGCTCTGGATCGTGCCACTGCTATCAATGTCGACATTGTCGGTGACAAACCGAAGGTCGACGCGGCGGTCAGCCAGTTGTCCGCGCTCATTGGCAAGCTCTACGGCGCGACGAAGGAGGTCCAGATTGACTGGCTCTTGCACCGCATTATCAATTCGAACAAGAATGCAAAGAAGTAAGCCCAAGACCGTAATTCGATGATGTGGAAATGCTAACCGCCATTCCAGGATCAAGGCCTTCCACGATGCCCACAACGTCCTGGTCTTTTTCCCTCCCGAGTCGGCTGAGCAGTCCTCCGTCCTCCTCGTTTACGATCCCACGTCTCCCAGTGCGTCCCCCTCGCCCCTCGAGAAGTCCAAGAGCCTCGAGGACGTCGAGAAGGAGCTCCTCAAGTTCGCTCGTGACGCCGCCGATGTGAAGACCCAGACCATCGAGGTCGAGAAGAAGTGGCACGATGCTGTTGTCGGACGCAACGGCACGACTCTCAACGCTATCATAGGCGAGGACAAGACGCTCTCGATCAAGTTCGGCGCGGAGGCCGGCCAAGCCTCTGAGGACTACATCCTCGTCCGCGGTATCAGCGCCGACGTCGACCGCGCCGTCACTGAGATCCGCAAGATCGTCGAAGACGCGAAGAACGAGGCGATCGTCAGCAGCTACTCGACCGAGTTCGAGATCGACCGCGAGTATGTCGGCCGTATTGTCGGTGCCGGCGGTGTCAGCGTGAACAAGCTTCGCGACACGCTCGGGGTCAAGATCGACTTTTCGGACGAGGGCGAGGAGAAGGAGAAGGAGGGCGGCAAGAAGAAGAAGGCCGCTCACCTCAAGAGTAAGGTCAAGATTATCGGCCGTAAGGAGAACGTCGAGGAGGCCAAGCGCCGTATCCTGGCGCAGGCCGAGCGTCTTGCGGACGAGACTTCTGAGATCCTCAAGATCCCCCACCAGTATCATTCGTCGCTCATCGGCCAGAGCGGCAAGTATGTCATCCGGCTCGAGGAGAAATACGGTGTCAAGATCACGTTCCCGCGCGAGTCGTCTGCCGACGGTGAGGGCAAGACCCGCGAATCGCTGAAGCCCGACGAGGTCCTCATCAAGGGTGGCAAGAAGGGCGTCGCACAGGCGAAGCAGGAGCTTCTCGACGCCGTCGAGTTTGAAAAGGAGTCGAACAACGTCGTCAAGTTCACGGTCCCTGCTCGCTCTGTCGCGCGTATCCTCGGCAAGGCTGGTTCAACTATAAACGAAATCAAGGACACTTCCAACGTCCAGATCGACGTCGACAAGTCTCCTGACGACAAGGACAACGCGAGCATCAGCATCCGTGGTACCAAGAAGGCCATCGCCGAGGCGAAGGCCGCTATCCTCACCATCTCGGACCAGGTCGCTGAGGAGACTACAGCCACTGTTGAGGTTCCTAGCAGATTCCATCGCACCATCATCGGCGCTGGTGGCCAAGGTCTCAAGGATCTCATTGCTCGCTGCGGCGGCCCGGCCGACCAAAGGGCTCAGGCTGGCTTGATTCGATTGTGCGTGTCTTGCCTCAGGTGTGCATGCGTGGATATGTGATGTTGATGGTGTGTAACGTGTAGCCCCCGTCAAGGCGAGCCGGGCGATGAGGTCCGCCTACGTGGCGAGCCTAACCTCGTTGCCAAGCTCAAGACAGAGCTGGAAAAGGTCGTCGGGGACCTCAAAGACCGCGTCGTCCTTGGTGTTGATGTCCCCGTCGCTCAGCACCGCGCTCTGATTGGTCGCGGTGGTCAGCACCTCAACGAGCTCCAGAACCGCACCGGAGCACAGATCCAGTTCCCGGGCTCGCGTTCGTACGCTCAGATTGGGGAGCCTGAGAACGCGGCCGACCTGGCGGGTGTCGACCCTGCCAACCTCGTCAAAGTCTCTGGTCCTCGTGCTGCTGCGGAGAAGGCTATCGCGGAGCTCAAGGTACAGCATATATGCTACTATCTTTGTCTCAGGCTGTATGGAATACTGAACATTATCGTCTGTTATAGGCTCAGATCAAACCCCCTGCTCCTGAGGGCGTGACTGGCACCATCACTGTACCGCTGAAGTATCATTACGCGGTGTCCCAGCAAGGCAACCTCTTCCGCCAGCTCCGCTCCTCTGGCGTCCATGTTGAGCAGTCGGTGTTGCCGTCCAAGCCGGCCGTTCCGCCCCAACCTGCCTCACAGGGTGCCGGTGCGACCGCTCGCATCGATGACCCCGACACCACCAACGGTGCAACAGCCGACGCGCAGTGGCAGGTAGTCTCGAACTACCAGGACGCCGAGGAGGGCGAATCGGAGTGGACGCTTAAGGCTCGTGACCAGGCGGGCCTTGACCGTGCCTTGAAGTTGATCAAGGAGGGTCTTGAGCACGCCCAGAAAATGACCCACGTTGGGTTCCTCACCCTCCCTGACCGCTCGCTGTTCCCTCGCATTGTCGGTGCAAAGGGCTCGAATGTCGCCCGTCTCCGTAACGAGAGCGGTGCGGACATCACTGTCAGCCATGAGGACAGTACTATCGTCATCGTCGGTATGTATCTGTATCTTGTTCCCTGCGTTGTTTCACGTCCTGACGTGCTGCGTGTCATAGGTTCCGAGTTTGCCATCGTGGCGGCGAAGGATGCTATCTTGAAGATGACAGCTAGCGGCGGCGGCCCGAGGCGCGGTGGACGGAGGGACAACTAAAGCGCTAGCTTAGTATCTGAACGGGTAGTTACATCTAAGGATAATTTGTGATATCGGGCACATGGGCAGGTTCATAGCGGAATACACTATGATTCACAGAAAGCAAAATGTGACATTGAAATTGAACAACGGGCACAGCAAATGAACAGAGTACACCCAAGAAACGTAGATAATTTGTGCCAGGATGTAGAATGGGGCTACACTGGAGCAGGCTCCCCATCGATATCTTCCATCGACTCGCCATCGACTTCTCGTGCGTTCACAGGAGCCCCGTCACCAAGCGGTTCGCCGTCGACGTCGTCCATAGGAGCCCCGTCCACATCTTCCATCGGCTCTCCGTCAACATCGTCCAGTGGGACGCCATCCACATCGGCGTCGAGTGGTTCCCCATCCACATCATCCACACGCTTCCCGTCGACATCACTGCCTTCGTCCATCGGCTCTCCGTCGTCCGATTGAGCTGCTGCAGCCGTCTCCTCTGCCTCAGCCATCTCGGCAGGTTTAAAGGCGCTCATCTTGAACTTGAGAGCAAATGCAGGAGCGGCCTCCTTGACGACGTCTGCAGCAGGTTGCTCGGCTCCCGGTGTGCTGTCAGTCTTGAGCGTCGCGCCCTCGAGCCGCGAGCGAAGCTCAGCCGTATACTCCGGCGGGAAGACAATCCAGTCCTCCCAGATGTCGACGACGGCGGTAATCTGCTTCTTGAACGTCTCCGCGGTGATGCGCCCGGGGAAGGAGTGGTAGATGGTCGAGAGGTGATCGAAGACGAGGCCGAGGCGCGACTGGAACTCCTGCCGGAACTTCCACGCCATGGGCAGGGGCGCGGCGGAGTTATGGAGGATGTCGCAGATCAAGTGCAGGCGGGCGACCTTGCGCGGGACCGGCGTGCCGTCGACCACTAGTGACGAGACTATGATATCGGCGACCTAACGATCGTCGTGAGACTATTGAGTGAACGCGCGATAGCACTAGCGGAATAGCGGCATACCTCCGCAGCCGCCTCAGCATGTTCCAAGCTGAACGCCATGCAGCGGGCCATCTCGCCTCGACGTCCGGACAGCGCACGGAGCATTGCTTCGAAGCGACGACGAGCCAGCTTACCCAATACGTGCTTACGTCCGCGCTCTCGCTCAGATTCCTCTGCTGAGTCCGTAGAATAGACTGAATTGTAGCCCTGCGGGTATGTCAGCATCCCGATCGATGGATAGGCGCACTGGCGGACGTACCTCGTCATCGAATTCGGGTTCTATGGGCTCTCTCTTGTCCAGTAGGGAGCGATAGTAGCGATAGCGTCGGTGCTACGCAATCGCCATGAGCTTCTCGACAGTTACGAGCCGTGAGGTCCAAGCCACCTACATCTTTGTTCAAAAATGCATACTTGGGGTTTGACTTCTCCCGCTCCCGCAGGGTCGTCTCATATTCTTCGTCGTGACCCTTGACCTCCGACGCAACCGTTCGGAGGAACTGCTCCGTGACTTCGTCATCTGCGAGTACTTGAGGAGCAGGACTACGAGACCTCCGTCTCCGCGGCGAGCGGCTGAGGCTGTCATCGTACTTGCGCGAGCGACGATGCCTTGAAGGTGAGCGAGAACGACTGGGAGAGTACGAGCGGCTCCTTGACCTGCGTGGAGAGCGATAGTCGCGCGACCGGTGACGGTCCCTGTCGCGTTCGTAAGACGGCGAACGTGAACGCGATCTACGATGATGCTCTTCGTCTCTGTTACGATCTCGTCGGGAAGGCGATCTTGACCTGGAGGCCGATTGTGACCTTGACCGCTTCACGACTGCATCAGTAGGTTAGACATTATGCTTACCAAGACGACATAAGACGTCGAGTGCTCACCATACATAGGCTTAGCAGCAATGGGGACCGCTTTGCTCCATCCGACCCGGAGTATAGACCCTCCCCAGTCATACCCGTCAAATTCTCGGAGCGCAGCTTCTGCATCCCGACGTTTCATGAATGACACGAACCCACTCAAGCCCGCGTTCTTGTTTCTCCTCGTGGCGGTCATGTCTGCTCCCGGACCAAGTGAGGCGTCGCTCCGCGGCCACATGATTTTGACCTATGGCGCATATTACAACATAGCCTCGGTGCGAATTACGCAACGCCGAGGCATTGAACTTACCGAACCAACAGGCCCCGCTCGAGCGAAGAAGGTGCCTAGCGTTTGCTCATTCACATGTGGAGGGAGATTCGCCACAAAGACGTTGGATGTCTAATGACAGCCGGAGTCAGCAGCTGATATGTGGATAAGACCACATACGGACCTCTGGGTCCCCTCTATCTTTGCTTCCGCTTTGGCCCTCGTAGGCTAGGAGAACGATTTAACAGACCACGTTTCGTGGACTAGCTATTAGTGTTGCTCACCAGCGATGGAAGTGACAGACCTCCCTTGCGTAGCTTGAGCCCGCCGTTAGCACTACAACATGCTACCATTGGTGTGCCACGGCTCACCATGTCGCGATAGACGCGCTTCCCTATCCGCCTGCTCTCTGATTCAAACTGTCAGACTCCTGCGCACAGAGGGAGCAGCCGCCTAGCTCGCCTCTTAATTTCCTCCAAGAAATGATCCATGGCACGCTTCCCTTTCGGCTTCGGAGGTGCCATAGGTGGGGACGGTGATCGCTAGATATCCGGTGGATTGGCTCGACATAGTGTACTGTGAGACGGAAGCAAGACACACACCATGGATGTCTCTTCGAACGCACGGGACATGTTGGCCTTAGGCTTCGACGGCGCATACGCTGACCCCGAATCATGCCCCGCTTTGACAAAAGTCGAACCGCCCTTCTTTCTGTCCGACCCTTCTCCTTGGAACGCGTTTAGGAACTCGGCATACGCCTTCGCCGCATTCTCCTCTTCCTCCTTGCGCTTTGCCTCCGCAGCCTCCTTTTCTTTTTCACGCTTGGATTTGCGCAGGGTGCCCTGAGTGTAGACGTTCTTCTTGTAATCGTCTACTTCCTTTTGCTAGTTACATGGAAGGAACGGTTCGTGAGCGTGCACGCGTGGAGAAGAAGCTCGAGTCCGTCGCACAGGGAACGAAGTCTCCTCCTCGTCATTGTCGAAGAAAGCCGCCAGACGCGATTTCGTTTTGTCCATAGAGTCGTCAAAGATGTTTCGAGAGTTCCTAGAGAGGGATTTGGGGGGACACCGGATGGTAAAGTATGGCAAGCAGGTCTTGAGAAGTTACGAGCATGCCCCGGCCACCTCTTCGGCTCGAGAAGCGCCGCAGCTGTGCTGTTGCACCGTCTATCCATATCAGGCAACTTTCTACGTTCGCTCAATGACCACTGCAGTCTGCAGTCATCTTGTCTCTGGCTCAACCATACACATCTACACGCACTACGGAGCTTGTTCCTAGCGGCTTGCATTGGAATCTCGGTTGGGTCTATTCCATGCTGCAAACGCGCCACCCAAATCCTCGTCCCAATCCTTATTGTTACGATCAGTCAACCGTGCTGCTGCAGATCGCAGTCGCACCTCCTCTCCTCCCCCTGTGCTCTCCGAGCGGCAAGCTAATTGCCGCTCCTTCTGACACCATTTTAGGGATGGTACTTACAGAGGACCGAAGCGTGGCATCGCGCGCTCAGTCTATGTGGTGAACGGCGTATAAATACCGCGGATCAGACTAATGATGACATGATAAACAAATTGGAGCACTACAAATTCTGACGCTTTAATATCTCGGACTATCGCTTACACTGCGCAACAACCAAGCGGGCTCACCTTTGCCTTCTCCTTCCGCACCAGCGCTCGAGCCTGAGAATGAATAGGAGTCAGACGGCCCTCTGTCGCAGTCTCATTTTGTCACCCGACCAGAACACGGTATTGGCACAGGTAGGCGCCCCCTGGATATGGCAGTTTTTCAGATACACTCAAAATACATACACGTCTCCTATAGCTTCTGAGGCCCTCCAGGCTGGCTCTAGTTTCCTTCTACCCGAACGCACGCCTGCAGCTTGCGATCCACGTGATCTCCCGATGGCGAGAGCTATGTCCAGGAGAAGGCACAGAATGTCGCCCGCCACCTACATGAGCAGATTCGCTAGCCCACTTGATGCATACGCCATGGGTTTCATCGGCGGGTGCGGCTGTGCGTCGAACTGGGTGTACTCCTGATTACCCTGGGCGTCAATGCGAATCTACAGAAGGGAAGGACCGGCGCCCATGTGGACGGGTGCACAGAACAAAGGGTTGTCAGAGCCACATCCCCATACGGGTATTGCGTCGGAAAGATTCTTACGAAAGCGCCCTTATTGCCCGCCTGGTCCACGTAATTCGGCGCAGAGAATACCTGTATGCAGTAAGTGCGGAGGCGGGTCGCGAAGGCGAGGGATCAACGGTGTAGTCGAAGACAGAGAGATAGGGAGAGGAACGATATCGTCAGTAAATAGTACCGGCGTGAGCAGTAGAGCTTCCCACCGTCGTGCAAAGGCCATCGTGTTCCACGGAGTAACCCTCTGTGGTGGCTTAGCTTAGTAAATCCGGCGGAATAGAAGTGCGTGAGCGGGCCCGACCTTGCCGGACTTCGTGGCTGCGAATAATACCCGTCACCCCATTAGCCTCGCACCATCTTCGCGTCACGTCAGGTCCAAATGCGATTCCTACGCCCTATTCAGTTGTGATGACATCGTCAATGCTATACGTTTCCGGGGCGGACAGTGAAAGAGACGCGAAGCCCGATCGGCAAACTCACGCGCTTGCTCGGTCCTCGTCCTGGGAGTTCTTGGGGGTCCGTCCATAGAAGCTAGTTACCAAGGTAAGCGACGGAAAGCAAACGTGAGTCGTGCTGTGCCAATTCCCTACATACCTCGCCTATTATCATTGAATGGAACACGACCCAGAGGACATTGAAGTGAGGAACAGATGGAAGTGCTTGGAAGTCTGAGTACACGTACACATGAGACCCTCCTGCCCGGGTTGATGTCCTATTCGCTGGATCTTGCGGACGTCGTCGAGCGTTACGTTGTCCTTGCTGAACAGCCCGCCGTGTACGACAAAGTAGCGCTTCTTGCCCTCAGGCGACAGAATAGCTGCCTTTGACTTTGCTATTGGCGGCTTAGTGGCGCTGACAAGGGTCGCGAGGGGCACTACAAAAAAGCGGCAGCGTTTCAGTTCTCGGTTTCTCCATCTGGGATTGGTGTGTCGGGCCGGCTTACTCTCTGTGAAAAGATGAGCAAAAAGCTGCCGCGCTTAGCGTTAGGGCAACCCGTCGTCATAGAAAAGCTGGGTAGATCCAGCTCCGATATTTTTTGGTTCAGCGCACCTTGTACGTCTGCTCGCCAAACTTGTGCTTCGCCTCGCCCTCGAAGCCGTACGTTCGGTTCATCTCTTTCGACTCATGGTTTCCGCGGTTGATGTACATGTTCTTCGGATAAAGCCCTATGCCGTACGCTTAGCTTCAATTCATCACACTCGCTCCAACGTAGACACTCACATTTGAAAGCAAGTGCCACCACAATGACCTCGACCGACCATGAGCCGCGGTCGACGAGATCACCATTCATGAGCAAACTGTGCGTTCCGCTCGGCTCGCCCGTGAGCGATAGCAAATGGAGGTAGTCGTAGAATTGGCCTGAGGGATGAGTTACATCACGGCGGAATCCATAAGCGTATTTCGAGCGGTACGTACCGTGTACATCGCCAATCACATCGATCGTCTGACCGTCCGGGATGTCGACATCGACCAAACTCGCTTCCCTTTCGAAGTACGAATGTGCGCCGAGGGCGATCTCCCACACATACCTTACAAGCCCCGTATTAGTCAGAGCATACGAGCACCATATCACGCAACTGTACCTCCTTGGTATTGACTTGCCGTCCTTGAACCATTGGATCATGTCTCGTACGAATTGGATATCGATTGTGAACTTCCCATTGTCATCCGTGGGAAGTACAGGTCCGGTGTAACTCTTGTCCACGTCGCATCCACCTTAAAGCCGGAAACATATTTGCAGACACCGATTTGCATCACCCAGCAAGCCCATAAGCCCGCCGAGCGCAACATACCTTCAGCGATGATCTCATAGCACCGTACCACCGCGCTCTTCTCTTCTTCCATTTCAATTGCCTGAATGGCACACGGGATTAGTAGGCAATGCGGCATCGAGGCTGATCGCCGACGACACCTTCTCAAACTCGGCTTTACGGAGAATCTTCTGGGTGCTATCCATCTGCATCCGAACGAGCTGGTTCTGCGGTTCGAGCGTGAGGAGCTTCTTGAAGTCCGCGATCGCCTGCTTGTATTTCATCGTTTGGAGGTAACATGTTGCTCGTCTGAGAGAGTTGAGCGAGCGTAAGAGCCTGCACAAACCCCACGCGACCAAACGGACATACCGATAATACGCCTTCGCGTACTTGGGATCGAGCTGAATAGCAGTGGCTTATGCAACGAAGCACGTTCAACGCCCGACATCCGTCGAGAAATAACAAAATGCATACGCACCAGCGTCGGCAAGCCCATAGCCATGTTCCTCGAGCTTGATCCTCGTGTACGCGCGATTGCACCACAGCGTAGGGTCCGCGGGGTTCTTCTCGATAGCAAGCGTGTACAGCTCCGCCGCCTTGTTGAAGTCGTGCGCTGCACACCGCCCGTCCGACCCAGTACAATTGATTCAACGTGCCGACCGATACCGAATCCGAATCCGAATCCGAATCCGAGTCGACCCCGCACAAGCACCCATACCACACCACCACAAAACGATCAAACGACGTCATTACGGCCCACACGCCCGGACAGCACGGAACACACAGGTGGCGAAAGCACGCACATGTGAACGCCTTGTTGGCTTCCGCCTTGAGCTTCGCGGCCTCCGCCTTCGCCTCGTCCGAGATGTCCTCCAGGCTCAGCTTCGACAGCAGCGGCGAGGGCGGCTGCGAGGTCGGGGGCGAGCTCGGCTGGGACGAGACGTCGCTTGTTCCTGAGTCGCTTGACATAATGTTCAGATTCTTCGAAGCGCAAAGTAGAGGATCTGACGCGAGCGGTGGTTGCCTAATGAGCTACGAATACGAGAGCGGCCTGGCGTAGGCTAGACGGAGAACAAGCGTAAGACTTCCGAGGGGCTGGGGGACTGTACCTGACAGAGAGCAGAATTTGGAACGTTTGGATGAGCGAAAGCACAAGGTACACAACAGATGAGCGAGTGGTACAACAGAGCAAGAGTAACTAGCGATTAGCCGAACGCTGCAGAAAGTCGTGGTGTAGTACCATAGACGCCCGAATGAACGGGTACCGAGTACAGTCGCCAAGGTTATTACCATATCGACTGGTCGTGTGAGCAATTCCAGTCTCATCGGCTCAGAGCACATCCAATATCCTGTACATTCCCGTCGTGGGTCGTCCAACAAATGACTGTCGGCAGCGGGTCTCACTTGGTATAATGCACAGGTGTACTATTCCGCGGATAGCTACGATAGAAGGCACTATACTCCTACATAAGCAGAATCCCTCTCATCAGTAACCACGAACGAAACAGGGACAGCCATGGCGATCATGGCAGGTATGTGGTGGTCCAACCAGAGTGGACGGGGTATATTTTCGTCAAATCCCAAGCGCAAGAGCATAGTAACACAGAAGGTCAAAGCGGGGCCACATCAGATAGACACGCCCGCTACGCGGCCGAGCTCCCCCAACGATCATCGTTACGAGTTGAGTCTAGCCTTAGCGGCAGGCGTCGAGGTTGAAGAACTTGCCGATGCGGGGGGTGCCGGTGTAGGGGTCCCTGTTGAGGAACCAACCGTTCAGGTACTGCACGAGGCTGCGCGCGGGCTGTCAGTATACGCCGGCATCGGGTTCCGTTAGTCTCTGTTACTCACTAGTCCAAGTTGTTCTGGCACAGGCAGCAGTCCGTCCACCTAGCCGCGGTCGCCGACGCCTGCAAGTTTGAATTCTCAGTCCCGCGACACCGATCAACACCGACCATTATAGGCACGTACCACCGTCATACCCTTGGGCCAGCCATTGTAGTTGCCAAGCGTCAAAAGCAGGTTACCGCCGTTGTCGCTGAGGGTCTGCGCGAAGAACGCAACGCCAGTCCGGATGTTGAAGTCCGGATCCTGGCAATTGCCGCCGGGTGCGCCGCCGCACTTGTCCTTCGAGATTTGCATGATACCCTGCTCGCCTCCGCCACCAACCTCGTGCACGTTACACGTAGACTCCTGCATGGCGATGGAGGCGACAATGATCGGGGGAACTAGGGGAATCACGGTTAAGTTATACATGAGAATTGCCAGATGCGGCAGTGCACTTACTGCCATGCTCGCCAGCGTACTTGTAGAACAAGTCGATATACGGGCCGCACGCCTTGAAAGGGGTGTTCGGGTCACCGAGAGCGGCGCCCAGATCGACGGTGATAACATCGTTCACAGTAACATGAGGGGGATTCCAGCCACCGTCATAGAGGCCGCAGTTCATCCAGTCGATATTACCGTTCGGGCCATCCGTGGCTGTGATCTGCTCTGTGCACCGCGACGTGAGTACCTTCCCGCGGCGCACGCCAATAAGAATCATACGTACTGCTAGCACCGGAGGCACCGCAAGACCAGTCTGTGACCTTAACTAGGCCCGCGACGTTGCTGGTCACACCGGAGTTGTTGTTGGAGCCGCTCTTGCTTCCGGACGACGACTTGGTGCTAGTCGTCGTCAATTCAGTAGGAGAGGTCTTCTTAGTGGAGGTAGTCTTGTGCGTGGAAGACGACGCGTGGGTGGAGGTGGAGGTGGAGGTGGAGGTGGAGGTGGAGGTGGAGGTGGAGGTGGAGGTGGGAGTGGAAGTGTGAACGAGCTGATCCACAAGTTAACAAACTCGTATCCAGAGCCCTGCAATTGCAAGCAAAACAGAACTCACAGTGCTGGAAGGCCGGACCTTGCAGCGACCAGTGCTGGCACGCTTAGCTGCGGCACTGTCGTTGTTGTGACGCGCAACTTCGTGGTGGCGGGCGGCCACGCGAGAAAGACCGTCGTGGCCGGAGGCCTCGACGACGCCGATGGCGGCAGCAAGAAGAATAAAAGGAGTGGACAGCTTCATTAGGGCGAGCTCGTTGCGTACGACGTAAGGTCGGGGGAGGTGGTGGTCGGAGGGAAGGAAGACGTTGTTGCGAGACAGGTTCACGACTGCCGGAGTATTGAGCCCTACGCCTACCGAATCCGTCTAACAATGTGCTTGGCCACACTGACCCGAGGCCATACGAGCACGCGGCACCAGCCCCGCATCCGCTTCGAGGATCGCCCGACCAATCAGCAGCCTCGGCCAAGGATCCGAGCTGATTGCAATCGAGCCTCGAAGCGGAAGACGTCTGCTGTTCGCTGCATCCCACTCACAGAGCGGCTCGAGTTGACCGCACTGGAGGCAGCCTTCGGCGTTCAACCTGATGATCATAGCCAGTCAGGGCTTCCGGGCTCACTACGGATGCCGAACCTGTGCAAGGACGGTCGGGATGACCACACTGTCAATTGACAAGAGCGTCACGGTCGGCAAGGTGTCAATCACCATGGGCGCTCTTCGATCTCGCCACCAGCTGTTCTGCCGGGCCGGCAGAGCGTTTCCATATTTCCACGCTGTTTCTTCTCGTTGTATGAGCCAAGCGTGCCCAGAGGGAGACGCATCGTGAAACCAGTACTTGGAGAAGGGCTATTCTACACGATGGACTAATCTACAGCTGGCGCAGTGCTTCGATCGCTTATATGTGTGGCTATTACCCGAGCGCGAGGCTATCAAACTATGGGCGTCAAGTCGAATGCTTCTTTCCCACTCTTCTTCACAGCAACCCCCTTCTCCGTCACAATGGCCGTGATCAGGCTCGCCGGCGTCACGTCGAAGCTTGGGTTGTAAACCCCTTCCAGCCCCTCTGGGGTCACCATCACCGTGGCCTGCTCTTTCACTCCCTGCGCATCCAGCTTAGGCGGGTATAGCGCGCCCCGGACTAGGCACGCCTCGATAGCGGGCCGATGTTCAATTGGGATTCTATAGGCGCGGTAAGCCGTCCAGTACGACCTCACCGACACGAGTCAATGGCAACTTAGGCGACTCACCCGCTACCATCTGCGACCTCCAGGTCGACCGTGCTGACCGGAGCGACAACGATGAAGGGAATGTTGTGCCGCGCCGCAAGCACAGCCGCATTGTAAGTTCCAATCTGTCAAATCCTGTCAGTGGCACTATCCATCCACCATCCATCCAGGCACGAGCCACTCGCCTTGTTCGCAGTGTCCCCATTGCGAGCGATGCGATCCGCGCCGACCGCTACGTTCCAAAATAAGGTCCAAACATTTGGTCAGCTCTTAGCCCGATGACTCACCGATTGCATGAATGTGGTGGTGCTGGAACAACGACCCAACCATACTGTCGCATAGCATCGTCGACGGAATCTTCAGTGACTGCAGCTCGAAAGCAGTTAGTCTGCGAGTGAGACCACGTGGATGAGCGCGTTAAGCCCCATGGACTGCACTAGTGAAACCATAACGGACCGAGAGCCCTGGTGGTAGGGAGTCGATTGCGTGAAGAACGCCCGCTGCAGCTTTCCGGTCTCATGGAGGTACGTGATGAGACCGAGCGCCGTCCCATAACCCTGTAATGCCGCCGAACCGATGCGTCAGGACAGCGATAGCGCGGGGCACGACAGCAGGCTTGACAGACCGAAGTCGCGAGCGAGCCGGTGTTGCAGACCGTCATCACGTTCAGGTCCGCACCGCTGCCGCCTTGGCTCTCAACGCGCTCGACGAGCCAATCCCCGCCCCACTTCGACATCAGCTTGTTCCTGCCGACGTCCTCCGCGTCGATCTGCTTCGCCTCTGCGATGAGCTCCTGCGCGATCGTTCGGGTATCTTTGTCAGCATCGATTTCCTTTTGGAGTTTCTTGGACAGTCTGCGCGTGGCCGCTCCGAGGTTCACCGCGGTCGGCCGGGCGGTGAAGAGATGTGCGAGGAGTTCGGATACGTGCTGCTTTAGCACTTCGGTGGTCTCGAGACAGGGAGGCGTCGGCGAGGCTTTCAGTGCGTTGCTGAGATGGTTTGCTACGGCCAGCGCGGCCAGAGAGGCGATCGCTGGTGCACCACGAATCTAATAGGAAAGAAGCGGTTAGATGAGCGCCTGTTTCTCGGTATCCCATAGTACACTAGCTGTGCATACATACTTTCATAGACTTGATGGCATCGAAAGCGTCGTCGATTGTCTTGATCTCGATAAACTCTGTGGTATGCGGGAGAAGAAGCTGGTTCACAATCTCCAGCTTGCCTTCGCTAGTGCGGATCGAAGTAAGCGCCGGCATTGTTATTCCAGAGACTGTCACTACGTGTCGAACGTGAGCCATCCCATACAGACATCAAAGGGGCTTCAGACTAACATGCGATCGGATATGGGCCCTAGAATGCCAGTAGAGCGGAAGCAGCACAGATTCCAGACGCGCGAGGTTTTGCTGGAGCTGCGACGCAATTTGAGCGACTTCCTTTCTGGGCCGATCACCCAATCTGACGATCTTCGATGGCCATTTCGGTGCCCACGTGCGTCTCTTATGTGCACACCGCCAGCTTGTACCGTAATAAGTATCTAAAGCGGATGCGCCGAAACAGGTTCAGTGGCTACTAGCGCAAGGTGATGTCCATGAGGCGGTCACAGGAGGTTCACGGTATTCGATAACAAGCAGGTACGCATCAGCGGACCCATATACTATACCTTCGGTCCGTCCCAATGAGCTCGGGAACGAACGTGGGTCCGATCGTTAGCGTTTGAGTGAACATACCCATTCGGAGTATGATGATCAGATTTCTACTGAAATTGGTCACTGGCTTGGACATCTATCACCTTAGGCTTACCGCCACTAGACCGCCGGCGAGAGAGCCTGCACGTGTGACCGAACGAAGCCTCCTAGAACATTCCAGTGGGTTTGTAGAGAATTGTAAGTTCCGATGCTTGAGTCAATGAATGGCGACTCCACGGCCGTCAGAAGGCCACGCCCCGAGCACTGGGCACCCTGCACGTCGATCACCGCACCGCAATGACCCCAGCTCGGAGCGAAAGCTGTGCCTAGCCCGGGTCCGCAGCGCTGCATGATTACACCGTAGCCGCCGGGCCCGACAGGGCGAGTTCCTTTTTCGTCGAGCAGGACCCCGGGCCACCTCGTCCTCGTCAAATTCGCTTGGTCTCGCGAGCCCTGAAGCCTGCGCCATCACTTTCGGAGTCAAGCTGTCAGCAGGAGTGAAGGCGTCGCCGTGATGGATGCATGCATGTGCGGCTTCGATCTGCCCATACGCGTTTGGTGCACATGTCATCACGTCATGTCCACTGTGGTCTCAGGACTGTGGACAAGGAGAATTCGTAAGTCCGGCTGCTATTGCTCACGATGAGCAAGCGCACAATCTTCCGACAGCACTGAAAAGCTCTTCATGTTTTATTGTTCGAAGTCTATCAGTGAGCTTCGGGAACCTGTACCCTGTAGTAACCTGCGGATCCGTCGAAATCAACAATCTCGCAATCAAGGCTGTCACCGTTGCCAATCTGTGTCTCCACACAGGTGAAGTCCATTGTCTACGTCAGGAACGTCAGTTATACGCTCCGTTTCAGATGAGCACACAGACGGATGTCTTACCTTGTACAGAACCGCCATTGGATGATCTGATGCCAAAGACATGTCAGTGAGACAGTTCACGCAGCGAAGGAGACCAGCCAAGAGCGTGCAGGAACGTGTCGAAACCGTTGAGGAGTCAAAACTGCAATATTGCTGAAAGACATGGTACTCACGCCAGATGCCAGTGTCATATACGATCCCCTGTCCCGCGGACGCAACGAAGGCACGCAAAGTGCTCATGTCCGGCTTGTCGTCAGGCCCGTTCTTAGCCACGATGACGAGATACTGCGTGCCGGGATCCTCTACCTCGTCTCCAGCTCCCATCGGAATGAAGGCCTGGTTCGTGCACGGATGGCGCTCCAGCAGCTTCACCTCCCACTCGCCCCCCGGCTGCACGTCGACAGGCGTACACCGATAGACCGACAGCCCTGCGGTGGCCTGGGCGCGGGCCGCCTCGGGGTACGATGACTCTAGCAGCGCGAGCTTGTGGAACTTCGTCGCCGTGCCCTGGTTGGCGCCGGTGATGCGCGTGTGTCGAGGGTCCGGCACCGCGTTCACGTCCGCGTACGCTTGCACGACCGTTCCGAACGGCGCGAACGCCTCCGGGGTGAGCGGCAAGGCCGGGATCACAGGCCCAGTCGCACCCTGGGTTGCATTTGGTGTAGGCGAGCTCTGCTCAAGTTCGGGGGTGACACCATTGCCTTCTCCAGGCTCGATCGCGCCTACCGTCGAGGAGAGTGCGCTTGCCACTCGCCGTCCCAGGACGCGCACGCGCTTGATGCCACCGTCAGGGTAAATCGTGATCCTCACGTGCGTATACGGTGTGCCGTCCGCGGCGGACTTCTCCAGTTGGAAGTAATGCTGGCGGTGCGGGCCGACCTTTTGGCGGGGCAAGATAGGCGTCCACTCGTCCTCCGGTACGTCCGTCGGAACGAGCGCGTCGGGACGGTATAGCGCGTGCAGCTCGCAGGACGCTGGGAAGTTGCCTTTAAAGTGCGCGGTGTCTATCTCGACCTGCGACAGGTAGCCTGCGTCTCCGCTAGACGAGAGAAGATGGGGCGGGGATCGTGGTATGGTTACATTGCGGTTTGATGTGTGGACGGATGTAATATGCGAGTTACGAACCGACGCGAGAAGGTGTTCGTGAATGGAGAACGTCAGCAAGTCGGCACTAGGAGCAGGTGGCGACGGTATGATGTGGCTTCTTACAGTCGGATGATTGCCCAGTCCTTGTGGCCTGGAGCCCGGCTACGTTTTGTTTCCCATCCATCGCCCATGTCTTTGCCTGTACGATGAGAGCCCTCGGTCAGCAATGGCTTCGCATATGCGATGACCACGGAGGTGAAGACGTACCCCGCCCGGGTAGAATGAGGTTGGATCCAACACCAAAGTGTTGGTCGGATGTGTAGACCACGCGGCCGCCTGAAAATACATGCGCCAAATCGAAGACGGCGGAGGTATCGACGGGGAAAACGGGCGATACTAAGCCATAAACGCGGAATCGCGCCTTGCAAGGTTCACGCAATGAAGCATCAGGCAACCTGTTCCTGCATATGATCAAGTCGCACTCACGATCCCGCCGTCAGGGTACATGTTCAGCTTGACGTAGTTGGCGCCGGTAGACGGAGGTACGCCGAAGAGGTGCCTTGAATCAGGTCCGAGATCAACCTTGGGTAGCAACTCCTTCCACTGCATATGCAATTCGGTCCGATTTGAGCGGCCTACAGGACCCCGAAAGACGGACATTGACTCACTCTCGAGTCATTGACGTCTGGTGCTGTGCCATCCGGCGAGTAGAGGATGTCGACTGACGCTTGCGGTGCTTCGTTCCCTGGCGGTCCCGCAGCAAGAGATTAGACATCGGTTGGAACACAGGAAAAATTAGACCTTGTCAGAGATACCGTTGAAATGGCTGGTGTCGATGTCGAATCCGCTTATCGACCCCGTTGTTCCCAGTTTGATTATGCACCTACGTAGAAGTAGAAGTCTAGCATGCGGTCAGCAGGAAAGGTCATAGGAGGGCCATACCAGTCATAGCTGGGGTTGTGTCTGCGAGTTTCCCATCCGCTGTAGAGTGCACCTTTCGGACCGAACTGGCCCTTTAGACTCGGAGCGGGCTGAGGGGTTCTGGGGTCAGGGGCAGTCGCACGTTGGCAAGGTCATATGGATTCATACTTCAACTAGAAGCAGATGAAAGGCCTCCGCGAAGAACTCGTCTGACACCGAAGCGATCTGCCCTCCGAGAGCTGCGCTGGAGAGTTCTGTTCAACGCGTTTCAATTAGGGGAATGTCAGTGTGATACAGGCCGATGGACGATTCTAGACTGACCTATCGTTGTGGAGAAAGCCTCCTTGAATTGCTCAAGCGAGATACGCTCGTAGCTCATGATGACTAGTGTCGAGGAGACTGCTCACGCGACAAGTAGCTATGTAGGCTGCAGTGCCACCTCTCGTACTTATCGCGTGGCCCATCTCGGCCCCTGTCGGGCGAGGCCTGTGAGAGCAGTAAGATCCCGATCGACGATAAAACATATGGGAGATAAGCGAATGAATGGTCGGCTAGATTGCGGGACCCAATCGGCATTACCGGATGACAATCCGTCGGCGTCTCCTGGCATCTCACCGCCAACAGTGACCGAGCACCCTGCAGCACATCGATGTCGACAGCGAAGTCTCGCCCGACGGACGGTGGTGGTGCAAGGTCGACGATGGTCACTCTGCAATCCGAGTCTGGCCGCCACCATTAGCGGCGAAGACGATGCCACGATCGGAAGACGCCCCATTACCTAAAAGGGCGATTACATCCGTCATGCTCAACTACAGAGACAATCACATGCCGGACCTGGATTGAGCGACTTGAACAGAATGTCCTCTGAAACGTCCCCTCGTCACCATTCATACATCTCCTCTCTTTCCACGACGTGCCCATGATAGATCACTTGCTGGGGCGTCCAAGTCCGAGCTGGAAGAGGACTCAGGTCTGCCACCTGCCACCTTGCTGACGGTCGTGTAAATGGTCGCTGATGTTCTAACCTGCAGGTCATCCTTGTAATTATCTTTTGGTTCACGAGAATACTCAAAGGAGAGCCAAATGGACCAAGACTACTCTGGATTAGGCGAGCTAATAGAGCTTTGAGTATGTCTACACTTACGACTGTAGAACACACGAACTGACGTTGAGTGAAGAGTCTTTCACACCATGGCAGCTCATTGTGAGCACCTTAACTGGTGTCTACGCCGTCCGAAATTTGGACAAGATTCTCGGACTACACGGTATGTTCACTCTCCAATGTATCCCCGCCACACTTCTCAGTCGCCCAAAGCCCCCGAACCCCTAGCAAATTTGGTGAGTGGATACGGCTGTTTAAGATGAGGCGACGAATCAAGCCCCGTCTTCAGTACTCTCCCTCCTACTACCGGGCCACATGGATTGTCACTGGTCTCGATGCCGGCTTCGCCACCGCCATGAGAATCAAGCCACGGTGGCTAAGGGACATTTGTTCCATTATATTTGCCATATATTACATCATATATGCTAATGAAGCGGACGAGAAGGTACGCCGTCTCCAAGCGCGCTTTTCTTGTGGCGTAGCCACTCATCTTCCTGGCAGCTTCGCAAGTTCCGTGCTGTTCCAACTGTCGAAATGCTGCGGGCGACATGGGAGAAGACCACCAACCCATACGTAGGTTCCCCCGCTCTTACCTGTGAGGAACAGAACACTGCTGACACGCGCCAAGTTACGCATGTTGACCACTCTTCCCCGGATCAATATCCGCCGTAAGATCCTGCTGGCGCGCCCAAAGGACTCAATTCAACGCCGCCCTATCACGACTTGGTTATTTTTTGCACCGCCGGCGGACCAGCTAGCGCTCGCTACCGATTTGATTTTGGATTTCCCCGGCGGTGGGTTTGTATCCATGACCCCAGAACATCACGAAGAACGCCTGCGGATCTGGGCACTTCGAACCGGCAAACCAGTCCTTTCCGTTGATTATGGCAAGGCACCGGAGTGTAAGTGGGTTTCATCAATACCTGCTACCCTGTGTTAACCGAAGAGCCCGCCGGTGACCCGCAGATCCTTACCCCTTCAGCATAGACGAATGTTTCGATCTTTATCGAGTGCTTGTAGAGACCACTGGCTTGGTCATCGGATTGTCCGGTCACTCGCTCAACATCATACTCACCGGTGATTCGGCGTATGTGTCGTCTTTTGGCGTTCATTTGCTTATGCGACTCCTATGCTGACCGCTCTCTAGCGGCGCCCATATTGCCTGTTGCGTGATGTTCAAGATCCTGGAGACGCAGATGAACCTACCCCACCCGCTTGCGCTCGTGCTCAACTACGCGGCGCTGGACTTCAACTTCACATCTTGGATGACGCCACAGAACCTGCGCGTCTTGCAAAGCGAGCAGTCCTCCGGTCACCTACCCTTATTGTCCGATCAGAAGGACCACCTACGCCATATCAGTCCGCTTTCCATGGTCGGCGACCGGCGACCCCGCAGGCGGAGAAGCCTTCGCGATACTCTTCGGCAACTCGCCACGCCCTCATCGGCAACACCTATGCCTCCTCTACGCAGTCGCCATACCACCTCTGACGTCAGGAGATATTTCCATGAGCGAGATACCCCTGAAGAAGCAGGCGCAATGGGGGATGTGGAGGACGAGTCGTCAGGTCGTCTTGGGGACGAAGAGAAACCGCTTCGTGCCCGGATCCGATTCAGTCCTGACGTCGAGCGCAAGGAGGTCGGCAAGGTTCCGAGAGAGTCTCCATCTATGAACGAGGTTAGCGAAGTCGTGTCTGAGAACGCTCCGGTTGCGAACGGAGCCCTCATTGGGACAAGACTCACCATGACCAGCCGAACTGGGTATTTCCAGGATCGTATAATTCCTCCCAGCTTGGTGAGCACCTGAATTCCTCGCAATAGCACGAGCGCAACAGCGTTACTACCCGAACGCACTGCTTCTTGAGCCTCGCAATATGGCTGATGCGTATCTTGATTCCTAGATGCGTGCAATGGCAATTCTCTACATCGGGCCTTATCGCAACCCCGATTTCCAGTCGGACTACCAGATTTCGCCCATCCTCGCTCCCGACCGCCTCCTCGCACAGTTCCCGCCGCTGCTCATGACCTGTGGCGAGAAAGACCCCTTCGTAGACGACACACTTATCTTCGCAGGACGCGTGCGAGAGGCAAAGCGCGCACGCCGGGTAGAGCTCGAGCGCATCATCGCGGGCAAGTCCTCCGAGTTCGGCGAGGCACTCCGGATGAGCACGCATAACGTCAGCCACGACAACAACCAGTCCCTGCGCGCCCTCCGGCGCGAGCGCGAGCGGCTCGCCGCGCAGACCGAGGAGGACTGGGTGCAGATGCACATCTTCTCCGAATGGTCTCACGGATACCTGCAGATGCCCAGCCTCATGCGCGAGGTTCGCGGCGTGCTCGACGAGCTGGCGAACTGGATGGACGGCGTATTCGTGAAGCAAGGGCGCCGCTCTGCGTCGCCCGGCGCAAACCAGCATGCCGGCATCCCGCCGTCGATCGCGGGCGATCGCCGAGGCGCCTCGAGCAGCCCACCGCGCGCGCAAGGCACGAAGCTCGCCGTCAGAAGGCTCTCCAAGTCGGCATACGACAGGAGTGAAGACACGGACGGGCTCGCGTCCACGACAGCATCGGAGACGGAGCTCGACACGGACGAGGTCCTGAGCTTCGCACCCAAGCGGCGGTCGCCGCCCCTCACGGGGTCCCGGCGGGACTCGCATGGGTCGGCAGGGACGGCGCGCCGGCTGTCGATGAACCACAGCGCGAGCGTGCCGACCCCGCCTGCCCCCAACGGCGACGACCTGCGCCGCTCCGCAATGATGCACGACATCCCCACGTCACCCGGACGGGAAGCGGCAGCGGACCCGAGCGGCTCGCCGCCGCCTGGGTCTGGGGCGGTCAGCGTGAAACGGCCGGGGTCGCAGACGCCGGGCAGCCACTCGCCCACGCCGAGCAAGGGCGGCCAGACGATATCCGAGTCGGAGCTGATGCGGCGGCGTCGGCTGCTGGACGCGCACCTCATCCCAGCTCAGTCCCAGGACCCGGCCAAGTAGGCAAGGGGGTGTGCGCGCGCCAGTAGGCGCAGAAACTTGGGACAGATGCCGTTCACCGGTCGATCGGGGGCGTTGGCGTTTCATTCTGGGCGCGTGTACGAAGAGAGTGTATCTGTCGCACATGTCGGGCGGCGGGAGAAGGATGTCCGGGAGTATGGCTTCAGATGTAATAGCCGTAGCCGTGGCACCCGGCCTTTATCGCTGGGGACAGCACCTGATTCCTGACACTGCATGGGCGATCTGCGAGACGGGACGGTGAGCGGCGGTGTCGCGGTCGGGACGGGTTCGGCAGGACGTTAGCGCCGAGAGAGAGGAAATGGGTCTTACTTAGGAATGGATCCTACATATAAATGGGATATGTACTACTATCGATTTGTAGATTCCAGCCAATTTGTCCAGGACGTCCCTCACCCAAGTAATATAGCCACTGCACATGCAGATGAGGTCGGGGAGAGCTTGGTCAGTAGTGGTCTTGACTGAGAGGCCGGAAGCCGGTGCTCTGGACATATGGAACCTACCGTTCCACCCGCTGTGCCGTATCTGGATCAGCGACAGCTTGTAAATGACATCGCTAGCCTGCGGCAGGGATCAGCGAAATTAGTGACTTGCTGTTCACGGGACATTGCCAACAGCCGCCCGGTATTGTCGATTGCCCCTAATACCAAGTGCCAAGTTAGCGCGTCCGGAACCAAAGAGAAAGGATTGGTCACTAGGTGGCATAGAGATGCAGCATGAGGGCCTGCATCAGGCATCGATACGAAATGCCGGTGAGATATCTCCATGGAGTGAACCGTTCCCCATGCCCCTTGGCGTCACCGCAAAACGCGAAAGACGCGTTACTGTTTGGGGCCGGTGCCGGTGCGCTGCGGCTCGGTTTCCGTGTAAGTGTTTGATCGTAGTCCGAAGCGGGCAGCTGTGGAATGTCCTGGAGCTCGAAGCACGTACTTGGATGCAACATTCAAGTAGGACTACTTGAACAAGAGGCCACGCTGGCTAGTCCGGGTGCAGAGCGCGATCGAGCTCTCGATGTCGTAAGTGTCATGCGGTGCAATGTATTCGTGCGTGGGTTCAACAGCTATATTAGCTCTACATTAAGCTGTGCCAGCATGTTCACGGTCATGGTCTTCCCTGCACCCGCTGCTGGAGCAGAATGTTCCAAGCCCTCCAGAAGACATGCACTGCGGTGGCGTCACGGGGGGAGATGACCTCCGATAGGCATGCCGCGATGCGTGGCGGGATGTGTGGGCCTGGCAGGGCGGGCGGAAAGCGACATCGGAGCAAACGAGCATTTTCCTGTCTCTCATGTTCTTGTGCCAACATTGCGCGGTCAGATCAAGTGCTTATTGTGAGACTTGGAGGGTGTCCGCGGTGGATGCTGGCTCGTACTGACTACCGCCGAGAGCGCCTCGTGGAAAGATGAGACAGGTCGCGCCCGGTGCACTGTTGGCAGACACTGGGCGGATCGACGTGCTCGGGGATGCAGTGGCCGTGGGGGCGGGTTTGATGCGGGGGGGGTTGGGGCGCCTGTGTGGCGGGCGGGGAGGCAGGACCCCGGGGAGCGAGATTGGCGCGGGAGGGGGAAAAGAGGCGAAAGAGAGTGGTGGGGTGGCGGTACGGTGAGGGATCAAAGGACGTGTATCGAGATCGGGCATGACACATCTGCGCTTGCGGCAGCGGCCTGGGGTGTCCTCCTATCGTTTATATTCTATAAAGCCTCCCTTTTCTCCCTTTTCCCCGCCGCCCGCCTTTGGCTCCTCGACGCCCCGACGCCCCTCCGACTCGCCACCGTCGACGTCCTCTCGCCTCCTTCTCGTCCATCCACCACCACCCCCGCCCGCCCCCGCATCGGTCCGAGCCCTGTCTACCACCTATCTGTCTTCAACATCAGCACGAGTGATTACCAGCGCTACATAGACTGACATGGAAGTAGATGCCTCCTTCCGTCTTCCAACAATGCCCCCACCTACTGGAACCCCCTTCCGGGCTCTCCACCCTTACCAATTCGCCCCAGCGGAATACAATCCGCTCATGCCATCCCCAGACCACCCTCCGAACGCGACCCATCCACCCTCGGCACGTTCTGAACACAGTGGCCCCGCAGACCCGCTTGATCGGAATCACTCCCCGCACTCCTACTACACCCATCCCCCTCCTCCTCCTGCCCACGCCTCCTCCAGCCGTACCCACTTCCAATCGTCCTCAACTCCTCAGTTCCGAACGCATGCCGTCAACTGGGGCCTACCCCCAATCGTTTCTTCGCAGCAGCAGCAACAGCAGCTCCCGCCTCCATCTCAGCTAGCCGGTCCCTCAATGGCGCCCGCCCAGTTCCCTCCTCCCGCTACCTCCAGCCGTCGCTCTAGTGAGGATGTTCAACGCGCGCCGCAGGCTGCAATGCTCTACGCACAATCGCAGCAGCACCTTCCACCCATCGTAGCGAACCAAGGCAGCATTGCGCCCGTGACCCGCGCCCGGTCATCCTCCCTGATCGCCACCGCGACTACCTTCCCTCAGGGCGGGAACGTGCCGCGGCTGCCCCCAATCATGCAGGTCGAGAAGCAGCAAGTGACAACGAGCGCGACGCAGGCGGCGAGCGCGAGCCGACGGCGGAACGAGGCGAATTTTACCTGCCCGGTCCCCGGCTGCGGAAGCACGTTCACTCGGCGCTTCAACCTGAGAGGTACGCCCCTTCCGTTTCGCGTCTGTCACGACGCCCGTACTCGCATCGGTCATTCAACATGTCTTCTTTCTCGCGCCTCGCGTCGCCCCCGTCATGTTCGCCTTCGCTTCTTGACATACAGGACATCTTCGCTCTCATACGGCCGAGCGCCCGTTCCTGTGCGAGTGGCCTGGGTGCAACAAGGGATTTGCGCGCCAGCATGATTGCAAGTAAGTCATGGCTCCCCTGTGAGACCCTGACACTGCTTTCGATTTGCTAATCGTTCCCTCGGTCTCGCTACGCACCCTTTGCGCGCTTCGTTCACCCTAGACGACACCAGGCGCTACATACGTCGCGGTCACAATCAAACGTCTGCCAGGGATGTGGGAAGACGTTCAGTCGTCTAGACGCGCTTAACGTAAGTCCCATTGGCATATCCAAGTACTCGCGCGCAGCAGCTGACACCGCTTGCTCCCACAGAGACATCGTACGTTCGCACCGAGCTCGCGAAGCATGATACCCCAGCTCACTTTTGTCCTCCCATTCCACAGTACGCTCAGACGGAGGCGCCGACTGCCGCCATGCTACCGAGGCTGCGAACGCCGCGAACCGCATGAGCCCGCTGGACGAAGACTGGGAGAACGCGAGCAACTCGACCGAGCGTTCAGAACGGGGCCCGCGCCGGTCTCCGCAACGCAGCCCGACGAGCTGATCGCTTCCCTGCCAGACCGTGCAGCGCACAGCACCGTCATTTGCAATGACTTTGGCGTCCAAGCGTATCATCATCTTCATCAGCACGCCTTGCCAGAAGGCCCGTTCTTATCTTCCCGCACAACGTCCCCCCTCGAACGTCCGCCGCATGACAGTGGTGAGCGCCTGCAATCGAGTGACCGCAATACGATAGGGAAGAGTTCAAAGAATGTTAGCAACGGAATGTGGGGATGTGTGGGGGTACGCCTGGGCGCCCGGTCTGCTGGGGTGTGGTGTGGTGCGGTGTGGACGAGGTAGGGTGGATAAGGTCGCGCGCCGTCTGCATGTCGTGCTGTCTTCTGCTGTCAAATACTGTTCTCACTCAGTTCTCGCTCCGGTCACATTCGCGTTCGCAGCATGCACGGTCCCGGTTCCCGCACGCCGGGGTCGATTGCAACAGTCGTGTACATGTAGTAGTGCCGGGCTTCGCTGCTAAATTAATGCCGCTAATGCTCGTCTCGCTGTCGTTGGCGTAGTTGCCTCGCCCGCACGTAGCGCTTCGAGCGAGTACCGCGCAGTGCGTGTTTCTTCCTCCGGGTACGGCTACCACTACATCTTCCATCTTCATACGTCAGTATCTCCGTACGTTCGCGCACGCGGACTGCGCCTTCCTACTTCAGTATAGCGCACGGGCTCGGGCACTGGAGACACGAAGTCCGCTCAGCGCTGCTCAGGGAAGGAAGGCAGGCGCCATGCGACGTCCGACACCCGATCTGCGGTCACCGACGTCTCCGCTTCCGCCAGGGCTGCTGCCAGAACGTTGAGGCGGCTGCTCTGATCGCGGTGCGCGATGCTGGCTAAACGCCTGCTGCTGCGTCGAACATTCCACGGCGGGCAAAGCGCCAGGCTCCGAGCAGGGAAAGTTGTGTGGCATTTATGGGCAACGCAACCTGACCCTAGCATTTCCAGTGGGCCTTTGTATCCCTCTTTGTGATTTGGGAAATCTTATGAGCACGTTGCATGGCACGTATATTTAGCATAGATTTCCTCACCTGGACCATCGCGCTTTGCCTGCCGTGTTCCTGGCCTTTGCGCAGTGGGACCGCATCACGCGGGAGCCGCGGTGCGCGCCATCTGGACAGTTCGCCCTGTATCAGGCGAGCTGGTTGAGCCAGGAGCTCTGAGCGGGTACTTACGTGTGGCGACGCTTCCGAGGCCGGGGATCGCGCAATAGCGCAGCCGTGAGGTCGTTTAACTCAGGCGGGCTCGTCGCGGCCGTTGTCGCGCTACATACCCTGATAGACAACTAGGTACATATGTAGCCCGCATAAGCGTCGACGAGGTGCAGCACGTTGGTAGTGGTTGTTCTCTCTGCGTTGTCGCTCCAGAACGACTCACGCCATCTGACGAGGGCGGGGCCCAGTGCACCCCAGCGAGGAACGCACGGGGAGAGATGGTGACCGTCTATAGCTCGTCGGAAGGAACGGCTGCCTCGAGTGCACGTACGTGTGCAGCGTGCTCGCGGTGCCATGCATGATGATGACCTGTCTCTGGGCAGGGACAGGGCACCGTGCATGCCAAGCGAGAGTTCATACTTGCCCGTCCGGGCTAGCGCGAGGGCAGATCTCGTGCACAGCACGCCGCCATGGCGGTGTCGCGCGTGCAAAGCGCCGCTGGCTGCGCGCCCCGACGCTACAGCTGTGCCCTGAGTTCGAAGCCTTTGTCTTCCCCCGCCCCGCCAGGCCAACCCTCCACGTCTCTCCCCAGCTCGCCGGCCGTCGACGGACACTGCGGTACATAGACGTGCGAGTTGTCTCGGACAGGTGCTGCAGCCCAGCGCTGCCCCTCGAGAATTGACGGCCGACGTCGTATTTGTATATACGTGCGCGCCCCGGGGTCCTGGCAGTCTGCACGCTGACAAATGACTTTATTCGGTCTGTACATGGACACTCGGTAAGTACTTAGTTCCAGCCTCCATTCGACACGCCACACATAGCTCTTGTCGTAAGTCGGAATGTGAGTCCCTCACACTCGCAAATCACCCGTTCCGAGACCGTTCCTTCTTGTTCGTTTAGATTCCTAGGCGCTCGGCAGTTCAAACTGGATCCAGTACAAGGGCAAGCACGCACACCGGAAGTCTTGCGAATTATTCAACCGCCCGCAGCTTCTCGCGCGGGCATAACATTTCTCGAGCGGCGTATGACCGATTCTGTGACCGATAGATGTCCGGAGGCCGCACGGTTCGCCGGGCGGGACGACGGCGCTTCGATGGACTTGCCGCTACGGAAGTGTCACGGCGACCAAATGCGACCCGAATTCCAATTCCCTGTTCGGACCTGCATGGAGAATGCGCAAACACGCCATGCTGGCCGGTTCTCGCCATGACTTGTAGGTTAATTTCTAGATCGGACGACGGCAGTCGACGGCCAGTCGCTCGCTCGCGCGGCCTCTCGGCACAGGACACGCGGTGGTGCCCAGTCGAGCGAAAGAGAATGGACACATACTCGAGCGCGCGCGCGTGTGCGACAAGAAGGCCAACTCCCCCGGAGAGCGATGCGCACGTTCCCCCTCGACGCCTCCTTGACTGCCACCACAGTCGAAATGGACTTCGGGAATTACAGTGATTGCAGCTCCCTGGGGCGCTGTCGCCCGTCCCTCAGCCGAGCCGGGATCCCGAGTTTCTCGGCAAATAACTGGGTTGCCTCCGAGCGGCATGGGCACATCCTCCTCGTCCCTCCCAGCCGCAGCGCCCCCTGAGCGCATCTCTCCTGTGCTCAGAGCTGCGAGCAGCAGCGCTCGAAGAGGGAACCGCCAGGATGCCGGGCTCTTGGAGGACAAGGGCGGACACACGCACCTACATACGAGGACGCCGACAGTCCTCGTCGATGGAATAGATGTGGCTCGTATCGGTGCGGCGTGGCGGCTTGGCAGTGCGAGGCCTCTCTGGACTCGGACTCGGTACGATTGGACCCTACCTATCATCCTAGCAGGTGGCCCTCGGACGTCCTCCCTGGCATGGCGGGTCTCTCCCAGTGTTCTGCGGCATGCTGAAGCGAGACGACCAAGACCCGGATTTGCACGCAGGGCCACCGGTGCTGACCGAGTCCAGACGTTTCACCACGCTATCGCGCAGGTGATTTTGACGACTTACTTTGCCCTGCAGCAGTCCCGCAGTGGATCCCGTGACGCACGGCGTAATCACGTCCCAAGCCCCGGACTTCTTGTCCCCGGTTGGCCCCATCACGCTCTGGATTGCGCGCCCGGTGTCGCTAGCTGTGCGGCTTCGACCGCCATGACGCGATGCATGGTTCAAACGCGGCCGCGTGTGGTCCATCGATGAGCAGAGAAGTCAGAAGACAGAAGAAGGGAACGCATATCAGCCACCACATGAGCGGCGCAGTTTCTGGTCTGCGTTCGGCGGGCAAAGGTGTAGGCGTGCTCGTTTGTCGCGTCGGTGCTTGGTGGCCCGGGTCCCAGCCGTGGGCCGTGGCTGGCATCTGCATCTACATCCTGGTGTTGGCGTCTTGCCATTGTATGCCGGCCGGTACGTCGAGCCCAACTCCGACATCGCAATGACGTGCTGACGATGTTCGATCTGCTGAGTCGGACGCAGCTTTGTTCGCCGATGGCGTTGAACGTTGAACGTTCGCCCGCTCGCAGCGACTTATCCTGCACCGGCGATTCGCCCGCAGAACAACGCACGCCGGGCCATGAAGGCGACTTCCACCCAAAGTCGGTCCGAGCGAGGTCCGACGACATACGCAGCTTTCAGTCTTCGGCCCACCTCCCAGCGGGTGCTGACGGCAGCCTCGCGCGTAATCCCGTTCGGGCATCGGTGACGGGTCCGTTCGGGCCTATCATGTAGGGTCGGACAGGCGTGCGGTTTGACCTCATCGTTGTCAAGAAGCGCAGCAACTTCGAGGCATCTCAGTCTCAGCGGGGCGTCAGTTGGCACGTCTGAAGCGTCTGACACGGCGGCATCCAGGCAGCTGGAGTGTTGCTAGAGGCTGCTAGACCACACAGATTTTGGTACTGTCGGATGATCAACGCGGTCATCTACCGCATGGTCTGACGGCTGTCGGGAGCAGTATTAGGGTTTGATACATACGGCTGCGCACGACGAGTTTGGGTATCAATCTATGGCTATATCTGTCCCGATACGGTTCCTGATGGATGTGTAAGGATCGAATTCGATACATCGTCAAAACTGAAAATCACAGCCACTCAAAGATTGAAGTAAATGGAGGCACCCTGAACACCACTGGCCCCAAGGGCGGTCTCCAACGCTTGCTCCGCATATATGCTATGCCGACGCACATAACCCGAGTGTTGCGAAGAGACGATGATGCTTACACACATCGAGGTAGAACGTCTCTAGTACTACCGCCTTTCCGCACTCACACTCGCGATGCGGGCTGGAGGCGGCGGTGCAGCCTGCGACATCGATGCCAACAGCCCGATCGAAGTGTTGCGCCCGTGTTGGCAGCTGCTGTGGACCGGGGTAGCCTCTAGTTGAGATTCGGATCGGCCACATTCCGCTGGCCGTTCCCGGGCTGTCATCCACACAATTCAGGACGCCGGAGAGCATATCTACAGCATGATTACCCCATATGAAACCTATAGTATCGACGTTTCACAATACAATACGCCGACTCAAAGGACGGCGAGGGGATCTGTAGCTATTTGGCGATGGCCAGGGTCACGGCAGAAAGACAGGTTGGACTTCGAAACACGAGGTGAGGTAGGACTTATAGACTGTATCCTCACCGAAACTGCCGGCTCACGAGAATATGTGGCACCCCGCGAAGTCCTATGTAGTACGGAGCAGGCGTTAGCTATACAGTCGTGTTCAAAACAAGCGGCGCCACATGGACTCACGTCTGCAGGGTCATTAAACCGCAGCCCAACATCCAGTCCAGAGATCGCGCTCATTTCCTGCTCGGTCAAGCTGAGATCCTCGCTCCGGAGGTTCTGGAGCATCTGCTCTTTGGTATCGCTCTTCGGGATGATAGCAAGTCCCCGTTGGGTCGCCCATCGGAGGACGACCTGTGCAGACGTTACATCGTGCGCCAAGGCAACAGAGCTAACCACAGGGTGGGTGAAGAGAGATTGGGTGCGTAACGACTTCGGCATGTTGAGCTCACGGAAGCCGAGGGGTCCGAACGACGAGTAAGCCGTGACTGCGATCCCTTGGAACTGGGCGTACTCGACTGCCCGGGTCTGCACATTGTACGGGTGGATCTCTATCGAGGCACGTAAGTAGAGATTTGTAGGTTAGTGCTATGTCGTTGAGTTGAGGGGTTGAGCTCATGCTCACCGATCTGCAGAACCGAGGGTTTCACCCTGGCGTACTTGAGTAGGTCCATGAGCAAGGCGCTACACATGTTCGAAACCCCGAGGTGGCGAATCAGCCCGGCATCGACGAGCTCTTCTAGGGCCTCCCATGTCTCACGGAGAGGGACCGGGTCGTGTTTGACTTGGCTTTCTCCGTCAAAGACCCATCCTGGAGGGTAGCGTTCCTCAGGCGGAACGTAGGCAAGGGAGATGGCTAGATCAGACTCATTGGGTTAGCATCCCGACATGTAGAGGGATTCTCCTAGAAAGTCCGCGCTTACGGAAGTGTACATAATAGATGTCGAAGTACGACACCCCCCAGTCAGCGAGGGAGCGCGTGACCGCCTCTTTGACGCGCTCCTTCCGGTGGAATGTGTTCCAAAGCTTCGAGACAACCCAAACATCGTTTCGCTTGACCAAACCCTCTTCGACAGCGCGTCGGAGGCCGGCGCCGCACCCCTGCTCATTTCCATAATCTATCAGATATCACCCATGCGTGTCAGTCAGTGTAAGTCATCAAGCAAGTATCGGGGTTCAAGCTAATAGCTCGTTCTCATCGGTCACCGCAATGGCGGCCGACGGAGCTAGAAATGCTGAAAGGCTGATGGAACGACCGAGTACTCACCACATGCACTATCGATCAGGCGATAGCCGGCTTGCAATCCGGTATACACGGCGTCGGCAGCCTTGGCGCCGTAGTGCTTCCACGTACCCATGCCTATTTGAGGCATTTCACTCCCATCTCCGAGAATAAGAGTTGGTGAGGGGGACATTGTCGGGGCGTGCGGCTGTGCTGGTATGGGGATGATGCCAGTAGATGACGTAGGGGGATAGAACCGCTCAATGGTTTAGAGTGTGCCACCCAGTGACCAGTGGCGCTCGAGGCGTTAGGGCTCTGAGATATGATCAGCGAATGTTGCTGTCCTGCTTATATAGAGGTCAGTGAATACTTCGAGCCCATTAGTCGAATGGATTGCGGGATGCAGGCGCAGCTAGCCTCGAGTCGACCAGGCTAGGGCGGCCTCTGGGGGGGTTAACATTACCCTTGTGGATTCGAAGACTATCCGTGACTGAAGCCCAGGTGCTTACAGTGGCCTCAGACAAGCCCTAGATCAAGCATGGCGCCTACTATATAGTTCACAGACATTAGAATGGCGGAAAGTGCAAGACGTCTGTGGGTGATTTCAGGCAACTGATGTTGAACGTCGCTGCCTGGACACGACGTCTGTCTGGAGTGCTCTGTTTCCGGACCGTCACAGCCACATACAGCCATGTTCTCGGCTTCGCGGAACCCATGATGTACTCCATCGGGCACCAAACACGCAACATTGTCGGGGCCAGGGGCAGAGCAGGTACGGCATCATACATGAGGCAAGCCTGGCATTAGGCCCGGCACTTGTTCTGGCAAGGGAGTATTACAAGACAACATGAGTGCCTACATGTGGAAATTCAAACGAAACGCTGCAAACAACGAACGTATATCAGCTCACGCGCCAAACGCCAACGTCTGAGGATATATTAAGAAGCAAGAGACATACCCTCCAAATCCCGTTTGTCACACAAAGTGGCGAGATCAAGTCTCTGCATATGGAGACAGCACGTCTTCAAGCTATCCCATAGTGCGCTTGAGGTGACGCCTCGACTTGCTTCGTTCCCGCCAGGATCGCGAACGCTATCACTATCTTGTAGAGAAAGCGCATCCAGGATGTGTTGCGCAGCCTCGTCGTAACGCTGGTGCATAATTAGGGGCGAACACCTCAGCGAGACCGCTCGGCATTACGGGATGGAAGACTTACGCGAAGGTTGGTGCAAGATATCCCTAAGTTGAACCTACGAGCAACCCGAACATGCAGCCGCGCACAGAAAGCTAGTTAGTCCCGGAGATTGGCGTGGGTCATGACGGGACGCACCTCGCACGGATGTAGCCCGGATTTAGTTCCAGGGCGGCATAGTAATACTGAAGAGCCTCCTCGGGATGCCCGCTGTTGGCGAGCGTCGCACCGACACGATTGTACAGCAACCAGTCCTACAGACGAAAAGCAAGGCATCTGTCAGTCAGTCCCCAGCAAGGCCGGTCTCAAGCCGTAGCCGCGCAAGCACGCACGTCAGGTCGCACTGCTAGCGCGGTAGTGAAACAATCCCGCGCCCTGGCGTATTCCTAAGATAGCAGATAGGTCAGCCGCAGGTCTGGTCAGCCGGAGTACGCGGCCCACCGCAGGACCCGATGTAGTGGGCTGCGGTGCACTCGGTGCGGGATGAGGTACGCACTTCGGTCGTATTGAGCAGCACAGCAAGCGCGATTTGAATATCAGCATCTATTTCCCCGTCGGCATTGTCCCGCACGATGCTCATCAAACACTGCATTAGCTTGGCGAGCTTTTCGCTCGTCCGCGCATCAGGTGCGTCGGGGTTGAGCGTGCGGAACTGCTCGACCGCGGTAGCGTATCGCGGATTGCGCTCCACCCATTCCCGGATGGCGTTGTAGGCTCCCATGCGGTCGCCCTCGTTTGTATGCGATATCGCGAGCGCGAGCCATGCTGACAGGAGGGTAGGGTCAAGATCGAGGGCGCGGCGTAGAGCTTGAACGGCCTTCTGTTCGCGCTCGTTCTCCTGCTGCTTCACGCCCAGCTCATACCAACGCGTTGCATTCGACGGGTCACGTTGTACGGCGGCCTCCATCTCGAGTACGCTCTAGCGGCGCAATTGCAATATTGTTAGTAATTCATAGAAGATGCTGACTGTATTTGAGCATGACATACATCGTAGAGCGTTTGCGGCATGCCCGCATGTGCGGTATGATGTCTCGTCCGAGACGTCTCTCCACTGAGATAAGGATTGTTCACCTGGAATTCGTAACCGCTAAGCGGCCGCAACCCATGCGCCGTCGCTTCGAAGGTTTCCCAATCTCGCTGCAGATTGTCCCACTCCGCCTGTTGGTGTTGGAACTGTGGCTGAAACCCAGAAGAGGGTATTTGCCCTGCGTGGGCCAGCCCTGCATGGGCCAGCCCTGCATGCATCGCCATGTACTCTTCGTTCTCCTGTCTGAAATAAGCGTCGTTGGGGTCCTCAGTACGCAATGTTCCGGCTTCGTCGGAGGATTGTTCTCCGGTGGTTGCCATCCCCTCGGCGGGCGTACCGACGACGCGCCGCTGGAGGGTGGGTAGCTGCATGCCGTTGATACCCGGGCCGAGAATGTCCACAGCGCGCCCCTTGCCCTTCACATCGGTGGTCAATTGGTCACCGACGGCAGACTCAGACCGCTGGACCATCTCGTTGCCTTCTACGATCACTTCCCCGTCACGTAACTGGCGCATGAGTCCCATGAACGCGCTGTTCTTGAATTTCGCGCTTGTCTCGTTTTGCACCGTGTCCAGGAGAAGCCCTGCCGTGCGTGCGAGCTCATCTGGATCGTGGTTTTGCGCCCGCGAACGCTTCTCCTCGGTGACCGCCTCGGATTGCAAGAAAACTGCAGCCGTACTTGGTGCCGAGCTGAATGAATGTTCTTGCGACCGGAACACTTGGTCCCATTTAGCAGCTGTCCAGCATGGTTTCGTCAGTACTGGACGACGATTCGGCAAGACTTGTACTCACCATCAATCTGGGGTTGCGCCTGGGAGACAGCGGTCTGCATTCCAGACATTGGGGCGAACTGAGGTGTTCCCATCGCCATTGATGGGCTCCACGACATGCCTGAGATTTCGTGGTGAGCACCTGAACAGCTCTACCTTCTGAGATGTACATGCAAATCAGGCTTCATTCGGGATACAGGTCCCGGATTAATACCGAGCCACGACACTGAGCCACCATCATATCGGCGGACAAGCCATCAAGCCCCTGAGCGGTAGCAGACGCGAAAGAACAATGCAACGTTCTGCTAACCTTACAGCGGTCCTCTATTCGATTCCACAACTACTACGAGAGAGCACCGCACCGTATTACATGCTGTGCGCCCCTTGTATCTAGTCGTAGCACATACAAGCATGCTTGTCCTAATCACTGACTCGCTGCATAGCTGTGCAGGCAAGGACGACGATGGCTATGGTGAAATTCGGAGAATATACCCGCGGCCTACTGCTCATCATCACAAGAGCACGCAGCCCGTGATGGTCGCGAGTGCATGAGGCGCTGTATCCCTTTCGTTCAGCGGCACGAGTGAGGAAGAGCGGAACGTGCTGTGCACATGCATGTAAAGCAAGTGCATAGAACGGACAGGAGAGGGACCAGCTTGGCACGAAAAATCTCGCTTGACTCACCAGGAACGAATCCACTGGACGCCGCCCGTGGTACGGCTGATGCGGTCTGCTCCATTGCCACTGGCATCCCCTGGTGCTGGGCCGCCTTACCAGAGAGCGAGGAGGGCGCAGCTTGCCCGGGGACTTGCTGAAGGAAGTCTGCCGCCCATGCGGCCGGGCCTGCCTGTAGAGGTGAGGAGCGCATGGGTGACTGGATCTGTGCGGATGGGGAGTGCGAGATGGGGAGGTTTCGGTGCAGGGATGAGAGGTCAAAGGCCGACGGGGACTGCAAAGTAGGAGTAGGAGATGGAGCAGCTGCGAAGAATCTTGCAGCATCTTGGTTCCCTCCGGATGCAGCGGAGTATTGACTTCGGAACGTCTGCATCTATTCTGTCACTCGCGCAAGTGGAGGCCGATGTGATTGAACCTCACCTCTTTCGAGGAACCCGCACGACCAGCACCAAACTGGTCCTGGAATTGCTATCGTAAGCGACTTCCTGTCGTATGTCCAGGAACGCCTCTAGCTTACTTGCTGAATGCCTCTGTCTTGATCGAAACGCTTGGAGAGACCCTGTAGCGGGTTCGATGGTCCGCATTCGGCGCCATTGACTAGGAGGGGTAGAGACATGGGGTCAAACAGAGCTCTACGAGTAGAGAAGAGGTGGCAGGAATGGAGAAACAGTAACCTGCCTGTGTGGCGTCGGTGTCCGGCATGGCCGCAATGCGTAACAGAAGCGCCCGAAATAGACGAGTGTCGCACGTGAATTACCGGTTTGGTCGTCTCATAGCAAGCGCTCATGAACTCCAACTTACTCAGCCGGCTGCCTACCGACTCTGTGAAGATAGCCGCCACCATCTACTTCGACTTTGTTATCCACTGATACATTTATGATGAGCCCTACTCACAACGCTGCCGAAAACAATCCGAACATAGCTTGTTGCGATGACCACGACTGTCACCACAGAATCTTATCGCGGTCACCGTGTCTTACAGAAGTCGGCAAGTGCAAGTAAGTCACCAACGGCTTCGTGCTTGTCGTGCTTCAAGATGGAAGATTGCTGCTTACATAGGAAATGGGCCATGCCGAGCTTACCGGGGGCTAAGAACAAACCTCGGCCGCGGTGTCTAATCTTCAGAACAACCAATACCAAATCATCAGGGTTGCAAATGACCTTGCTACGCAATGAAAAGTACCTGCATCATCAGTCCTGAAATGTCCAATTCATTGCATCGTCCCCGAGAAGTTGTCGTACGTATATAGTTAGCAAGTCTTGTGAATGGTTCGCTGTATGACTTTATGATAAAAGTACGTCGAGAGGAAGACATGAATAAGTATATGCAGCTTCTCCGAGGGTACAATCAGCCTCCTTTTCGGAGGTAAGGCTCAGAGCGCCTCGCCCCGCGAAGGAAAGAAACATCTCGCACATCCACGGCAAGACGTGCTTCTCGGCCTCCAGCCTATCCATAAGGTGGAAATACAATCTCTAGAGGGACGCAAATCGGACTCCCCGCAAAATTTGCACAATACCTTGGAAGAAGGAGAGCAACGCCTCATAATTCGTGCCGTAGTTGGATGGGATCATAACAAGCTTGACCTTGAGCAATTCCGCGGTCCCGATGCTTGACAGGGCGTCGCACACGCAATCGAAACCAGTCCAGAGCGGGGCCTGAGCACGGAAGCCGCAGTCGCAGTGAAGGGTTAGGCTCAAGAGGTTGGACCACCGTGATACGTCGCAGTGGGAGACTATGTTTCATAGTGAGCAACTTGGGAAGCGAGCTGGTCGCTGAAGTGCAGTACTGACACGTAATACTGAGCCTGTGGATGGGAATAAAGTGATCGATCTCTAAGTCGCGTAGATCGGCTCCTCTCCTCTCGAGAATATAATAGAACTCATGGAGATCCCAGTGATTCAAACGGCATTTGAGGGCAGAGATCCTGTCACTGTGAAGAAGCATAACAATTGAAGAGGATATTGACCGTGGTCATCCACCGTGCATCATTATGTAGGGGATCACGTCTACGGGACACCTCTAATTGACCGTTCATTGACGTGGTGCCCTCGATAGCGAGGTGCTCAAGGTTTGAGAAGTCGCGGACGAATTGCATATTGGAGCGTGATGCGTGGTCCGGCGAACCTGATGCAGCGCTGCATGGCTTGCAAACCTCTGGATCGGCCGCACACACGATCGATATGTTGTGGTCTAGCCGTCTTCGATCTCACGGGCTTGAGCGGCATCGAGGATGGATGGGATGTAGACTGGAATTACACGTTGTCCAACGAATCTCGGGGACAAGAACAGTATGCTGGAATTAATGCTGGAATTGCACAGTGAGCTAATCATTACCATAATCGCGAGTACTATATGCAGGGAGTCCGTCATCTCTATACCATGCCCCGACCGCCTACGCTCCGCAGACTCCAGGCGCACTCGCGGCGGTTCACCTGACTCCAGGTGCCTTGGCGGCATTCTTGAATTGCCAAAAACTAAGCGCTTTGTCGACAGCATCAAGAATAGGTTTCATAGCCTGTGGAACCAAGGTCAGATCATCATTGGGTACACGACATACTAACTGCCGCAGCCGATGGTAATCTAGAGTAACCAGGGAGCTAATCAGACCACTCACCACTCGGATGCGGTTTTGGTCCACCTGCTCTCTTTGTGCTTCCGCTACCAGAGCCTCGACTTTCTCGTGCGTCTTGCTAAGGTACGCTATCATTTTCAGCGCCTTTGCGGTCTTTTGTGCAGGCGTCGCGACGGACAGCTGCTGGAACTCGTTCGCGGGAGGATAGATAGCTAGCCAGAACTGACGGAGGAATTCGTTTGCCGCCGTCTGGCATGTCGTCATCTGACGGAACAGCGCCTCGGGAATATCCTCTGGAAGGGAGAACAGACGACACCATCGCACACACGGATCAGAACGATAGCGAGAGGAACGGGATCATAAGCAACCACGTACGTTTCCGTTGCTTAACGTCCAATCTGCTCTGGACGTTCTGTGTCATGCTAATGAGCGCTGCGTCTCCAGCTTTTTTCTCTATTCTGAGCTGGAAGGGACTGTTGGCTACAATTTATTTCGGATTGTGGAACGACACGTGCGTACCTGTGCTAGGTTAGCGGACCACCCTGTTGTGCTCGCTTTGGCTTGTTGCAGTGCTTCCCGCAATGCAACGCGCTGGACGGTACGGTAGGTCAACGGACCATGTGATACCTAGTGAAACAAACATACCGGGCCTTCAGGATCTCCTTGCTCTGCACCGTTTGCCCGCCCATCAAAGTACCGCTGCCTGTCCTTCATGTCCAGAATGATGCCGGCGGATGACTGGTTGTCGTGCAGGTCTTCTAGGTCTAATTGCGCATATCGCTGTACGGCTGTCAGCTCGACATACAGTAGAGCCAAACAAAGACTCACTTCCTCGCCGTTCTCTAATCGTCTCCGCTTGACAGATGGGCCTCCCCTAGAAAGGGCATTAGATCCTGAAGGCTCAGAAAGATACCAAGTCGTACAAGGCGGTGTCCAGCAGCCTGGTAGAGTGCTCATTGAACTTTCTGATGAGCGGCAGGACAGCCCGCTGTTTACCTGCCTGCATGGTGATGTCTCTCTCGTTACCAGTCTATGGACGGGTAAGTCGGCTTGCACGACGCGGCAAACGATGGTGAAGCACCTCTTCATGATCCACGGAGGTTGCACCCAAGTCAATGAAAGTATCGACTCTCTCTTCTCGTAGTCTTCGAGGTTCGATATCTGAAACAAGCGATACAGTCTTGTATAAATTACGACATCTGCCATTCACTCACCATCATCATCCTTCTCCAGGTACTTGTCCAATATTGGATCATCTTTGACAACATGTTGCGCGGCAGAGGAACGAATGGACGCTCGATGGGCGTTGAAGAGCCTTGACTGAAAATATCTACTCCAGAACTCCGCTTCTGACAGCTTTTGCATGCATGAGGTTCACAACTGGCAAAGTTTGGGTGCGAACTATACCTTTTCAGGCACATTCTCGCTATATGCTTTCGCCACAACAGGGAACTCTTCGAAGATATCATGAACGAGCTGAGGGGTAATGATGATCTTGACCTCCCCGTCCACCGATTGCGGCCGCGGGTCGACGAGCTGACCAGGCTTCCCGCGTTTCTGACTTTCAGCGGCCGCCTGAGCTAGGAGCAGATGCTTGAGGCAGCCGCACAGCGTGTCAGACCATAGCATATGGCAAGATGGAAGATATATATAGTCACTTCTCGTCCTTCCCAGAACTCGTTCTCCGTGATGTGTCCTCCCATGACAAGCTCCCGATGGAGCTGGGCCAGCTCCGGCGTGCTCACCAGCACCTTTTTCCGTAACCTGAAATCGGTCGTGGGGCTGTCGCCAACGGGTGTATCAGAAGCCCTCGACTCGCTCGCCACAGACACAGCTCTTGATTGGGATGGCCGGGCATGTGGCGCTGGCGGCCGCATAGGCGTCCCAGCAGCACTTCCATTCGTGACTGGGGCAGGGGTTGCGACTTGTCTGGCTTTGGATGCTGGGACAGCAGGGACCTGAGCTTGAGGAGGCGGTGCACGGTTGCGGGCGATGATGGTTGTGAGCTCGGCCTCGAACTTGTCTCGTTCGGCGAGCGCGACGGCTTGTGGAGACGTGAACGTGAAGTTGTGGCCGGCCTCATTGCTTACCAATCCAATCTTCAACCGCACCTGATCTGCCCCAGCCTTGCTACGCGACAGAGCTTGAGGAGACAGAGAACAGAAGGTAGAGAGCGAGATACCAAGAAGATGTAACCACCGATGTCAGCGACCGCGTCGCGTCTTGCAGACGTGGTTCTGACACTTACCCGCGGCCTCCGCATACGGAAACTTCACAGCTGGACTTTTGTCACCAGTCTTTGTCCATTGCAAGTGGGTATCAGTGAGTTCGAGGAGACCAGGGAGCTTTTTGTAGGACGCCTGAGCGGAGCAGACGATGGAAGGCATGCCGGCGCCCTGCGAGTCTGTCCGCTAATACGTTAGGTAAGCTAGAGGGCGCTTACTGGTACCGAGGGTCATCATCGTTTATATATCATAACATACCGAAGAGCAAGGATACCATCCTGCAATATACTCCTTGAAGAAAAAATCCTGGGCAATACTATGTGGTCATGGTCGCAAAGACCCTAAATTTGAGAGAATCCGGCTCGGTAGCAATGGGGGTGAACACCTTTCAACTTATGCTCGCAAGACAATGGCTTCACGTTCACGCAGACCAGTACAAGATGAGCATGGTGATAGGAAACAAGATGTCTCTCAATAGAAGACCATGCACTACCCGACGCGCAGATTCGATTTACTGCGCTTTCCCATACGTTGTAGATTTAGAGTTATTACTGTGCTCAGTGCCCCAAGGCTCCGAGGAATGCTTTACGTTAAGGGCTATGTGCTAGCCTGCATGAGATCATTCAACCTTCGCCTCAGTCATCTTCACCCAAAGGCCCCCCTATACGCAAAAGGCGTCAGGTCAGACCCGTCAGCAGCACAGCTCGTCGCAGGAAACGCATACCCTAGCATATGTAGTCAAGTGACTGGTCATCCAAACTCTGTCGGTGCCATCCGAACCAGGGGAGTCGGCGTATCCAGGAGGAATGATGGACTCGGGAGAGACCTCCGGCACGAACTCGATCGCGGAGACCTGCTGCAGGAGACGCACGAGCATGAAGGACACCTCGTTGTACGCAAACTAGATTGAGGTATCCAGTGAATGATCGAGGAGCACAGGCTAGCGGTCGCAGAATCGCACCTGCTGTCCAAGACAGATGCGAGGGCCCGCGTTGAACGGCAGGAAGATGAACGGATTGGACGTGAGGTACTTCTGCACGCGTTCGTCGAGGAAACGGTCCGGGTCAAACTTCAGAGCTAAGTGAACGAAAATGTCTCAGCAAGCGGCCCAGGAAATTGGAGCATGATGCTGCTTGCCATCTGGACCCCATAGATCCTTGCGCCGATGCACCATGAACACAGAGTAGACACATCTTGCTTAGGAAGTTAGCGTTCGGTGGACCGCATATTCAGTGAGAACCGCGCACTTCATTCCGGCTGGTACGAAAATGGGCGGTTGAGTAGCGGTAGCCGGGAGCACCGTATCCTTGATTGCACATCTGAAGAAGCCAGTCATTGACAAGCCTAGGAGGTATGAACGATGAAGCCCACCGATTATTTACGGGACTAGAGGTACCGCGTACGAATCTAATGAACAAATCGCATGCAACATGAGGGCAACCCCACTCACACGGGAGGATACAAGCGCAATGTCTCGTTGATCACAGCACGCAGATACTTCATGTTGCGGATGTCCTCGTATGAGGGCCTGCGAGTAGGTCCAACGACGCTCATGATCTCCTCGCGAAGTCGGCGAAGAATATCCGGGTGCTCCGCTAAACGGTAGACCGCGAACGTCAGAGTGCATGCCGTAGTGTCGCGCCCGGCAATGAGAATGTTCAGAATCTCGTCGTGAATGATCTGGCGATCTATAGCAGTGATCACACAGGGTCACAAAGCCACCATGAGCATGTGTAAACCCAATATCTGCATACGTACCATCGGTAACCTTCAACAAGAAGCTCAGCAATGTGTCCTCCTCTGTAACTTCCTTGGTTTCCATGTCTCCTACTGCCGCCTTTTCTGCCTTCGTCTTCAGGGCATCCTTGAGAATCGGGTTGATGAACTTATCGATGCCAGCCTTGTGGGGGATAACCTTGTCCTTCCAAAACTCGCTCAAGCCCCACGCTTCTTGGAACTTGCTACGGCCTGCAGCGACAAGCTGAGCTGCGAGGAAAGACGTGGAAAACTCATCCTCTTCAGGCTGCACGAACCGAACGTCGGCGGTGGGCGGATAAGGAAGACCTTTTGCTAGCGACCGGACGTCCTGACCAAAGAGGAACTCGGAAGCCGAGTCGAGCGTGAAGCGCGAGATGAGGTCCTAGTCGAGGTGATAGGTATATCAGGGTGCGCCTATTCTCGTGCGGGAGGCCACTGTATCGTACCTGCCAATCGACGGCATATCCCTCGCGCATGCGGGCCTTCATCTGCCGAAGAGCGTCTGTCGCGTGCCGGTCGAAATTCTCGAAGTGACCGATCCTGTCCTTGCTGAAGAACGGCCTCGTCATGGAGCGGTGAAACTTCCACAGCTCATCTTGTTATCAAGGCGTAAGCTGAGAAAATGAGTGCGTGCGCAGATAGCGCGATTCAACTTACCATCGGCGTTAAATACGCCGACACCCAGCAGACTTTGCATCTGCTCGCGGAAACCGGGGCCTGACGACCTTGTCAGAACTATCCATAATAGTTGTAAGCTGCGGTTCATTTCGAGTCCTACCTTTCTCGAAGTTGTTGAAGTTTGTTGCAAGGATTGCCTGACGAACGGGAGGTCAGCGTTGGCGAATAAAAGCTGGTCGGTCCCAAGCCCTACTTTGATATGCTCAGGCTCCGTGGTGACCATCTGCAAGCACACATCGAACGAACAGGTGAGACGCTTTGTGCTAACTTAGGCACTGGCACTGCTTGGTTCACTCACCCTTTTGAGACCGTAGGCCTCAAAGGAGAAGGTGTTCCCCCAGATCTCGCTGAGACGGAAGAGAAAATCGCCTATGTCATCACAGTCGACCTCTTGCTCACCAAAGAAGCTCGGTCAATAGTGCTTACGAGGATAACCTTCTTTCCCCCTGCGCTTGACACCTTGCGTGGATGCCAAAGGGGCCACAATCGCTCCATGTGCAGCGGCAGCCCTGTTTACCGAGGTGTCCCTCCATGCCCGATATACAAGCCAGAAAATGGGGAATGAGAGGAAGGAGGCAACTGCTACCACTAAAGCATGGATATGCACGCCAGCATAGGCCCTGGCGACCGACGTTCCCAAAAAGACCGTGGCAGGCGGGAGGGCGACATAGTGTAGATGCGAGAGCAGGAATCTCAGCCCAGGAGGCAGACGGGCCATGATCGACGTGGTTAACCGGGATAGAGTCTTCAATCTTCTTCCTTAAGTGAGGATTACTCGGTGCCGGAAGATGGTCGTTTCTGGGCGTTGACTACTAAAGTATGACAGTCCGTGGGCTGTAGTAGCAAGAGACCGGATGTCAATTTCCAATTTCGAGCTATGGGGTGCGTGGAACTGCGATGCCAGTCGGAGGCGAGACCCTGTCAGTACTTAGCCTCAGATGCCGCAATTGACGGCAACAACGACCACAGTCAACCCTAGTAAGTAGGGCGCAGTCCTTTGAGCGGTCACCGGGTATCACTTTGGGACCGGTCGTAGGTGCCCGAACATGTCCGAAAGTGGAAGTGGCGCCTCCCGCCTCCCGACGTGAGAGTGATGCGCGGTGGCTATGCACGCCGTCTGAAAAGTTCACCTGGGGTCGTATGGATCCATTGCTCGACCCTCTTCTGATACGCCAAGGGCTCACGATCTGAACAACTATGTCAACGGCACACGATGCCAAACCGTTCCCCCCAGTCGAACGCCAGCTGATCGTGTTCGATTTCGACTGGTGGGTGCAGCCCAAATTAATTCATCATCACGTCGCCCATCGCTAACAGCTCTTCAGGTCTCTCGCGGACCAAGACTCAGACCGCTGGGTCCTCGAGGTCCTCGCGCCCAAGCTGCGCAAGAAGATGAAGGACCTCAAGAAGGACGTCCAGTGGACCGACCTCGTGTGAGATCGCATCTTTTGCGGACGCTGTCGACGGCCTGACGATCCAAGTGCGATGACCCTCAAAGACCTCCATGAACTCGGGGGCACCAGGGAGCAGATCGAGGAGGCTCTTCGCATCATGCCTTTCGTCAGTATCGTTTGTGCTTATTATAGAGATCGTTGTTGACGCGCCCGCAGCACCCTGCTATGGTCCGCGGCGTCTCGGCGCTGAAGTCAAGGGGCAAGACATCGTTCTTTTGCCTCTCGAACGCGAACATCATCTACATCACCACCATCCTGAAGGTTTGGCTTGCTGTTCCTGGTCCAGAATATTCCGTCGTTCTCATGATCGGTGCAGTCCAAAGGTCTCGACAATCTGTTTGACGAGATCGTGACCAACCCCGCGGAATGGGACGAGTCCGGCCTGCTCAAGCTGCGCCGCAGGATCGACCCCTCCGGGCCTCAGCACAAGTGCCAAGTCGGGTGCAGCCCCAACATGTGCAAAGGTCAGTCGTCGCATGCACACCATGACCAGGGACCTGTGCTCTGACATGGGACGTTGACTCTAACGGAAATGTGTCGTCATCGCCTTGATGCCCATGTAGGTGATGAGCTGGAAGCATTCCTGGAAAGGCACCGGCCTGATTTCGATCGCGTCATCTATGTCGGCGACGGGTCTAACGACTTCTGCCCCGTCCTGCGCTTGCGCAAGTGAGTGGCTTCTGAACACGATAGCTTGCGACGTGTTGACGGGTATTGTTCTAGACAAGACGCTGTATTCTGTCGTCGCTACCGCGGGCTGCACGACCTCATCGAGCCCTACGAGAAAGAGGGCCGCCTTCAACCTAGAGTGGAGTACTGGACGGGGGCTTGGGAGGTTGAGGCGCTACTCGACCAGCTGTGAAGCGTATAATGAAAAGGAAACGTGTGATGACCACACACAATATAAGCAAATCGAAGTAGATCGATGCATTGTGGCCGAGTTATATTGGTGTTCTTGTGTATTATTCATATCACGGCCAAAGCCCGGAGTAGGACAAGAAAATCATCGAACTCGGCGTTAGTCAAGCACTCCGTGAAGCGTCCGGAACCCATCAAAACTGATGACGGTCATTGGGAGTTACAAGGAGAGAAAGAGACAGATGTCATTCGTCGAGTCGAGAGAAAATAGACACAAGCCATGTAGTTATCGATGGATGGATGATGGGGATCTGAGGACGTGCAGAAACACTGGGCTACACATTGAGGGCATTGAGCGCAGGTGCAAAACGAGGAGGAACGACCTTGCGGGATATTAACACATATACAGACGTGGAAAAGGCGCGCAGAAGCCTTGCGTCGAAGGAGAGATTTACATTGTGGACAAGGAAGAGGACGTGTGGACCAGCAAGCAAATGTGGTGTTGTTGTACGTGTCAACGCAAACCAGAGCGTGAAGCTTGAGAAGCGTAGGGACAAGTCCAAAGTACACGAGGCATAGAAGTGCATGGAATGGAGGCCAGTACCCAGCAATGGACACACCCACCGTGCCACTCCGCAAAGGGAAGCAAGAGTCCTTGAGCCGTCAAACCCGCCAGCTCGCAGAGCAGTCGTCGTTGTACTGCTGTCGACCAGTCATTCACAACCCTGGCTCGGCTATCGTTTATTGCGTCCACAACTCCATTCCGCTCTTCCTCCGTTGCTCCTTCGCACTCGCCTGCGACTGTGGGTCCGTGGCAGCGAACGGGTTCCTCTGCTGGTTGTTCCCGAGTGGGTGCCCAGCAGGGACGACGCCCGCTCCGTAGAACGACGGAGGCACCGCCTGCTGTGGCGGGACGACTTGTCTCGGAGCAGCGCCCGAGTTCGAGGCCGCATTGTACGCGCCGTACTGGTCAGGCTGCAGCGGCACGTACATCGTGCCCAGCTCCCCACGTCGGTCAATCGCGCCATCGAAGGGCGAGTTGGGGGTGGCCTGCTGGCTCTGCTGTGAATATGTCGCGGCATATCGATTGCCCGTAGTCGTCGAGTTGCTCGCGTAGGCTTGAGGGGGGCTCGGAATTAGGTTTGCTGAGGGTGACGCGAACAGGTTGCTGGCAGGATCCGCCCCACCAGTAGTCCCGTGTGCAGCATTACGGGCATTCGACAGGATGACATCCCTTCGATCCTCGTCGACGAGCATCGCGTTAGGCTGATAGGAGTGCGCCAGCCCTGAGGTCGGAGGAGGATACCGCCCGGAAGTGTTGTGGCCCCAATTCGTCAGCCCCTGCGCCGCAGCAAGCTCTGCCTGCTGCTGCAAGTACTCCAGCTGCGGATACGGTTGCGCGGCCGCTGCTTTGCCTTGCTGCCTCCGTTCCCACTCCTTCAGCGCGTCATCCCGTTTCAGCACCGGAGTAAGCGCCTTGCGACCGCCTATGACGTCTTGGTTCATGTGCTGCAACCGCGCGAGCGCAGGAGGGATATTGTCCGCCATATTGTGGATAGTGTTGGAACGGGTGCGCGCACTCGAGTAGTAGGATTGCCCTGGCGCAGAGGGGTTCATGCTTGGAGGAACAGCAAAACCTCCTGGTCCTGGTCCGGGCCCGGCCGTCGACTGGCTTGGGTATGACGGGACGTTCGTTGAGACATTGAGGTGTCCATGTGAGCTCTGGTGGGTCAAGGTGCGATGCGAAGACGGCTGGGAGGCAGCGTTGGTGAATTGCTGTGGCGAAGGGAAGTTGGAAGTGGCATTGTCCTGTGACCCGCTGTACGATGACGAAGACTGGGACTGTGAGGACTGCGGTTGTAGGTACGGGTTTCTGTAGACGTTCTGAGCAGCTTGAGAAGCTGCCTGCGCTTGCGCCGTGTATGCCTGATGCTGAGCCAAGTGTTGGTTGTATGCTGCAGCATCTTGGTACGCGCGAGTGCCCTTCGGCTGGGAGGGAACCAAACCTCCGTATGGTCGCTTCGGGTCGACAGAGGCGCCACCCGAGCTTGTCGAGGCAGTGTGGCCAGATGGTGAAGAGTGAGACGAGGCGGCACCAGTTGGCTATCAACACAGTCAACGCACGGATCATGGCCGTATAGAGATCAACACCTACCGTCCACGGCTTCGTCCACTTCTCGCCAGTGATGAATGGATGCAACCTCGCTTGTTGCGGAGACCAACGCTCGATCGGGTTCATGTTCAGCAGACCTTGACAGAAGTCGATGAACGCCATGCGATTGTTCATCTCTGTATGCGCGGATCAGACATGCATGCCTGAGTCAAGCACGACATAGCATACCCTTTTCGATCTCGCTCTGCTGCTTTTGCGATGCCTTGAAATTCGGCATGGGGGCCTGCTTGATGATCTCCGGGAGCGAAGTCGCCTTGAAGTACTGCTTGCCTGGTTGCTCGTTGGTGTTGTGCTCTCGCGAGTACTGCTCGATGCTCTTCAAGCGGTACTTCTTGTGCCCATAGTGGTCGACGTAGGAGTCGAAGAATTGGCCCGTCTGCTTGCCCATATCCAGCATATATTGTGGAGGCATTCTGTATGCGACGGTCGCGTCAGTGCTCATCTCGCGATCATGACCGACTCCTCCTGACGCACCCTAACATCTCCACTATGCGCGTGATCTGGTTGTACTCGCTAGTACCGGGGAAGAGCGGCAAACCGAGGAACAACTCGACAGCGATGCAGCCCAACGACCACATGTCAATCGCCGCCGTGTACGGTATGCCGAGCAGGACCTCCGGGGAACGGTAAAACCGGGACTGGATGTACGTGTATACAGTCTGCCGTTCATGGCATGCCGAACCGAAGTCGATTACTTTGATCTGTGGTGATTGCAACCTGTGCGAAACAAGAGATATTTGTATCCAGGAACCCAAGATAGACTTTCAGGGGCAGCGTCACGGTACTTACGATTTCAACAAGATGTTCTCCGGCTTGAGATCACAGTGGATGAGGCGGGCCTCCTTGAGCACCGTAAGTGCGTCCAGGAGCTGTGCGGTGAAAACCTTCACGAGCTGCGTGCTAAGACCTTGGAACTGGTTCTGCTTGATAAGCTCGTAGAGGTTGGACGACAGCAGCTCAAAGACGAGGCACAGGTGGTTTTTGTGGATGAACGAATCCCGGAGTCGCAGAATGTGATGCTCATCTTGCGGGTCGCATTGTTGATTGAGCTATGCAGAAACGAGGTACGATGAGCGAGTGGATGCGCGCGCAGCTGGAACGCGACGCACTAGCTCCAGTATCGTCACCTCCATCATACTCTGGTTGAAGTACGCAGGCTTATTCTTCACGACTTTCACTGCGACAACCTCGTGCGTCTTCATATTCTGGCATTTCACGACCTGGCCGAAGGTTCCCTGTCCAAGAATATCCAGGATCAAGTACCTGAACGCGAGGTGCGTATCAGACCGCGGGCTATGTGAAATGAGCGGCAAAAGACAGTATAACGCACTTGTGTCCATCATCCTGACCCAACCAATCGTTCACGTAGAGGATGTAATCGTAGTCCTCGTTGTCATAGCCCTCGTTGTGCATCGGCTTGCTTGGCTTCGTGAGCACGCGCCGCGGATTGTGTGTCGATTCGTACTTGAACTGCGGGTTGCAGATGTGGTACGTGTCGGTGATATTCATTGTGAGTTGCTTCAAAGGCTGTATAGACGGACCGAGACGGCAACACGCCCGTGATCAGTTTCGGAAACCTAAATCGTCCCCTGACATCTAAGGCAAATGGACATACCGACATCGGAACCCCATTTGTGTCCACCCTACGTCCTCCAGGAGATGGGTTGACAAATGGTCGCAGATCCCGTTGGTCGCGCACGCGTCTCAGCCCCGAGGGACGGCGCTTCGGTGGTGGCGGTTCCACGGCCATTGGCTGATGCTCTTGCGCAAAGTATTGCGTGGAGCCTGGCACAGGAGGAGCATGGCTGAAGGACAATGGGGTCGTCGGTTGAGATATCGATGTTTGCCGAGGATGCCGTTGCGCAGAGAGGTTATTCGAGGAAGGCGCCGGGCTCGTAGTATCCATCGGGTATGGTCCCGAGTACAATTGCTGGTTCCCGCTCGATTGCGGAGAGTACGCGGAGGGCGGGAGGGATGGAGATAAGGGCTCCGGTTTGGTCTGCGATTGCGAGCGGGAATGGGTTTGGGATGAATAGCCACCGCTCTGGAACGATCTTTGCTCCGTCGTCGGTGAATAAGGGTAATTATTGGACGCGGCAGAAGTGTACGAGGGTGGAGAATATGGATCAAGGAAACTGTTACCCTGGGGCTGCCGCTGAGGGGACCTAGCAGCCCGGGAAGAGCCCGATTCGTGCTGAGTCTGGCTTCTCTTCGGGGTGTGCACGTTGGGACCGTTGGGGCCGGCGTAATAGGCGTCCTGATAGGGATCAGCGGCGCTGGCGCTGGCTCCTCCTTGCTGGGCGGCGTGATATGCGACGTTGGGAGGGTACAAGGAGGCGGGAGTGTGTCTCTGGCTGCTGTCTCCGTCTACATGAAATGCTCCCTCGAGGTCGTCTTGCAAGTGGTGCTGACGGCGCCCTCTCGAAGACGCGTTGCTCGACCCACCCAATGAAAGGCTCCGAGCCAAACCCCCGGAGGAGTACGGTGATGGAATCATGCCAAATTGCTGGTCCTCGTCAAGAAGCTGGTTTATGCGGGGCTGTCTTGAAGAGCCAGAAGGAGGCTGATTGATGGGCGGGAGACGGTGGGCGGCCTGGGGAGGCGGGCCCTGCGAGTACAAATACGACGCCTGCGCAGCAGTCTGGGCAGCCTGGGCGGAAGAGGAGAGGGAGTCGTGCAGGGATTGAGTGTGCCAACGAGGGAGATCGAAGTCTTCGTTTGTACCGGTCATGTAGGCGAGCTCAGGTTCAGACATGTGAAGATGGAGAAGCTGGGCGTAGAAGAGAACGACCCCGAGGTAGAGCGAGGGAGGTGGTCGCGGTGGATGGCCGGTGTGGACGCAGTGGACGAAGAGGTCGAAGATGGAGGAGGAAGCAAAGGGCAACGAGGACCGATCATGGAGAGCGCCGAGCGCAGTGACCAAGATCCAGTTCAGATGACTTGTCTCTCGAAAAGCATATCACATCGATTTCTTATCGACTCCAGTTTCTGGACTCTACATAACACCGCCATATCCACGTTACAAGCTTGCATCGTACAACGTTCCAAGGACATCCGACATCGCCCGCCCAACTATCACTTCGACTCGTCCGACTTCAGGATGTCAACTGCCGCCCGTTCGATTGCAAGCAGCAATCTCCCCTCCTGTCCCATCGACCCCAGCGACGGCGGGACATCAATTGACAGAAATATCTGCTTCTTGAAACGGCGTGCTGCCAGCCCCGATATTGCCGGCGAGTGCAACGTGTGCCCATGGGCGGTAACGTGGTTACAACAGCCGCGGTCAGTGCGTGTTGCGCGTGCAGGACAGGATAGAAGGATTATCACCGAGACGCTGTGCCATCGACAATGCGGCATCCGACCCCGAAGAACGATATAGTGACGTCGCTGCGCCAGGTGTGCCTGACTGGAATCCGTGAAAGTGCGGGTGTAATTGTGCAAGCGTTCAGCCAAGTCGATCAGGATGGTTGTAGCACAACGTCCTAGAAGCATTCCCGGAGAAGAGTGTAGCGCAACTCACGGTGTTTTGTGTCGGCATCGCACAAGCCCAGTCTTTTGAGAGACAGCCCTGCAGAGGTGCTTTCTGAACATCCACTGCCTCGACCTCGGTCGTCCCCACCCAAAGCATGCAAGTATTCACTAGATGCGTGACTTGAACCGCAAGAGCTGGAAGAGCGGGTTCCGTGGGCGGGAAGTGTCGAGTTTCAACACGGATCCGAGGTTCCATCGTGATCGTCGAAGGCGAAAACGATGAATGCAGTCGGTGGTCCAGTAGCGCCCTGTTTAGTCGAGGGTCTGAACGCGGGGAAACCCCTATCTACCTCGTCCTCCACTACCCTTAGTGCATGTCGCCGGAATCGCCCATATCTGCCCATACTTTCAGTAGGGATATTGCACCTGTCGATTCGAAGGGCCAAGTTGTCTGTTACAGGCATTGGGAAAGGGCCCAGCAATTCACCTCTCACACCGTAGCCAACCCAGGTCGGTAAGTAGCTATCGGGTTCTGGAACGCGCCATGGCCATACTGAGGAAGTCAAGTTCAGCGAATTCTACGTCTGCGGAAAGCCTCGGGACGACCTGGAGAGGTGCAGTTTCTTTGGTCAGTAGCCTTGTCCACTTTGGATGTTCCGTTCCTGCTTCCGTCGAACTCTAGTATGCTAGAATTGGCTGCTTCCCCTCTTGCTTTGCTTCGCGATTGCAATCGTGAACTTCCATTCAGGTGACGTCGCAGTCTACCTGTTGAGGGTAGAGCTCCCTCGGAAAGCTACACTTCGGCGACTGGCGGGTCGACCTCTCCGAACCTTATATAATCTCGCTTCCCCTTCCAGCCGCTCTTAACCACCACATGGCTTCAGAATATAGATGCCACTTGAATAAATGAGGCTGAATGTGATGACGCCCATCATGTCGCGCTCCTTGATAGCTCTAGCGGGTGGCTAGGAGAACATGGTGGTGGTGCAGTACATGCTCACAGGAGGGCGGCATATCTCCTGCGTGCCCCGAAATCTCGCGTCCCTCACCGTGAGTGATCGAATTGGATGGCAAGCATAAATACCTGGGGGTTGGGGATATGCTGTCTTCCAGAGAACACTGTTCACCGCCCAAGTCGTCTTGAACCACGCAGCAGTGAATAGTATAGCCTTACCAGTTCCTGTCGATGCTCATGCTCAATGTCTGGTAGTGAGGCCGGGCTTATGCCCTACAACGATTACAGCAGTTTACGGGCGTAACTTGAGCTGTGTAGCGTCCGCCAAGATACTCACCAATACTCATCCACAGTTTGGGCGGACGATACATCCATACGTATAGCTAGGGAGGCGAGAAAGCAGGATAACGTGACCGGTATGGAGGCAGCTACTTCTCACAGGCCTTCACAAGCAGGACGAGCACAGATGGCGCGGTCCCCTGCCACGCCTGGCTCCACCCACAAGCGACCAAGAACACCTAGCCCTTCAGCCCGTTCCGCCTCCTTGGTCGACATCTCAGGAACACCAAAACATAGACGGACAGATGGCGCAATACCGAGTACCGGGACTCGGACACGGTCCAACTCTCCTATCAGCACTCCCGCCAGCCGTGCGGCTCGAAATGCCGCCATTGAGAAGGCACTTCGGGAGGTGCAGCGCACGGCTTCGCAGCAGCCTTTGAAGAGCATAGATCAAGCACTTGCCGCTGCCGCTTCCCAGGAAAAACAGAAGACTCCTTCTGGAAACTCGCCTCTTCCTCCTCGGACCAATGCTTCCTCCAGCAGATCCTCCCGCAAGGAGCTTATCGAAGCCGCGCTTCAGCAGGCCCAAAGTTCACGCCTTTCTGATGTCGGTATTGGTTCTATGGCCACTCCACCCTCGCCCTCGCCCTCGTCGGTGTCACAGAACCCCACCCTCGTGCCCAAGATTGCGCAACCGCATTCATCCGGATTGGGTCTGTCTCTGTCTCAAGCTACACAGTCCGATGCGGGATACTCCATCACAGACGAGATTCAGCAAGTCGACATGGAAGACGAGTCCGAGGACGACATCGAAGACGCAGACATGGCCGAACTAGAGCTAGAGGTGGAAGACAAAGCTATTCAGACGGACCCCGTCGAGGACGACGAGGAGGGATCTGACGAATACTCCGTCATTGACGACTTTTGGAGCTCGCCGCCCCCGCACAGCGTGATAGGTTCTCCAGTATCCTCCATTCCCTTCACACTCCCCGCAACGGGCATGGAGGTCGATAATGATGCCGACCTCGGCTCCGCCGTGCCAGACTCCGCCCACCTGCAAGGCTCGGAGCGAGCTCCTGAGCGTGTGTCTTGGGCCTCACCGGCTCCTTTCCCACCTCAGACCCCGAGCTCCGGGCGGGCGGGTTCCTTGCGTCCACATGCGTTTGGTGGGAACGTGAGCGAGGCCGACAGTGGGGGACACGGCACCAGTATGCTTCTTACGCCCCCTGGAAGTTCCCATTTCGACCGCCACAGCACACAGGGTAATGTCTCTCCCTCTACGAGTCGACGTGGTCCAGGCAGCGTCGACAGTCCCCTTCTTCACGAGCGTCAATACAGAGGGCTGGACTCATCACGGTCTCCCTCGCCTTCGCCGACGAAGGGCGAGGGAAAGAGTCGAGATCTACCACGCTCGCAATGGCAAATGATACAGGATGATCCGGTGCGCGTGCAGTGCTGTGTTTGTTGCATGCATGTGGAAGTTCTGATGCCGTGTCTCTTTTCTTCTTCGCTTGTTTTGCACTATGCGCTCTTACTATCTGCCTTGGGGCGTCTGCATCCGCCATCAGCGGCGGGATGTGCAGGGGAATCCTTTCCACGAACGTGCGGCTGCGCTACGTACGGCTGCGGTGCATGCTGGTTCTCCGAACTCGTCGTTCATCCAAGCGGCAGTGGAGGCAGAGAGGCAGTCTGGAAGCTCAGATGTTCTCCCAGGCTCACTCACCGCCGACATCGTTGAACAGCAGGTCGCTTCTTTCGCGGCATTGCCGGAATACATACGAAGGCTCGAGAGGAAAGAGCGGGCAGCGCAGAGGAGTGCGGAGATCAAAGCGAAGAAGATAGCTCATTTGGAGGCAGAGATACAGCGGTACGTGCTGGTTAACGTATCGGGGAGGAATTACCTGTCTGCTGACGAAGACTTATGGATATCGTGTGTGTTAGACTGAGGAATACCAACCGCGCCCTAGAGGAGACGGTCGCTGCGTTGCAGGTACGACGGTAGTCGGGCTTGCATCATCAACTCTCTACATCCACCGATTGGCCCTTCGATTGATCGACCGCCCTTCACACCTTACAACGCTCTTTCTTGTCCGCCTCTCTGCTATGTCCGAATTGCCTCGTAATGTCCCTCTGCTGTCCTAGTGCTTTCCCATTCTTCCACGGTTTCTTGGCCGCTTTCCACGATCTATACTAATGAAGGAACAGATAGTCGCTGTCTTTGCTTATTCGCTGCTTCCTCTCTGCCGGGTTCACAATGCGGGGTAGTCGTCTTCCCCGTTCGACACCGTGCCGATCATTTCCCTTGGTGGCTCCAGCAATATCTTCCGCTTCCCTGGCCATGGGAAACAGGCTTTGGGGACCAAGGAGGCGGGGCTGCGGGCGCCGTATGTCGGTATTCGGATACGGGATCATTTAGTTATTCTTGATGTGCACTCCGCTCGTGCTCACTCTGCTCATTCGGGTTGTAGACCCCTAGATTGATGTCCATCTGACCATGTGTGTATTTGCAGGTCTGTTGTTGTCCGGTCCGAATCAAGTTTGATATGTCGTGAACTGAACAGCACCTACAACAGAAGCCGCAGGGAACGACAATGACAGAACATGACCTTGCGATTGCGCCCGTGACGCATTCAATAGCCATGTTCAATATCTCGTGGAAGAGCATAGCGCGACCTATTCAGATAGAACTCAACGATGCTATGTCTCGTGCGTATGACCACCGCAGAATGCTCCGAGCCACTCAGGGATCAACATCTGAATTGTGAGCATGAAGACGTGCACAGATCTGTATTCTGCACTTCTCGGTGGCTACGTGCTCGTCTAGCCGAGGTCTCCGAACAAGCTCAGACTCTATGACTAAGGAATTGATATACCAAGTACTGCCACAGGTTGATAGTAGCCTATTGTACATATTGTTGTCGACTTCACCCATTATTCATCACGATATGTCAGCTCTCGATGTCGAGGACGCACAGGTAGTGCTCCGTGCGGCGTTCCGCGGTCGACTTGTAGGAAAGGCACCGAGCGGCAGTAATCCAATATAGAGTGGTCAGGGACAAACGTGAGGGACGCCATGTCAGTGGTTGATGGGTAATTGAACCAGGAGTCCACTGCGGAGTTTCTGTGTCAACCTAACATTACAAACAGTCAAAGCCTCATGCCTCGAGGTGGATCAGACGATTAGGACTTGACACGACGTTACCAACTCTCAGAACAATTGTCCAATAAGGATAAGGTTCGAGTGCCTGTATACGGCTAGTACTTGCCGTAACCTACAAGATGCATTGAAGGCGAAGCACGCCTCGCGTACGTTACTCGCGCCGTCCTGCCATTTGATGCTTCATGTAAAGCAATGGTAGAGCTAGATGGACACTGACCACTTGTGATTCCTCGAGCCCTTTCGCTAGGCTATATACTTTGAGTTCTACAATGCCCCAATCGCAGCCGAGGCGTCGGGACGAGCCTGAGAGAATCTGTATCCTTCGTCGCCCTCATGCTACGTCATCGACAATAGAATGGCTGTCATAAAAGGGTGGCAAATTACCCTCAATGACAGCTGGAGGGAGTGTTACATGTGAGCGAGGGAGTCGAGGCATCGAGGAATCGATTGATGGGTGACAAAGCTTGGTCTCTTGGTCTTCTGGATCATCACGTAGACAGTACCCGGCAAGCGGAGTCTCGAGGTTCCCTCCTTCCGTAGACAGATTGACAGGGGACTTAAGCCTAGTGAGGGCGTTCAGCGCAGCTACCAGGCTGACTTGCGACAAACGTGTGTACCAGGCTTGACAGCTCGACGGCGAAGCACCCCAGATTGCACCTGTTCTCCAGGAGACAAAGGCGGCAAGGCTCAAGCCTCTTTTGGATCGACGTTCCCCTCGAGAGCCCACAATGTCACTCGGGATGATGTCTCCCTCCTCCGCGAAGGCGTTAGGTGGGCTTGGCAGAGCGGCAGTGCCTGTTAGGGCTCGTACGTCAGTGTCAAGCTGACAAAAGTCTTCCAGCTGTGTACCCACCTTGGAAGAAACAGACCTCACCGCAGTCGTTCAGGCATGAGACCTTGTCCGGGCATGCGTGTGTTGCTCCTCCGAGGACAATGTGTTCGATCACCCAGATCGAGCTGGTATCCGCAGCAGCGCCAAAGTGCTCGTACGACCACCTCGTGTTAGTCTTGCCTGTCGGAGGAGGCGACCTCTTCAGATCAAGAGCAGAAGCCGATCTCAAGACCTCGCTCGCATGGCTGCCATACATCTTCGGGTTTCTAGTCGAATACCGGCTGGAGGGCTCCCCACAACGAAGTACGAACGGGCTCCGGGACCGGCTCATAGCCTATCGAGAAGATAGGACTTGCATGCAGAGGGCGACGACGAACGGCGACGCCGATGATGGTCCCAAGCTGCGAGCACATGGATGATAGAGAGGCAGGGAGGTGCGATAGACACTTAGCATGTCCATCTTCCCGGACTGCGCACGCCTTCGCCAGGCACGCACGTACGCAACCGCCACCCATAGCACGCGTTCCCACCCCGGATGGGCTTTGTCAGTGTCCCAGCTGTGCCGGTATATCGGGGAGAAGAGTCGTGGAAAAGCGGACTGGCAGGCGGGAGGAAGGCAAGCCGGGAGTCCTCCCAGCTGCGAGGAAAAGAGGCGGCAGCGTTCGGTCTCCGGGGACGGACCTGCTCGAATCGGGAACGTCTGCTCGAACCGGCAATTCTACACCGTTCCTGTGTCGAGTCTAACGGTCAAAGCCGAACTCAGAGTATTACAGTGAATACCCACACACCTTCGATGGCGTCGCCTCTGCCTGGGAGCAAGGGATCGGTGGGAAAGGAAAGCGATCCGTGGGATGCGGCCCAGAAGCTGCATATGCATCAGGGCCGCACGACCATATCGCGGCATTGCATATGCTCGGAAACTGTACGGTAACGCGCGCACCAATTCTTTCCCCTGCACCTTTGGTCTTCTGGAGATGGTCAGTCCGAAGAACGCCCTTCCACGTTCTCATGGCGTGCTGAGCGAAGTCTAACAGAGTGATGGGATTGGATGATAGACCTGCGGCAGCCGAGAGTGTGAGCAGAGCGGTAGGGTATGCAAAACGAACACTACGGCTGCCCCTTGCGTCTTCTAGGCCGCTGATGCGGCAACCCTATTTCGTTGGCTGGACGTATTAGCGAATGCGGTAAGGCCGCACTACCGCACTAGCTGCGATTGGACCCTGGCAAATCTCGTGATATGAGCCTTGCTACCGAGCGAAGTCGGGACACGAGAGACTAAGAAGACACCGAACGACACGTTGAGCACATAACCATAACAGATAAAGTCATCCCAGTAGTAGTACAGGATATGTACCCAAAGTTGTTGCGTGGTCAACCCCTCCCTGAAGCGTCCTATGTACAACTATATGGGGGGGGGCGCGAAAGTTCGACAGCATAGCATGATCCAGGATGTACTGGTGCTCTAACCATCTTACTGCGAGATGCGGAACGGGGAAGTTACGTGGACGCGTTCGATCCCATCGTCCCAACGCCCTACAAGCGCAATCGAGGAAGGGTCTGCGCGATCCACGGGCCACGAGAGGCGAGAGAAGCGCGGCGATGTGATGTTGCACCAAGCGATGGCTAACAGAACAGCCTGGCCAGCCAGAGTCTGAACCTTGTCCACCAGCCACCCTGGTAGCCGTCGGCGCGACGCTTCGGCCCAAGCCACATGGTCCCGGTGCCGACTCTGATCTCCTTCCGCCCTTCCTGGCCTTCCTCGATGTCCGCTAGTCGGCGGGACGCCGCGGTCACGGGGAAGCGTGGTGCCGCTGTCTGCACGATGAATGGAGGAAAGAGGGTTAGTAGATTCAAGAACTCGGGATTGGAGAGGTCTGGCGCGGTCCACGTTCGTAGATAGCATCCGTCAGATTCAGCGAAGTCGCGATTTGTAGGCGCCGGCGCGAACAGATCGTCGATTTCCGCTGCGGGGGTGGTAGGTGTAATTGGCTCGTCTGCTGCTGACGAACCGGAGGTGGAGAGGGCTGTGTTCGCAGACGAGTACGAGGTCGACAGGGTAGGTGTGTCCAAAAATGGGTCGCTGGGCGCCCGGGGGCGCTTGGTCTGGGTCGTGGAGGCAATTGGCGGGTGCTTCTGCGTTCGCGCGGTAGGTGTGCGTTCCCCAGTCGGGGATGGTTGCGATTGTGACCGAGAATGTATAGGTGACAAGGGAGCGAATGCGGGGTACTGGGCGGGGCTATTTGTCGAGGGAGTGCGGCTGAGCGACGCCGTGTCTTCGAAGGCGAGAACCTAGAACATTGTCAACGTCAACAGAACGTCAGGCGATCGAAGACATAGCCAAAAGCGCCGGATACTCACTCCTTTCAGCACATCTATTGCTTCAAGCATGAAATCTTTCCCGCTACCCAACGGATTTGGCCGAGAAAACACTAAATGAAGTTTAAATCGCGAGGATAATGGGAGCACTTACCCAGACTCTTTGAACACGGCGTCGTCGATTTCCCATTCGATCCTGTATGGTCCCGCTCCGCCGAGTTCTTGCGGTACTACTTGGAGTCTCATGACCGCCCACAGGCTCTGAAAGAACGGTTTTGTCCCAGGCATACCCATCGTACACCAAGTACGTATGAACCGGTCTAGGCGTTCGTAGCGCTCTTTCCTTGCGAGTGGGCCTTTAGGGTCCGCGCGCGAATGCGGCATGAGCGACCCGCCTGGCTTCGTCGCGTTAAGATGCGCCTTGAACTCTGCATCCCTGCGCGCGCTCACGCTAGCGTGATAGGCGGAACGAATGGAAGCCTGCAAACGGGCAAAGGGTGCTCGTTGCGCCGGGGGAAGAGTAGCAAGAGTTTGTGTCATGCGCCTGCCGGCATCGTCATCTTGTTGGTAATACCTACGACAACTAAGCTTACGGATGCGCTCCGAGGAGGCGGGAGGGAACGCACCACGCTCGGCAGAGCTCTGCGAACTCTTCTAGCTCGCTTTGCATCGGACGGGAAGGGGTGTTCGAACGACTGTTCTTGGGTGAGGTCATCTTGCTCACTCGACGACCGCTGCGCGGACTGTAGGGGGTGGTTGGGGAGGTGGGCGAAGTGAGGCGGGTGGGAGATGTCGGGTTTGACGAGGGCAGGTCATAAAGGAGTGTTTCTGTAGCGTCTTTATGGCCTAGGATCTGAGAATTCCTGGCTGGCAAATTGCCGGTCCTGAGAGGCAACGGGGGTGGTCGCGGGCGAGGCGACTCCAGCCGATAGGACGCAATAGACATGGCAGACAAAGGACCAGCCCGCCGACAGCCGCAGGCGTCGGCGATTTCGACGACAAAGGATTCTTTGCGGAGGGCGGGTAGCCCGGAGATAGCCTGGAGGTTGTCAGGTAGGAGAGATAAGGCAAGATGGTCGGCTAGATGTGCACTGAGTCCGAAGATGGCGAATGCGAGTGGTCCATGCAAGGTCGAACGCTGCCTGTGCGTGCGCCGTCGATGCTGGGTGTGGTGGGCAGAGCAAGAGGACAGAGACGGTCAGCGTCGGCCTCGTTGCGCTGCAGCCCTCAACGCGGCCGTCGCGCCGAGCTGCGCCTGCCGAGGTCGGTGGCCACGTGGCGCGCAATGGGCGTTTGTGGGCCTACATCTGTTGCCTGTGATCGCCTCCATGTCATCCATGTTTCACGGGCCTGCCATTTCCTGTATCATCCTCCGAGAAATCCAGAGTCAGTCACACGACTGCTCACTCCGAACACTGCGAGACGACAAGGTGCCACGGCGTTGTTAGACCCGAGTCGTTCCGAGGACATCTGTCTGCTCACTGTTCGCGAACTCGCACTACCACATGTCAGAAACCAAAAACCCACAGTTGCCGTACGTACCGTGCGGGCGGAGTAGGCCACAATGCGTAGATACTGATCGGGCCTTGATCTAGGGTATCTGTCCTTTGTGAGACTACACGAGCAGTTGGTGAGGACACAACGGTATCTCGCGCCACATATTAAGTCTTGAAGACCTTGATTGGTCGGTTGCGTTACTCACAGCATCATATTCGTGTCACAAGGACCAACTGACACATTGTTGCCTGCCCTCCTGCCGCGAAGGCTCTGTCTGTGGCCCCGCGGCTTTCTTGAACGTCAACGCGTTTCGGTCTTCCGGACATTCGCATGCGGCGGTCCTCCGCGGCGGCGCTGCCCTTCAATTTCTCTGTCCTTAGATCTCAGCCGGCCCGAGTAGTGACGGTCGCTCTGTTGCTCTGTTGCTAGGTACGTTCATCTACCTTTGCCGCAGCGTATACACAGCAAGGGAAGCAGCTTCTCTCTCGGATTCTCCTGCGCGCTGTCAAGACCATACACCCAAAATAGTCATAGGACCGGGTATCGTTCACTCACATCCAGGATGTGGGCTGTGTCAGCTTCCAGCGCAATGATGCGCCGTATGGAACCCACCACTCCCAACTGATTTCTTCCGCTGGGCGGTGACGAGATCCCGCTCTATCATATCCGAGGACAACATCTCCGCTTACGACCTCGAATCTGGACCCAGCATGTCTTAACGATGAGGCTGTCGTCTAAGCTCTTCTTGCTGTGGTCGACCGCAAATCGATTCGCATTTGCAAGCCTCCGATGATCGGATGGTACTGTCATGTTTCCTGCCTGGGCAAGGTCTCGCGCCATTGACAAACTGGCCGTCATCGCCGCGCCGTTCTCTCGATATGAGCGGCGAGGTATGTTGCGCAACCACCGCGGCGATATGCCTCGAGCCTCGCTTGTCAGACCGCAGGTCGGGCCCGTCCATGTCTGAATTCGCCTCTAGACCGCTTCCGCGCGTCCCGTGCGTCATCCGCGCGCACAAAGTCCACCGCACAGAACGTCGAACGGTCGAACTCAAAGTCCCATCACATCCCTCGCCTCGCGACGGGCCTTCCGCGAGCTTCCTGCCTTCTCGTGCGGAGAGCTGCTGCTGGATTAGCTATCCACGAGGCCGCGCGCATCCCGTAACTCGGCGTTTCCCTGGGATCCGCCCTGCTTCTCTGACGTACGTCCGCGCGGCTCCAGGAGGTGTGCAATCCTCTCCCCGCCCCCATTAATCCTCGCCACGACCCTCTGACATATCCCACATCTTCGCAACACTCGACCGAGCCTTTTCGGGCCAGCACAACGTCCCGAGTCGCGTCCGGCGTCCATCCACCCCAGCTTCGACGCGCATCTCGTGACCCCCCGTCCGCGAATTAGGCTCCAGTCGAGCGCCCGCGCGAAGCCCCTGCGGCCTCCGTCGTCGTCTAGGTGCTACCCAGGCCGCCGCCTGGACAAGGTTCTGCTGCTCCAAGCAATCAATGTGGCGTCCGGCACGTCTACGGCGTTCATACGGCCCAGCGGCAACTTCTGCCCAATGCCCTCTATGCGGCAACTCAACTGCTCTATGTCTTTTCTGACATGACGCATGACGCATACAAGGTTACGCCACGGCCCGCAGGGTTGGGGGGCGGTTGGGCTGCCAGGCCCCACGCTGAGAACACCTGCTGCGAACTGACGAACAAGCACGACAGGCGCGCCGCTCTCCCTCCCAGTACGGACGATCAGCGGGCTTGCCGAACCCGAATGACGGCCCCCGCCCCAGGAGCCAAAGGGAGGGGGGATTGAAAACGGTGCGTTCCTGTCAGCCCGTCCTGATGGCTTGCGTGCGCTAGCAGCCGCCGGCAACACCCTCCACCCCCATTGTGCCCGACGCCGGAGATGCGGTATGTCCTCCGCGACCTCGGGGCCTTAATGAATGAACGAAAGGTATTGATGCGCTAACGTGTATCTCCACCTTGATCTGGGCGCGCATACGCCCCCCCCCCCCCCCTCTGCGCAAAATCCGCCGACGGCAAGTACTTACTTACACAGGCGGGCTGAACTGAGCATAGCGCGGGCCGCCGGGCGCAGGTGGGGCTGGTGATGATGGCCTGCGCATCCCGCCACGGCGACGGCGCGCGTGTGTGCATACGAGTCGGACGGCAAGGCGGGGCACCAGCTGCGACGGGGTCGGAGCGCTCGCCGGGCTGCGCGCCGCAGATCGCTGCGAAGACGAGTCAGGTAGGTTGCTTGCAAAGAGACGATGCTATGCACATGCCCGCAAAATGACTAGTACTGGGGACGATTCTGGTTACCGTCCGCGCGCTGGTGTTTGCGCGGTTCCGAGCCGTCGTCCACAACGTACATATGCATACCGTATCTCGGTCGTTCAGCCGAAGTGCCCGACGCCTCCACATGTGCTCGGCCAGGCGGACGCTCGCAAAGAGAAACGCGGCGTCATATCGTAGACGGAGGATAGTTCAGGCGGGTGCTGTACTGGTACATACTGCGTCCCGTCCCTGTCGGCGGTATTGCCGCATCATTGTATCGTCGGCCCTGTCGAATGTCAATCTGTCGCTGAGCTCGAAGATGTACAGGAGCAGCGCCAGACTTACGTCCTTGTAATGCAGACGACATTCATTTTGCGCCTAGTGCAGATGCACGCGATCTCGACTCGGGATATGCACTCGCATGTCCGCTTCGTAGGACGACAGCCACCAACAGACATGTCCATCTCGGGCGGTACGTACGCGCAAATGCAGAAGGCAAGCGAGAGATCCCGCGAGGGGCCAGAGTGCGAGCACACTCATCACCCGCCAGGCTCGACGCGTAGTTACAGCGCGCGTTACGTACCCGCTCCGTTCCCCCCTTGCCGAAACGAGCCTAGTGCGCGCCGTGCGCAAGAGGGGAAGGTCAACTAACAGGGCGCGCGTGCCTGGGACGGTCACCGAGTTGGCAGCTGCTGGCGTGACGACCCGGGTGCGACGGGCGTCTGCAGTTCATTTACGGGGTTCGTGTGCTTGGCAATGGCACTCACCGCGAGCCGAGCCTCGGCAGAAGGAGAAGGACCCCCTCCGAGCACGGGCGAGCATCACTTGACGAGCTCGCGCGCAGGCTCGAGGCGTCTGCGATAGCACGCTCGCCGTGTTCGCCTCTACATTATACCCCGCGTTGTCCAGGCGGTGCGAGCATGTGCAATGGTGCCTGCCTGTGGGCGAGCCCCAGCGGTGCGTCATCGGTGCCCAGCGCGTTGACGGACCGTGGCATGCCCCGCGGAAGGCGGGGAAGCAGGGTTAATCGCAGGGCCCGCAGCCCTGGTCGCGGAACGATCGTCCTCGTCCTCGCGAGCGGGTGCAGCAGCGCCCAGCTGCTCGAAGCGGGCACCAGCTCGCGTCCTCTCGCTCGGGACGACGGCCAAGCTGACGGGGGCATGCGCAGGAGATCCTGACCTGGTCCGCTCCCCAGGATCCTCCAGCGTCGCCGCGCGCCCGCGCGCGTCCGGCCCGCTGGGCCCCGAGGAGGTGCTTTACGGTTTGATACATTGGCAGATGCCCTACGCGGCCTATCAGATTCTTCCGCGATAGTCACTAGTAACTGAGGGTCGCGGAAGCAAATGTGCGCCTACAAATCACGCTGACTGGGCGCGCGATCAATCTCGCTGCTCGCATGCTCTATATTCCGTCGGCTACGCCGCCACTTAGACTATGTAGCCAGATCATCGCGGAAGCAGGTCCAACCACCAGCCTGAGCAGCGTCGTCGTCGGGGGTGCTCGTCAGACCGTCGTCGCCTGTGCATCTTCCCGATGGCCATGGCCTTTACGAAACGGCCACGCGTAGCAGGGCACTGCGCCATAGTACGTGATAATTGCTCTGCTGATGTCGTACGGGGTGCACATCCGATAACGGCCCACGGGGCGTCAAAGGCGGGCCTACAGCCCTCGACATACACGTCCTTCACCCCTCCCAAACGCACGCGACGCACAAGCTCGCCGCGCGTTTTCCCAGCCGCAGCGGAGGGGCGCATGTGCACCCTACGCACTCGCGGGCAGCGAGGGAGGGAGGGAGCCACGCAGCGGCGCGAACCCGGGCAGCAGGCCCCCGCGTCCCGATCTGCGCGCCGATCGGCGGGGCCGCGCTGATAGACACGGACGTGCTCATAACCATCCTTCGCGTTCCCTCGGCCTCTCCGCTCTCTCGTGGGCCGTGTCCGCCGCAACGGTCGCCGCGCAATAGCCTATCGGGATCTCCTCGCCCTCGCGAGGCACGCCCTGCCCGCGGTCCCACCGTCCGGCCCACGCGCCTGCCCCTCCTGCCCGCGCCCCCGGATGGGTCCCGCGGCTCCCCACATACCCATACGGCGCGGGTTCTGTAGCGTGGGCGCAGGGAATGCGCGGGTTGCGATTCGCTAGGGCTGCTCGGGCCCATGGACCCTTGCGTGGGCGAGGATTGGCCGCGATGCTGCCTGCGTAGATACTGGACGTTCCTCTTGGAAGTTTCGGGCCCGGGTCACGCAGACGCACATGCAGGCGCGGGTGCAGTGAGGAGGGTTCTGCACATTGCAGACCCGGCGGCGTTGGAAATGAAGACAACGTGGCTCGCGGTCCTGGTAAGGTGCTTGCTTCGGGAACTTGAAGCGCGCCTTCAGCTAGGGTGGGCATCGACGTCGAGTGATGCGGCTTCGTGGAGCAGAGGAGCCCACTCTCTTTGAGTGGAGGGGCGGCGAGATATGTCTGCCGCCCGGGCACGAAACAGGCCCGCGAGCGGGGTTGCGGCAAAATGGCACGCAGACAGTCACTCCATCGCGAACGCGGCGCTGTAGCGAGAAGAGGCTGGAGGAAGGGCATTCACGCCAAAACGACGTTGGGTTGCAGCGACTGTTGTCATTACTCATCTCCGCAGCAGGTCAGGGCGGGAGGAGAAGCGGATGGTATAGAAGCCGGAGGGACCGAAGCAGGTGGACCGCATGGGTGACAGATACCGATGGTTTGAATTGGCTCTGTGCACGGGCATCCGGCCAACCCCGCGTCGAAGGTGGGGGGGGGGGAGTTCTGCGGGCAGTATCAGGACTGGACGACGGAGCTTGAAGGAGAGCTTCCTGCAGACATGTCTTGAGAGTGCATGCGATGGGAGCACCCGAGGAAGTGGGCAAGATAGAGGAGATTGGGCGTCGTCGATCATGGTAGGGCAAGAGGCACGACGGTTAGAGTACCGAAGGGGAAAACGCTTTAGAGGAGGCCTTCTGCCGAGCGATGTCGGGAGCGGTTGAGGGTGCGATGGGGCGGACGAGGACCTGGAGCGAGCGGGGGCTGTCGGGCGGTGATCAGTCGAGTAGGGCAGGAGAGGTTGCGCGCCTTGCGAAGGAGGTGCGGCACGGGCGGGGTGGCGGTTGCGCAAGATGCCGGGGAAAGGGCGGCGGAAAAGGGAGAAATAAAAATGAATACCGGAGGGGAAACTGGACAGGGTTCGTCGTCGTCTCGAGGGAGAGATGGCGATTTGGTGAGACTGCAAGAGGGCCAAAAGCAGAAGGCGTCGATGGAAAAAGTCCGCCGACAGCGATAACGTCAGCGGCCCCGTTCTGGCGTCCCTCAGAAGACCAAACGGTCAATCAAAGTGCTGGGGCCAATCGGGAGCGGCGGCGTCAAAATCGGAGCGGAGGGTCGAGAGAAACCAGCCAGCCGACCGTCTTCCACGGTATCGAACAGGCCACGAGCGAGGGCTTGTTTCGACGCGTACGCACCCACGGCACGAGATCTCGCTCGATGGCAGCTGGGTGCCAGCTGGGAGCGAGATGAGGGTGAGATGCAATCGACACTCGCTGACAGCGATGATTGATGTGAGTGGGAGGGGAAGGAGCATTATGTCGGACGTTAAACTCGAGCCCAAAGAAGAGTCAGAGCAGACCGAACCAGCGTGTTCCTAGCCAGTCTCCAGAGGTTGGGTAATCTCCATCACTCGACACTGCGCACGCACGTATAAAATGCACAGTGCTTGTCCGGACGAGGCTGTTGTGTCTGTCCGCGTCTGTGGCTTCTTACCTACGCGCCCACAATCCCGCCCCCGCCTTGCGCAGAAGCTCCAATCACTCGCTCTCGCGCGGCTGTCAGAACACGGTGAGTGATCCACGGGCGCAGAGCGGGCGATGCGGGGGCTGAGGATAAAACGCAGGAGTAAGCTCGGTACAAGGAACAGCAAGCTTTGTTGGAGACTGCACAGATGGCCCAAGCAGCCTGGCTGCCGTTGTCGGCAAGCGCCGAACGCCGATCAGAATTTGGTATGTAATGGCTGATCGCGCCTGGCGGGAGAACGTCTCCTGGTGTCTCCCCCGCCCGGCCTGCCTCCCGCTCTCTCCTCGTTGCACCCCCGCCCACGCTCATCGTGCTCGCCGTTGCCCCCGCAGACATCCTCAAGTCCGCCTCCCTCCACAGATCACGCGACAGGAGCATGTCCCTCGACTTCCCCCCCAGTGCTCCCCAGCACTCCCTCTACTCTCCGCAGGACCTCGACCATCCCTTTTCCTCCCTCTCCAACGGCGACCTCCCCGCCCCTTCCCACCAGCACCAGTCCTCACATCTTCCCCTCAACGGCCATGTCCTCGACCGCAGCGACCCTATGGACGTCGCCGATCACGGCTCCTACGACATCTTCTCCAACTCCGCCCAGTCCTCCGTCCCCAACCAGCGCTACCGCGGAAGCACCTCTTCCAACTCCTCCATGCCGTCCTCCTACGGACTCGGCGTCGACAACATGTACTCCCAGAGTCCCTTCTCCGAGTCTCTTCCCCAGTTCCATAACCCCAGTCCGAATCAGTATGACTTGATGGGCAGCGGAGGTCTGCCTTCATCATACAGTAGCGGCAAACCGTCCCCTCTGACGCCCAATGATTCCGTAGGCTCCCTACACCATTCGTCTGCCTTCCCGTACAACAACGGACAGACAAAGGACTTCAACAACAATCACGACTTCCCCAATGTCCTCGATCGCCGCATGTCCTATCCCTCCGACTACAACGACGATTACAACGGCATGAACTCTGGGATTGGCCTCGGCTCCTTTGCTTCCCCCCTGCCCCCCTTCCAACCAGACCGTCTAGGTCGGATGCAGCCTGATTCTCGCTACCCCCCTTCCGTTATCCCTCCGCTATCTCATCCGTCCCATCTTCACCAAAACCATCCCCCGGATCTCGTGCATGGCGTGAATCCGATGGATTTCTCCCCCCGGTCCGGAGAGATGTACTCTATGGCGCCCAACCCTCTTATGGATTTCTCGAGGATGTCCGGCCTCGACGAGTCCATCTCTCGGGTGCGCCTTAACGGCTCGGGCGCCGCGACCGACCTCCAGACATTTATTCGGTATGTCCCGACCGCTACTTGCTGACGAACCCACTCATTAAGCGGACGCGCGCCCGCCGTGCAGTCCGTATCTGGACCAGTATGTCCGAACGCCGAACCGTCTCGCGTTCGGCGAGCGCACAGTCATCGTCATGTCCAGCAAAGTCGCCCAAAAGTCTTACGGCACGGAAAAGCGGTGCGTGATCCAGGTATTGTTCTCGCCGACGAAGCCGAGGATCCTGAACTCTGGCTGGTTGGCTTGTTTGACGCGCTTTAGCTTCCTGTGTCCACCGCCGACTGCGATCATGATTGGTAACTCGTGGTGGTCGGACGTCACGCGTCGGGGTGAAGAGCCCAAGCTCGCCCCGCCACGCGTCGTTGTCTCCATCTCCGGGGAGCCGGCGCCACAGGAGGGCTCGATCGAGTGGACGAGCGCGACAGGCAAGGCGTTTGACATATCTGACCCTCCGACCGGAACAACGTACATCGGTCGCTGCGTCGGCAAGCAGCTCTTCATCTCGGACGTCGACGAGAAGAAGAAAAAGGTCGAGGCCCTCGTGAAGATCATGGCCCCGTCGTCAGACGACGAGCCCGAGCGGGTCATCGGCACGTTCCCCAGCCGCCCCATCAAGGTGATCAGCAAGCCGAGCAAGAAGAGGCAGAGCGCGAAGAACCTCGAATGTAAGTCCGCGACGAGCTGCATACCAGCGCTGCGGCCCTGCCGCAGTGGCTACTAGTATGTTCTACATATAGAACGGAACAAGCTGACCCGTTGTGGCGCCCTCCAGTGTGCATCAATCATGGTTCAACAATCTCCCTATTCCACCGTCTGCGGTCACAAACCGTGTCGACCAAGTATCTTTGCGTCTCCGGTTCGGGCTCATCGTTCAAGGGATCCGACGGGGCCCCTCTCATGGGCCTCGATCAGCGCTCACGATCGCAGACGCCGTCCTTCATCGCCCGCACGGCGAGTTGGGGTGAGTCGTATATGTTGCTACGGCCTCATGTTTCAGCCTGACAGAACACCCTCAGATCCGTTCATTATGTACATCGTGGACGTCAACAAGCCCGCCGGCGGTGTCGACTCCCCTCCGCCACCACCTCCGCAACCGGAGTACCCTTCTCCCCCTCCGAATGCGATTCCGTTCACCAACAACGGGTCGCAGATCCCCGTCTACTACAACCAGACTGTTGTGCTCCAGTGTCTGACCTCCGGGGTGGTTAGCCCCGTACTGATCATCCGCAAGGTCGACCACCAGACGACGGTCGTTGGCGGGGGCCTGCAGGAAGGCGCCAAGGGCATCGCTGATCACTACTGCGCGCCCGGCGAGGTTTGCGGGGACCCCGTTTCGCAGCTGCATAAGATCGCGTTTGAGGTCTACGATCCCGCCAAGGGTGCGCCCGAGGGAGCAACGACCGGCATCAGTGGCGCGTTCCTGTCGTGCCAGGGGGAGAAGGTGAACACCTTCCGGCCGCTCGAAGGCCGGCAGTGGAGGAACCCGCCCGCGTCTCGCGAGAGCGACTCGCCCGACGCGATGCCTGCGTCCCCTATGGCGACTACCCCGACGTCGAGCACGGGCACCGGCGACTATTTCGGCTCGAGCACTAACGGCAGCAGCGCGCCCACGTCGCCGGACCCATCAGAGTTCCCGTCCAATGACGGCGGCCGCGTCAAGAAGGGCAAGCGCGGATCTGGATCTTCGAGCGGAAGCAGCCTGTCCATGTCGAAGCCTGTCTCCCAGAAGGGACGCAGGCGTCCGACGTCGGCCGGCTCCGCGGGCTCGGGAAGCAGGCGCGGCTCGGGCGGCGACTCTGGCGCGTCCTCGGGTGCGCTCTGGCAGGTCGACATCGGGGAGACGAGCGTGTGGACGATCGTCGGCACTGGTGAGTGCCTGGTCGTGTGCTGCTTATCGGCGAGATCGCGAGTGCTGATGACGTCTGGGGTCCCGCAGACCAGGTGCGGTACAACTTCTACGTGCCGCCCGTGCTGTACGACAGCCAGAACTCGCCGAGCGGGTCGTTCCCGATCCCGTCGAAGCCCGTCACGCCGTTCCCGGGCGTGGTGAAGTACCTGCCGCCGGACCGCGCGTCGGAGGCCCCGAAGGCGAACTGCGCGGCGTCGCGCGCGGTGCTGGCGAAGCCGAACCCGCACGCGTCGAAGATGCTCACGCTGTACGGCGAGAACTTCTCCAAGACGGACCCGGTGACGGTGTTCTTTGGCTCGGAGCCGTCGCCGTACGTCGAGGTGCGGTGCACGGAGGTGCTCGGGTGCCTGCCCCCCGACTCGGGCACCACGAAGCGCAGGCCGATCATCCTCGTCCGCCCTGACGGGGTCGTGTTCCCGTCGAGCACGTACTACCCCTGATGATGCAGGGACTGGGGGGTTTGAAGTTGATGGCCGTCGTTGGTGTAGCCTGTTGCTGCCGGGGTCGTTCGTCGCTCGCGCTGGGTCGGTGCTCTCGTACACTGGTGGTGATCGGTTTACTTTTAGTGGCGTTCCTCTCCTCTTCCTCGTCGTCGTCGTGTCTGGTACTATTGTTGATTGGCCCGCGTGTTTCCCATTGAGAGGAACGTCGCGTCAAACATGTCGGAACCTTGTCTACTCCTCCCCCCACTCGTCCCATTTGTTACCATCTATCACCATCTACAATTTTTGAGTTGCTCGCATCTGTCCGTCCGTCGTTGCTTTTCGTCCGCCCGCTATCTCCCCGTGTTTGTGTTTTTTTCGCGCATTAGACTTACTCGCACGTTACTATCTATGTGTCATCTCAGGTATAGGCTACGGACTTGTGGTATGTACTTGTATAGTAGACTTGACCGCTCATCTGAATATGCGAATGTATAATTTGCTCATCGCATCCGCTTTCTTCGTGTGCAGAATATGCTTCCGGTGAGTGCGGAAGCTTGCGCTTGAACCGTTTGTCGGCTCGGTGTCGGCGCGTGCACAGGCGACGTCAACGAACCTCGCCGGGCCGCGACATTATCCATGGGGCGCTTATTGTACATTTCACGAGCCCTGGATGCCCAACTTGCGATTGAGTCTGCTCGTTGTACATTGCATACCACCTTGCACGATCCCCTCTTTTCCATTCTTTGGGTCTACTGTTGGAGCAGAATCGGTACAAGGCGCGAACCGTTGGGGCTTGCAACGAGTCTCGCGACAAGAATACCCTCCAACCGCCAAACGCGTACATGCCACTTCCTCGACCATCATGAGTCTCTCATCCCTCCCTCACTCCATTTGGCACCTCTACGTCGATAATCTCGTCAACTACAAGGCGGACTCATGGGTCCATAGCATTGCGTATACGTGCCGCCTTCTCGCATTCGCGCTCATCGTTCCTTTCATCCTCTTAACTCTCTTGGTACGTTGAACGCACCCCAATCACGTTCCGCGTCTTTCTGACGTGCTGATGTCACTCTTGTCACCCACCACGTACACTCAAGGACGTCGCGTCGTACCTGATTGCACGCACGCTCGGTGTCATCGACGAGACCAAGGCCTCGACGAGCGGCGAGAACGACCACCATGTGCACCCGGATACTGCTCCCGGCACGCTGAACCTAGCACACCAGCCTAGGATCGTTATCCAGGAAGACGTGGACACAGCTCGTGCGGCCGCGACCCCCCTGCCCGAGGGCGACGACGACACGCTCAACCTCAAGCTCTCCGGGGTGGACACCTTCTCCCCCGCGCCCTCGCAGCCCGGCTCGCCCACGCTGCAGCGCCGCGAGTTCATGCAGCACCAGTACGCGCACTACGGCTCGGGCACGTCGCTCTACGACCGCGGTGGCCTCGCCGGGCTCCCCCACCCCAGCTCTGCTTCGCATGACGCAAGAGGAGGCCGTCCAGAGAAGCCGCGTGCGGACGGAGCCCGCGACGGAGACCGAAATACGCGTGCGGGTGACGGCACGACGTCGCCGAGAGGCCCGTCCGGGCACAGCCCGGCGGGCTCGAACGGCAGCAGCGGGGAAGAGTCGTACGCCATCCTGGACCGGGACGCTGGCTCGGGGACGGAGGACGCGGGGACGGTCGTGCTGCGCAGGCGGACACGACAGACGGGAACAGCACCCGGTGCGGGGGACGGCGCGGAGTAGGTGCTAGGTACGGGCTCTGTGGACTCGTTCTGTTTGTTGTGATTGCGTATTGCGGAATGAGCGGGCTGTCGTGCGCGCGCGGGCATGTGCTAAATGCGTGCGCAGTCCGTCGCGTCCGTCAGGAGACGAGGGGCGATTGCTCGTTACGGTAGCGCGTTCTGGGAGGATGGGGGATTATACTGCTGTATTTTTAAAACTCGTACACGATGCACGATCCGCCAAGTACACGAAAGCGCCACGCGGGCTCACTAAGTGCGCCTTGGCTCCATATGTCCATGTGCCCCTCGTCCCTCGTCGCGCAACCCTCGGGCCTCCACGGCTCCCACCCCTCGCGAGACCAGCACAGCGTCACCAGCCGAATCTCAGTTGATCTCGAGAGAAGACGGGGGGCTTCCATATGAGACACTCGGAGTGAATCCGACGCTTGCGCTTCTCTTTCGCCTTCCTGTACCGCTCCTGGACGGCTTCGGGAAGGCTGATAACGTGCTGGCCTTTGTAATGCTTGAACAGCTGCAGCGTCGTGCACCTGTCGTCGCCGGCACGATGCGAGATGGCAAGGCAGATTGCAATCCGAGCAGAGCTTGTTAGCAATCCGCAGTACGAAGAAGAACAACAGCGGGAGAAGAACAAAGAGGACGACGTACGTGTTCATCACATCTGCATGGGTGATGGAAGTCTTCTGCGCGATGTCGTCGATACTGATGTCCTCGGTCGTGTTCATGAGCAGGTCGATGATAGTCTCCGCCCAATAGGCGCGGTATCCCAGGAGGCCGAGGTCAGAGAGCGGCTTCTCCGGGCTGCCCAGTTTGCCCTCGCGTTTGGAGAGCTCGTAAGAGAACTCTATGAGCAGCTTGCCGTAGCCATGCCGTTGGTGCTGGGGAAGTGTAAGAATACACGCGACGTTGTAGTTGTCTGCGGATTCCTTTTCCTTCGAGAAGTATCCGACCATGTGGCATCCTGTTGAATCCCTTTGACACTGACCGCAGTGGGGTTAGTTTTGGACGTCGGGGAGCTGAGTGGGTCAACGGAAAACAGACATACCATCACATAGTACAGGAACGGTGTTACATCATAATACAGCGTTTTACTGCGGATAGGATAAGAAGAACGTCAGAAACTGGCGGGTGCAGCCAGGAATCCGGGCAGGCACGCACTGGTCCAAGAAGCATTTCGATAAGAGACTCAAGTTACGGCAATACGTCAGCTGTCGCTTGCCGTCCAGCTCGAAGAACGATATGTCTTCGTGCCGGTAGATCTCGTTCCCGGGCGGGTGCAGTAGATTGCACCGCTTGCGATGCCGGCTGAGCATGAACTGCGACCCGAAGTACGACAGACAGAACTCGCAGAGGTAGAGCACGGGTAGGTGTGCGTACTCCTGGGGATACGGGCTGAAGTACCACGCGTCGACTTCGTGCCTGCCGATTTGGAGACGGTTGAGGTTCTTCACGCGCGCGATTTCGGAGATGGACTGCGTCATGGAGCCCGACGTGCGCAGTTTTTCGATTTCCTGCTCCTTGCTGAACACGGAGAGCGGCGGGGGCGGGGGCGGCTGCTCGGTCGCGTCGAGGTCGAGCACTTCGCCCTCGCCGTCAACGTCCATCTCGCCCTCCGCATCAGCGTCGAGGTCATCTTCTTCCTCTTCGTCCTCGTCGTGAAGCGTCTTCCGCTTCTGGCCTGCGACCGATGGCGCGGGAGACGGGCTCGCACGCGCTGATGCGGGGGCGGAGGGACCAGGGGTCCCGGGAGTGGGGGTGCCAGATTCCTGCGAGGCCTTGCCGACCGCGAGGGCACTCGCGGTCGCCGCCCTCTTCAGCAACGACTGCTGGCTCTTCTTTGCGGGGGTCTTCTTGGGCGCGACGGCCTTCTTGGGTGCGGGCGTCGCCTTGGGGCGGGGCCACTCGAGGTCGCGAGAGAGGACGAGGCGGGACCCCGGCACCCACTCGTCCAGGCGCTTGTTGAACTGGTCCCAGTGAACAAAGAACTCGAGGCGGTCCTCGGGTCGCTGTGCGTCCTCCTCGCTCTTCACTTGGCGCGAGGCATAGGGATTCACGGGCTTGTCGCGAATCGACAAGATCTCAGCAAGGCGCTCCTCCTCCTGGCCGTTCGGGCCCGGGCGGCGGATGTAGAGCTTGCAGCCCACCGACACAGTCTGGGGGTCGTTACAGGCGAGATGTCAGCCATGCGCTGGCGGGCGCTAAAAATCAGTCGCCACCGTGGCTGGCGACCACGACTTACCTGGATTGTGTACTCTCCTCCCTTTGTGATGGGTGGTGGCGGCTGAGATCCTTCATCCTTGGGTGTATGGGGCGCCATCGGCAACAACGACAAGCTCAACAACGAATACGAGGGGCTCAAGGGTGACTCAGGCGCAAATGAGAGGACAATTATGTAAGCTCCTGTAAGAGGTAGGATAGACGCCTTTAGACGCTCGACTGGGCCCATAGACGCTTAAGATGGCTTGGCGGCCCGGAGTGGCAGAGAATTTGCTGCTTGGGACTCAGGCTGGAGACTTATCTACTCTACGCTCTCTCTGTAGCCTAGCCATTCGCTATGGACGATGGCCTTATCCTCAATCTCGATGTCGTACACGACGCTCCGTCGAAGGTAGCGCAGGGCAAAAAGGGGGGACGATGGACAGACAGGTGAGTTGCTTGCTAGTAAGTCTCGAACACCTCCTCATAGCCCGTAGGCTGAAAGCTAAACGAGTAGCGAAACGTAAGACTCGACCTGAGGCTCCTGCACCAAGTAAGAGTGATGCCACTGTCAGCGTTTCTGACGTGCGGCCTGCGAAACGGCCGCGAAAAGAACGCGAACGAGAGGAACACGACCAAGAACGTGCAGGACTAGCTGCAGCCCCTGCAGGTCGCCATCCCACCCAGGTCATCTCCTCTCTGTTCACGTCGAACCCGAAGATTGAGAAACCTCAGCCGCAATCTGCCTCAAACACACATGCGAAGCCTAGTAATGCCCCCCTTGATTCCTCCACCTTCACCGGCTCCGGTCTGGATCCCCTGATAGTCGCTCACCTCTCGTCCAAAATGAACATCTCCAGGCCAACGTCCATTCAGAGGGCGGTGCTACCTGCTATACTGCCTACGTTGGAAGATCCTGCCGCACGCGACGTCTTCATACAGTCCCAGACCGGTTCCGGGAAGACGCTCTCCTTCCTTCTCCCTATTATCCAGGACCTCCTCCCCCTCAGCTCACATTCCTACATCGACCGCTCCATCGGAACTCTCGCTATCATCATCGCCCCCACCCGCGAACTGGCGAAGCAGATCTCCGATGTACTGGAAGCGTTACTCAAGCTCCGTCTACGAGCTCAAGACGAGTCCGCGGAGGAGTCCTCCGTCCCCCGCTTGACGCGATGGCTCGTCTCCGGGCTGTTGACAGGTGGGGAGAACAGGACACACGAGAAGGCCCGACTCCGCAAAGGCGTGCCGATCCTCGTCTCCACCCCAGGCCGCCTGCTCGACCACCTCCAGAACACGTCCTCGTTCAACGTCGGCAAGTGTCGCTGGCTGGTCCTGGACGAGGCGGACCGGCTCATGGAGCTCGGATTCGAGGAGACGATCCAGGGCATCCTCAAGGGCCTTGACGGCCGGCGGAAGCTCGCGGTGCAGGCGACGGAGGAGGGGAAGAGCATGGATGTAGGCGGGTGGGACTGGAGCAGGAGGCGGAGGACGATCCTCTGTTCCGCGACGATTCGGGAGGACGTGCAGAAGCTCGCGGGACAGACGCTCACGAACCCCATGATGATCAGGGCCGTGCACGCGGACGACCCGCCCCTGGACCCGCAGGCGGACCCTTTGGCAGAAGCGTCGGCGCAGAAGTTCACGCCGCCGTCGCAGCTGTCGCAGAAGTACGTGGTCGTGCCGCTGAAGCTGCGCCTCGTGACGCTCGTCGCGCTCCTGCGGTCGCTGCTGGCGCAGTCGCAGAGCAGGAAGGGGACGAAGATCATCGTGTTCTTAAGCTGTACGGACTCGGTCGACTTTCACTGGCGGCTGCTCGGTGGGACTGCGATGGACGAGGATGAAGGCGCATCTAGTTCGGCTTCTGAGGCCGAGGAGTCGGACGAAGAGGAGTCGGACAAGGACTTGGGTTCGGAGACAGAGGGCCCTAAGCCTCCGAAGCGGCAGAAGAAGACAGCGTCGGGCGAGAAGATCGAGGTCAAGTCTGCTCTTCTCCCCGACACGTCTCTTTACCGGTTGCACGGGTCGCTGCCCCTTCAAACGCGTCTGGCATCACTCAAAGGCTTCTCGGCGGTTCCAACGGCGAAGTCGCCGAACACCTCTGCGTCCTCCATCCTCCTTTGTACGTCAGTCGCATCGCGTGGTCTTGATTTGCCCCTCGTCAGGGCAGTCATCCAGTACGATCTTCCGACCGAGTCAGGGGCTACGGAGTACGTCCATCGAGTCGGGCGTACGGCCCGTGCCGGAAAGGGCGGCGAGGCGTGGAGCTTTGTCGCCCCGAGTGAGACGGAGTGGGTGAAGTGGGTGCAGGCGAGGATGCAGGGTGAGGTGAAGGGAGCTGACAAGAAGGACGGGGAGGGGAGCATGGCGCTGGAGGGCGTCTCGATGGAGACCGTGCTGAGGAAGGGCTTTGGGGGAAAGGGGAGCGAATATGAGGAACGGGCGACGGAGGTGCAGCTGTCGTTTGAGCGGTGGGTCTTGCGGGACAAGCAGGTATGTATCGACGCGTATAGATCGCAAGCTCCGTCCAGCTCATCGATCGTCCGTGCAGAATGCCGAGGCTGCTCGTAGAGCGTTTCTGTCGCACATGCGAGCGTACGCGACCCATCCTTCGGATGAGAAGCATATGTTCCACATCCGACACCTACACCTCGGGCACCTTGCCAAAGCGTTTGCTCTGCGCGAGGCACCAACCGCGCTCGGGTCCAATAAGGGCTCCAAGTCAAAAAGCAAGCCAAAGTCGGCTGCGAAGGGCGCGTCCTCTGACCGCAAGTCGAGGAAGCACATTCGAAATCCGGACGACAGCGATAACGAGCATAATGTTGCAGATGCTGAGAAGCGGATGGAGAAGGTCGTGCGTGCGCAAGGTCGGCTCACAAAGAAGAGCGGCAAAATTGTCAGCTCGGGGACGGACGAGTTCCAGCTTGCTGGAGGCTATGACTTGGAGAAGATTGTTGGTGTTCGGACGTGACATACTATCTCGTGTTGCTTGTAGTCATCTCTCTGTTCAATGCCTAGCATGTCGCCGTTTTCGCCCTTGTGTTCGCCCACACAAGTTATGCGCCCCTCTTTTGATATGTTGCGGTCAGGCTGCTTGGCTGAGGACGAGATGCAAATGGCCCTGGATATTGATGGCCATGGTGCTACGCGACCGGCATCTGCGACCAAGCGCGCGGTCGAGAGTGGCCACGTCTGCAGAAGGAATTGGACGCGTCCAAGAAGCGCTCACTCACACTCCCTCTTTCCCTCCTTCCACCATGATCTTCAGCAGGCTCACCCTGGGCTTCCTGCTCGTCACCCTCGCGGCCTTCTTCTGCGCCCAGTCCGTCGAGGCTGCCAAGGGTCCGCGCATCACCCACAAGGTCTACTTTGACATCCAGCACGGTGACAAGAACCTCGGCCGTGGTACGTTCACGTCTCTTCGGACGTCCACACTTCACAATAGTCCTGACACGTTTGACCGACAGTTGTTCTCGGCCTCTACGGCGGCGTATGTCCTTCTGTTCAGACAGCGACTTATATGCGCGGGTTTTGACCAGCGACATGACCAGACCGTCCCCAAGACCGCGGAGAACTTCCGCGCTCTCGCGACCGGTGTCAAGAAGGATGGCACGAAGCTCCCTGAAGGTTTTGGCTACAAGGGCTCCAAGTTCCACCGTGTCATCAAGAACTTCATGATCCAGGGTGGTGACTTCAGTAAGTGTCGCCCGTCTTGCACAGGTCCGGCTGTGTACTCACGCGTCACCTTCCGTCAGCCCGCGGTGATGGGACTGGTGGAAAGTCGATCTACGGCGACCGCTTCGCTGACGAGAACTTGTGAGTGGATATTCCTCGTGCGTTGTGAGTTCGGGAGGGCACTGAGCGCATATTCAGCAAGCTCAAGCACACCCGCCCCGGTCTTCTCTCCATGGCTAACGCTGGCAAGGATACCAACGGTAAGCGATACTCCATATCCTTGCATCCTGCATGCACTCACATCCCGTTTCACAGGCTCTCAATTCGTAAGATGCTTAAGTGCACCTCATTATTTCATGTTGCTAATTTGATAATATGTAGTTCATTACGACCGTCGTTACGAGCTGGCTGGACGGCAAGCACGTAAGTAGTGTAGCTGTGCTTGCGTCTATGTAGCCTCTAACCATCCTTTTAGGTTGTTTTCGGTGAGGTTCTTGAGGGCATGGACATCGTGCACGCTATCGGTACGTCTTTGAATCGTCGTAGGGGTGAAACATAGCACTGATTTGCGACACAGAGGACGTCGCCAAGGGCAGGAATGACCGGCCCAGCGAGGATGTTACAATCGTGGACTCCGGCGAGCTCCCGGTCGAGCCCGCGTCCGAGGAGAAAGAGGTGCCTACCCATGCTGAGCTCTAAAAAAGCCGGCCTCTTCCTTGGTATCATAGGCGTCCGTACGAATGAAAATCCGTTTGGCTATTTACAGGATGACCTCATCGTGCCTCCTGAACACATAATTACTACGACGCAAGGTATCACCGCGGCCGAGACTGCCACACAGGGCACCGCACCCACGTCGTCCGCGCCCGCGACGACCGAGGCCGTCATGCCCCCGTCGGAGGCGACGGACAAGAATCAGGCGGCGGCGACGTCCGTGAAGCCCATCGACGAGATTTCGGCAGCGACGGGCGCCGCGTCGCCCGAGTCGGCCATCGTGCTCGAGGACGGCTGGTCCTTCTCGACGCTCGTCTTCCTCCTCGTTCTCGTCGGAGCCGCCTTCGCGTTCTGGAGGTATAACGGGGTGCGGTACGTGAAGCTCGTGTTCAGCGGACGCGACCGCGCTGCATACCGCCGTGTCAACGACATCGAGACGGCAAGGTATTAATTGGCGCACGGAGATGTAGATCAAATAGATCGATGTGTGTATAGCTAGTTCCTTTAAGTCCTTTTCCTAATGCTGGGTCATCCGTCGCTCCTTATCCTATTGACGTTCCTTTCGCCGTGCCCGCATTGTGACGTTGGGTGTGGGTCAACACTGCAAGATCAGTGCCAATGAGAATAAAAATACAGTACAATATGCGAAGTTGATGCTACAACTAAGGATGACACGCTCGGAACCCGCACCCCCAACCCTACCTCTCTGTCCTGTATATAACAGAAACCTCGATCGCGATCAGTTGCGCCAGCACTAATCGTGCTCACGCTTAACCTTGGAGCTCCGCAAAATCCCGTACTCCTTCATGCGTTCTTTCATGTACTTTTCTAGCCGGATGGCGCACTTGTGGTACACTGTGTCCTCGGGGTTGTACTGCCTGCAGTTGTCGATGACAAGCTGCGCATCGTCGATGAACGCGTCCATGTCGTGGTACTGGTTTGTGTCCAGCTTGTGCTCCATCGTGCTCAGGTCTGTATTGTCAGGGTGAGCCTCTAGCCATTGGCAAGCCGGGAAGAGAAAGCGAGGGAGGGAGGACGCTTACCCATGGGATGTGTGATGTGGAGGTAGTAGTCCGCGACCTCCTCTCCGTTGACGGGCTCGAGGAACGGCCACGCCGAGGAGTGGCCCTTGAGGTCGGACAGGAGCTTCTCCATCATCGCGTGCTCTGAGCCGCGTCCTGTCGGGCGTGCAGGCCTAGCCGCGGAGGTCAGACGTCGCTCCATGGTCGATGATGAGACAAGCGTGTACGCACATTGTCTGCATCGACGGCGTCCAGCCGCTCTCCCGCAAGCCGGGCACGTCCTTCGGGTCAACCGAGACGCCCCCGGGCATGCCCTCCTGGAACTGCGGCAGGCCGGGGTAGACGATGTGGCTCCGGCTCTTCTCCTTGATCTTGTCGAGCACGGCGTTGCGCTGCTGCGCAGTGACGTCGCGCCAGTTGAGGTAGTCGACCTTAGGGAGCAGCTTACACTGCATGATCGTGCCGCCCTCGTAGTCCTTGATGTAGCCCGCCCAGACTGCGCGGTCAAGGGTGATCTCCTTGGAGAAGCCTTGCTTGCGGAAGTAGCCGACGGCGTAGTTGTCGGCGTAGGTGAGGAAATAGTCCATGCCTGGGTAGGTTTTGCGGATGTGCGCTTTGAAGTGGTCCATGAGCATCCCACCATAGCCCTGTGCGGCACGTTGAAAGGGGACCGTAAGCGAGCCATAAGCGCTGGATAGGGGCGGTAACTTACCTTGACTTGGTCTATGGATGCGGTGGCGAAGAACACGATCTCGGAGAAGCCGCGATGCGGGAATGGGCGGTAACAGATTCCGCCGACGACCTTGTAACCACGTTTGATGATGGCCAAGCACTTCGAGTTCAAGTCGTACACTAGTCGCGCGATGTATTCTCGCGGCATCTTGGGCAGCTGCTTCTGGAACAGTGTCTTCAGCCCAGTCAGCAAGACCGACGACCGCGGTTCTCGATCGTTCTCTACCGCGACGACCTGGATGATGCCTTTCCGCAACTCGACATACGCCGCCTTTTCTTGCTTCCCCGAGGGCTAAAGAGCAGCGCAAAAAACACATGAGTCAGTGCGCCGTCCAGCCTCATAACCCAAGGGCATATTTCTTCTCTTACAGCTGCAGAGGCAGGGCCGGCCGCGTCGACTGTCACGCCAGTGACTAATCGAGACAGCTGCCCTTCGTCCATCTTGTCCTCCAGCTTCACCTTCGCGTCGTGCCCGTTCACGCCGTTCGGCCGCATCTCCTCGCGCTCTTCCGCCGTCGGCGGCGGGATGTTCGCGGGTGCGGTCGACGCCTTCGCCTTCTTGCTCGATTGCTTCTTGCCGGCCCTTTGGCCCTGTGCCGCCACCGCCTTCCCGCCTCGGCCACCCCGGCCGCCTCGGCCACCGCCGCCGCCGCCGCCGTTTTCCTTCCGCCGCTTGTCGGCCGTCCGTGCTACGCGCGCGGCGAGCGGCCGTTCTTCTTCCTCATCATCGTCGTCTTCGGCTTCGCTCAGCGAGGAGTAGTCGACAGAGATGCGGCGTTTCTTGGTTGGGCGTTCGATGATATCGCTCAGGAAGGAGGATGCGGGAGATAACGGGTGCTTTTCTGGTGAGGAGGGGACTGGGGGAGAGAAGTCAGATGACACGCTTGCAGAGGAATAGACCGTGACTTTGGGAGGGCAGCACTGCTGTTCAGAATGTCATCCGATATTTTCGGGTAGGTAGGCAGCAACCTGCACCACATCGAAAGCTGCATTCTGGGAGCTTAGCCGTGCCCATGGAGGAGAGTTGATTCTCGACCACCGTACGGCAGCCTTCGAGCGCAACACCGTCGTTCTCGGGCTTGCTCGACCTGGATCGGGACAGTCTCTCAGATGTTTCACAGGTCGTACGTAATACATGATGCCTGGCGGACGCTTGAACCGACCTGCCCCAACCCAAGCGTTCGCATGCTTGACCCCACGCAGGTACGAGCGAGTTGAGAGGAATTGCGAATATGGCTACGCCCATTCCGACTCTCGGGCCACTGAGAATGCGTAGAATTGGCGACTTCACAAACACCTCGCGTGATGTGGGGCTTCAGCTGGAGCGAATATGTACAAGTCTTGAAAGCTCTGTGCATTTCCCCTCCAAGAATACAACGGGACTGCACACGCGGGACACGAATGACATACCTAATGCTTCAATTTCATCAGATAGAGAACTAGCGGGAGACTGTGGTTCTCGTTCTTGGCCAGGAAGGACCATCTGTTTGCGCAGAGAGTCGATGTCCTCGTCCGAGTAGTCAAAGTCAAGGAGCCGTCCGGAGTCCTAGAGTGGCGCGAGGGAGGGGCTCAATATAATGGAGGCGACACACGTACAAAAGACGTACCTGTCGTAAAAGGAACAAAGCGCTATAGCGTACATCATTATGGAGAGCACGCGCAGAAACTCACCTCGAGTAGCTCATCTAACCGTACCGCGACGCGTCCTCTCCGAACGAACTCCTCGTGTCCTATTAATGACATGTCCGCGCCGTGATTTACAATGCCGTGGCCGCATTCGCAGCGGTCAAGATACTTTGACGGCGGCTCTCCATCATCATCTGAGTCACTCCCGTCCGACGCATCTGAGAGTACTCGCCATCCCGGTGGGGGATGGAGACCGAGACATGTTGAGCAAACGGAACAACGGGAGTGACGAGAGATTTTCAGGGCTATGTGGGCGTCGGGCAGACTGGGTATATCGTGAGAAGCAGGGTATAGAACCTTCATGAAGCAGCTACTATCAAGGTCTGAACAGAGAGAAGTAGCAAGTCCAAGGCCAGAGTCGAGGACGATGATGACAACAGGCGGAAAGCAGTCCCTGCAGTGGCTGTGTCCCGCCCTATGTCCCGGTCCGGCGCTCCGACTCCTTCCCAGGCCTAAACATGATGTACCGAGGACGAGCTCGGGGATTGTGTCCATGGTACGTCTGCGGCACAGTCAGAAGGCTACACGATATACACTACATAGATCAATGCATTACACGACACTATAATTGCGTATTCAACGCAGGCAGTTGGCCACTATAATCGATAAGTGGTGTGAACCTCATCAAGATCCATACAGCGCTGAATCTGACTCTCAATGCCAGACTCTACAACAAGACTAGATGTACCTCAGGCTGATATTCTATGCTACGAGATGAGCATGCTGAGAGCAGCTAGTGCTTAGCTTGGCAATCGACCGTCTGATCTTGGGCGCTTGCACACAGCGTCGGTGCGGACCCCCAGCATTCACTCAATTCCTCCTCTCTACTTGCTGATTTACTTCGTCGACTTTGCCATGCTCACGAAAACTTCCCCTTACCTCTGGCCTGAACTGTGATGAAAGCGCCTCACTATGAATCCATCGATGACTGCATGGCTATAATTGATGTGATCTTTTAGTGCCTACTCTCCCGCGGTCCCAACGTGCCTTCTTACTATCCTGTCCTTGCTCCATGATCGCCTGCGCAGCGAGCTCTGCGGCATAAGCTCCATAGGAATCGAGGCTGTATGCTCCGGCCTGGTCTATAGCTTCCATGTCCCCGCCATTCCTTGCACATACCCTCCGGCTTTGGCTCGTCTTCCTCTTGTCTGTCTCTTCTGCGACCCTCGCGACGGAATGGATCGACTACCCCGACGACGGCACCGCGACCCTCACCCACTATACCCTTCCGGAAGGCTACATCGCGGCGTGCGGCTGCACCGGCGCGAGCACCCTATACCCGACCGTAGCTATGAGCCAGTACGCCTACGGAAGCAGCACGGCGTATGGCCCGGCGTGCGGCCGCTGCTTCAACATCACGCTGCTCAACTCGTACACGGGCACGCCGCCCTTCATTCCCAACGTGACGAAGAGTGTAGTCGTGAAGGTCATCGACTTGTGTCCTGTCGGAGGGGCCGGGTGGTGTTCGGCCACCCCAGACAAGCCTAACCCGTGAGTGCTCCGGTCTTCCCGTGCTCTGTGGCGGCGTGTTGCCCGGGCGCGGGCTCAACGGAGTTTGTGTCCGTGAAGGTCAGGACAATACATCAACTTCGACCTTTCATGGCCGTCTGCTGGTATACCAGACGACTTTTTCCCATCCGACGAGGCTCTCTACGGTCAGTCTTGAACCATATGTGTCCCCGAGGACCAGTAACTCACACGCAAATTTGTGTCTGAAGGGTACACGGTGAGCATTCTTCAGATGCCGCCTTGACGATCGAGTCGTCCTGACGTGCCTTCAAACAGGACTTCGGTGTCTGGAACGTGAGCTACCAGTCCGTCGACTGCCTCCAAAACTGGGCCGGGGCGAAGCACCCGGCCGCGCTCGGCAGCGTCGACGACGGCTCGAGCGCGTGCTGCCCAGCCAATCCCACCGTACGTGTTCTCGCCCGCCCCCATGCTCACGGCAGCAATCTCAACGTTGTGTGCGCTGCGTCACAGGGGTCTGCGAACGACACCTGTCCTTCCTTCTCGGACGACAACGGCATCCCGTACGTCCTCCTGTTCTCCCATAAACCTACCGTGGGCCCCGCTCGCTCACACATCCTGCCCTTCGAATAACAGGCCAGACACCACGACTTCCGATGCGACCAGCGTCATCTGGGGAGGCTCGACACCTAGTTTTCGTCATGCATTGCTGCCGCTGTATTCACTCTTTGTATTGTGCTTCATTTGCCTGGGGTATTTAGTGGGATAAACGTACTGCCTCTGCTGTGCTGATAGAATGCATGGTTCCGTCCGTGCTTCGCTGTACAATGAACGTGCGCACGCTCCCGGCGCCCGTCTGCCTTCGCGAACTTCTAGGTTCGTCTCGTGGACAAGGCACCCTGAGATCCGCGGGAAGCCGACGGTATCTGCGTTGAGCCGTGCCTGTGCTTCCTGTGAGGGAAATGAACCCAGTCAAGAGGGACCCAGCCTCGCGTACAGGTTCACTGGAGGCGTCCAACTGAACTGAAACAGGGGATGTTTCTGTGTGCAGAACCTAGTTGCGAATTGATTTGATGTTTCATTGATGACGCTGCCAGACCTAATGGTACAGAATGATACACATCCTCTGATACACCGCGCACAAACTGTCGAGCCTGCGAAATATCAGTCAAGATGCCGGCTCAGCGCTGGCCGTATGCCTTGGTCGCGTAACCCTCTGCAAAGCAAATGCATACGTCAGAGATCAAACGACGAACCTCAGAGAGGAATCGCCACTCACTCTTGCCGATGATGATGTTCTGGGGCTCCTGCTCCCGACTGTTGAGGTAGTTCTCCAGGATGCTCTTCGTGCCCGCCGCGTAGCGCGCCTGCGCATCGAGCGTCGTGCCCGAGTAGTGCGGCACCATGCCGTTGCCGCCGCCCAGGGGGTTCTTCATATAGCGCCAGACGTGGTCCTTCGGCGCCGGCTGCACGTTCCACACGTCGCCGCTGTAGCCCGCGAGCTGCCCGCTCTTGAGCGCCTCCGCGACGGCGTCCTTGTCGCAGATCGCGCCGCGCGCCGTGTTGACGAGCCACGCGCCCTTCTTGAAGTGCTTGAGCAGGTCCGCGTTGACGAGCCCGCGCGTGCCCTCGTGTAGCGGGCAGTTGACGGTCACGACATCGCACTGCGCGACGAACTCCTTGAGGTCCGCGACGCGGCGCACCTTGACGGCCTTGGCGGCCTGCTCGGGGAGCTCGGCGTAGTCGTAGTAGAGGAGCTCCTTGGGGTCGAAGGGCACGAGCCGCTGGAGGACGCGGTAGCCGATGCGGCCGGCGCCGATCGTGCCGATGACCTTGTTCTCGAGGTCGAACGCGTTCCGCGCGATCTCGGACACCTGCCAGTCTCCGCGCTCGATCATCTCGTGTGCGGGGACGAAGTTCCGGACGAGCAGCAGGATGCTCATCACGACGTGCTCCGCGACGGAGACGACGTTGGAGCCGGAGACCTCGAGGACCTCGATGCCCTTTTCGACGGCGGCGTTGAGGTCGATGTGGTCGGAGCCGACACCCGCGGTGATACAGATCTTCAGGTTCTTCGCCTGGAGATAACGGACATGGTTTTGAGCATTCGGTGCGAAGGGTGGACTTTCCAATTTTTCACCTTACCTTTTCAATGAGATCGCGCGTCAGGTAGCCGGGGTGGAAGGGGGTGGTGATGAGGACCTCGGCCTACGAAACTATTCGCAAACGACTTCGAGGCCATGATGATGATAGTACATACATCGACGATGTTCTTCTGGAACACGGACTCGGGACCCTCCTTGTCATCGGTGACCTGGACAAGAGGGTATAACTTGATCCGCGGACCATCGATCGAACACGCAACTCACGATGAACTCGTGGCCCTGGCCCTCTAGCCATTCACGCAGACCGAGCTATGCGAGATATGAGCACGCCTTCACGGTCAAAGGCAAAGGCAATGCACCTGGTTCTCAATCGTACCCAAGAGACGAGGCTCCTGCGTGGCAGCCTCACCACCCTTGTAGAGAACAGCAAGAACCTGGAAGTCGGGCATATGACGTCATCGACTGCTCGCACTTTAAAACTAACGGCTCACATACCTTCATTTTGTATAGTCGACGATGCTAATGAAGAGGAGTGAGGGTAGATGGAGGTGCGAAGAGCTGGGACGCGTGGGGAATGGCAGAGCTTGGTCAAAAGACCCGGTCTTATATAGGAGGATACACCTCTTCGGTCATGGGTTAATGCATATAGAAGGTCCATCTGTGGGATCGACCCCGATTGGGCTACTCGCCCGGCGGGACGGACAAGAGGATGTACATGACAGATCATACAACCTCCCATGTCCCATACTTACATACGAAAGGAGCGGTCCCCGTGGGAGCGAGGGAGGGACAGAAATGTTCCTGTCCTGTTTGCGCCTACAGACTAGTCATGCGCCGGGCGCCGCCGCTAGTGGCGTAGTGACTTGGCAAAGGGTATGTGTGGACGATGCAACTCAGCACCGAGAGCCTCCACGGCGGGCCTTCCGAACATTCACGACAGACGACTGTTCCCCCTTCCTGCCGGGTGCGCGCCCCGCCACGCCGTGTCTCACATCTGTCGGCTGACCCTCGCGACAATGGATTTGTCTCCCAGGTCTGAGATGCGTGTCCTTACGCGCAAGTCGCGCATTCCGTCCGGGTCCGCGAGTGCTTCCCACTACAGTATAGCACAAGAATAGCCGGACGGGGAGGGAGGAATGATAGAACTCCGCCTTATGTCGAGGCGGCTTCTCCCGATTGACAGTCCGTGGTCGATTGGCGCCCTCCATCTCGCCTGCACGTGGATGAACCTTCTCGTGGTTCTTCTTCACTGCCGCCAACTGTCTCCTGACGAGACCCACTGCTGCGTGAGCAGATTCTAGCTGAATGTACTTGGAGTCTATCCATTCTTCCCACTGTATGAACAAATGCGGTTAGCGAAGCTCACATGGCGAGGACACGCGACGGTGCCACTTACAACTACATCGCACTTTGCGATCTCCCGCGCATTTCCTTGACATGCGGGACGCTCAGGAGCCTAAGCCCTGCATATACTTCACATCCTAATCAGAACGGTAGGCAATAGGCGCCAATTGATGTCTGGAACGCCCAACTTCCATTGTCTATACGGTGTGCCGCAGGAATAATACATTACTAGTGTAGCAGAAGTCCCTGCGAGGAAGTCGTGACGTGAGCGCAGCACTTCAGCCTCCCGACTCGCACTCACCGGCATGCCAAGCCACATCCATTCATCCATCTCTTCCCACTGCCGCGCCGCTTGTCCATACCCACAATTCCGATTCCCACCCGCGCGTTCGCTCGCGCCTGCCTTTCTTCCGGCTAATCGATCATCCTGCCTCTGAGTTGTGACCGCTCACATCAGATGGGACCATCTCGAAATCGTCATGCTCGAATATCGGCTCCCGAATCGAGTGCATGGGGTCCACGCGATCCATCGCGATCCTGCTGCCCCCACCTCGCGCGTCCACGTCCACGTCCGCCCCCGCGCTGAGGCGCCCCGCAGACGGGGGAGACCGGGTCGCGTCGAGCTCGCGCGCCTCCTTCACGATCTCCCATTCCACGCGTAGGAAGACCCAGATCCACCGCCGGACGACCTCGGCGAGCTCGATCCAAAAGATGACAAGATCGCCCTCGTTGTAGGCGTGCAGGTGGGTAGACAGTTTCGCCGACCACGTCAGGCGCAGGACGAGATCGACCATGATCGCGAAGGGGTACATGGCAAGAGGGAATAAGAGCGTTTGCCGCAGGCCATACGGGTTAGGCCGCCGCTCTTGGTGAGCAATCGCGTGGGGGACGTCATCGGGAACGTCGTCGTCCGCCGGGTGTTTCAGGAGCGCCGAGCGGGAGTGAAGACGCGGGAGCAGAAGCGGGCGCGGGGGGTCTGTTGGACGGGCCGTCCCGGCGTTATGTTTTGGCACTAGGAGGTCAAGGCCCCAGTCATTAGTTACATCCCACCAGAAGGAGTAGAGGGAGTTTATCGCGGCTGCTAATAGCCTGAAAAGACATGAGATACGATGTATGAACTAGAAAGGTATCCGTGACAACGCACCAAAGGCGGAACAACTGATGTTCGCCGTGCCAGGGCTCCCTGGCGGCGGCTTCGCCCTTGAGAGCCGTAATGTCTGACACGACAATACGTTGAGCTGCTGACAAGAATATTACGGGGAAGGAAGACGCATATTTGAGGGCGTTGAACAGCGGTCGACGGCTTTCGTTGTTGGGGGAATTATACTCGACTAGACATTGTCGTAGACGGATGGCGTACGGTATGCTGACGAGAGAAAATGGGTCAGTATGGAAGGATATGGAGCGTATATACGCGCATGCCGAATTGTCTTAGAATATTTTGAGGCCGAGATTTGTTCCCCGTTAGATATAATCTCGCGATCTCCTGGTGCCAGAAGTCTGGGCTTGCGCAATCCTCAAGTACAAATTCGGGCTGAAGCCCCCAGCAGAGAGGCACCCGAAAGGCAACCGCATCCTCATCCTGGGAGCCGGTTCTAAGATAGTTCATGGAGGGTAACAAAGAGCGAAGATGCCAGGACGGCGCCCTGTCTCGGTGTCACGAATGAGGTCACCGCAAGGCCTACGTTCGCATGACGAACCGCATATAGTCGCCAAACTACGATCCGGTAATCTTCGTCTGCCGTAACTGCAGACAAGAAAGCGGCCTGGGATAGAAAAAGACTGAGACTCACCTCATGATGACAGGGAGAATCCACCGCGTCAGGCCGTCGTACGCGGGATGCGAGAGCAGACTTCCACTTGGTAGCAGCATACACAGAGACAGCCAAAGGTCTCCGAGGACCTTGGCGAAGGACGTGATGATATCCGCGAACACCACATCCGAGAAGTAGACTCGATGCGGCGAGGGAAACGCGCACCTGTGGATGGCACTGTTGTCACGAGTAAGCGAGCGCGTTCCGGTGGTCTAGACATCGTACTCGACGCGAGCGAGCGGGGGAAACATGTAGAGTCATGGCATTCACTCACGCAAGGAATTTGTCCCGCTCTTGCTTGTAAAATATTGGAAACGGACACACGAGCACCGTCAGGAGGCACAGCGCCGCTACAGCAGGAACGAACTTCCATTCATCGACCCTCGCGATGTCGCCCATTGTGGCGTACCGGAAAAGTAGCCAGCAGAACAAGCCCCACGCCGAGTACGCGAAGAACACTCTGTAGACAGGGCGATACGTCTGTGATGACTGCCGCATTTCCTTCCACCCGGGGTTCCTGCGGTCTGTTGGCAGCAGAGAGGTAAGCCGGTAACCGTCATAGTTGTTGAGGTCTAGTGCGCCAGCCGCATCGATGTTGCAAAGATGAAGCCCATGGAGGTTTGTTGCCCAACCGAGAATACCGAGCCCTGCCAAGCACAATACGCGGAAGGGGAGAGGGAATGCAGCAGAAAAGAAGAGCTCGTCAAGAAAATCGCTCTTCATTTACGGAAAGGATAGAGCTCGGCGCGATGGAGAAGAGGACATGGAGGAGATGAAAGCAGCGGCCAGCACAAGCTGCACAACATCAGTCTCGCGGCGGCGGCAGTGCTTTCTCGGTGGCGCCCGCGGTAGACTTCCAGGCGCCCGTAAGCCGCATCGGTAATCCATACCAGAACACAACGACCATCCCCGTCCAGCTCAACGCCGTAAAACTTCTCTCGGGCAACATAGCAGCGGCCTCTGTCGCGCGCAAACTCTGGCATGCTTTCCAGGCAATACAATCATATAAA